TCTTCTTCTCCTCCTTCTTCTTCTCCTTCTTCATCTTCATCGTCTTCTCCTTCTCCTTCTCCTTCTTCATCTTCTTCTTCTTCTCCTTCTCCTTCTTCTCCTTCTTCTTCTTCTTCCCCTCCTTCTCCTCCTTCTCCATTCCTTTTTCTTACTCCTTCTCCGATCTCATCTACTTCCTTGCCTTCCTTGCCTTCCTCCCCTTCCATCCCATCCCTTGCCTTCCTCCCCTTTCCCCTCCCCTTCTCCCTGGGAACTTTATTCATTCTTTACATTTCTCGGATAACTTGTGTAGTGATTTGTTTGCCGCTTCTTTCTTCTTGAGAAAGCTAGCTAGCTTTTTCTTGACCTTTTGCAGATTTGCTGCTTTTCGATCTATAGCTATACAAAGAAAAGCAAAAGAGCAATCGACTATTACCCAGCTTTACTTGACTTTTACATCTTGGCTCCTTGTCGATCTATAGAAAGCAAAAGGAGCAAAAGAAAGAATGGAAAGGATTCAATTCCCATCGCTACTTCATATCTCAATTCAAAAATTTCCTCTGATACAGTTTCTATTTGAAAGGTGTTTTTGGATTGAGATGAGAAATAGGGATGAGAATTGAATGGTTTTCATTGCTTCTTTGCTTCTTTGGTTCCATTTCTTCTTTGCTACATTGGTTCCATTGCTTCGTTGCTCCTTGCTATAGATCGACAAGCTCCTCTGGTTCCATTCCTTCTTTGCTCCATTGCTCCATTGCTCCATTGCTCCATTGCTCATTGCTCCATTGCTCCATTGCTCCATTGCTTCTTTGCTCCATTGCTCATTGCTCATTGCTCATTGCTCATTGCTCCATTGCTCCATTGCTCCATTGCTCCATTGCTCCATTGCTCCATTGCTCCATTGCTCCATTGCTCATTGCTCCATTGCTCCATTGCTCATTGCTCCATTGCTCCATTGCTCCATTGCTCTGCCCATGCCAGCTCATTGCTCATGCTCATTGCTCCATTGCTCCATTGCTTCTTTGCTCCATTGCTCATTGCTCTTGCTCATTGCTCATTGCTCCATTGCTCCATTGCTCCATTGCTCCATTGCTCCATTGCTCCATTGCTCCATTGCTCCATTGCTCCTTGCTCGATCGATAGATCAAGCCAGTCTGTAATTGAATTATTGGATTTGAAAATATCGAACATAAGATGAAGACGAAAATTGCCAAATCAAGTCAAGTCTGTTGAAGTCTTTATATGTTAATTTTTCGATTTCAATTTTAAAATTAAATCCAAATCTAGAGATTTGGAGAATCTAGAGATCTAAATCTTGAAATCTAGAGGATAAAGTCATTTTTAAATTTCCACTTACCACTTTACAAGAGTTCTTTTTTTTCGGCTGAGCTTTGCTGAGCTTTGCTGAGCTTTGTCAAAACATTTTTCTTTCTATTTTCTTTCTTTCTACTGTTTAAAAGTATTATTTAAGCTAATTATTAGATAGATTTCTGTCTAATTTAAGCTAATTATTATTAGGTGTGTGAAAAAGTAATCCACATTTTTAACGTTTAAATATAAAAGACCATAAGTTTCGTTAAAATAATTTTTATTCAACGATCACCAACGATTCAAAGTAATGACCATTCGAAAGAAGAACCTTTTGCCAACATTCTACAACGTAAAGAGATTCCACGATAATAAAAATCTTGGTCCTTAGAGGCGAAGAAAAGATCAACCTCGGAATTGAACCGTTTATTTGACATCTTCTTCGGAATTGAACCGTTTATTTGACATCTTCTTCGGAATTGAACCGTTTATTGGCCGGCGAATCGGCCAATAAACGTTCCATCCAACACTAAAAAGTTAGACAAAGACAAAAATAAATAATAATCAGATGGAGAAAGGTCTGGACTATAAGGTGGATGTGGTAAAACCTTCCATCCAACACTCTGGATTTTTTATCGAGTCTGTAAAGAGGCATGTGGTCGCGCGTTATCGTTCGGTATCCATTTGTCCAACTTTTTGATAAAATTCATGGCATTCAAGCGTTTCCTTACGGTTGACCCATCAAAATTTAATGTAAAGCCTATTTCTGAAGAGGTTGAACGAGGGTTTTCGAGAAGACAGCCTCTTATTTGGTCATCAGAACAGGTCTCAGGGCGACCGCCACTTGGTTCATCGTCTAGGCTTTCATTACCAATCGTTGGAACCAAAACCTAGCGGTATCATCAGTAACGGCGTCTTCGCCAAACGCATTCCGAATTCGACGTGCAGCCTCCGCAGCTCTCAACCCATTTTTGAACTCATAAAGGAAATTTGACCGAATAACGATACTTGTGTATACCATTTTCAAACTAAAACGGTTGACCCATCAAAATTGAATGTAAGACCTATTTCTGAAGAGGTTAAACGAGGGTTTTCGAGAAGAAAGCCTCTTATTTGGTCATCAGATAAAAATAAAAAAAACGTGGATTATTTTTTCACACACCTAAGGTCGCGTCCGTTTCCTTCCTATTTGCGTTGCTATTTTGCAATTATTCGCGTCGCATTTTTCGCCCTTTTCTCCCTTCCCGAAATTGTTTTTTTTTGGTCGGCGGGTTGCTTTTGCCTTCCCTCTTGGGGACTTTTGTTGTTTCTTTTGATGCGCATGCTGTTTTTGTAATAGGTATTGTTGCATTTTGGTTTTGTACTAATAAACAGTAAAATTATAAATTCAACTTACTTTCTGCTACCCTTCAGGTGTTTCAAATCCTGTTTAGATAACTGGTTTAACATTGTAGCGAGAGCTTACTAACATTTGTGTCGCCACCGACGAGTATTAATCTTGTGTTGGATGCTGCTCGTTCTTGTTATGTTGTAAGCGCTTTGGGGAAACCCTTTTTAACCTTCTTTGTGCAATTCGGCTATTCTGAAGCAAAATCATCCTCGATGATAAGGTTAAAGCGGGTCGCACCCCAAACTCTAATTCGATTTCTCGATTACTATTAATAATAATACTTTATTCAAACGATAAAGTGAAAGAAATGATAGAGAAATGCACAGTGATACTTAATCATACAATACATACTGAAATCAATAAGCCAATTACTTACGGCAAAGAGCCACTAGATCTAAAGCATCTGATACGTTTCTTGAATATGAAAAGCGACTGAATTTCTCGTATGTCGTTTGGGAGCAAGTTCCATAATCTAGCGGCTCTAACGGGAAAATCTTGTTTTTATTCTTTTCAAATCTTTTTGTTGCTTGGCCAAATCTCTTTTTCTCTTTTTCTCTTAAACAATAAAAATCGAGTGATCCTTCACATCGTTCTTTTCAAATATTATAAAAGAATTTTTTATTTGTTTAGCCTTTTTTCTCTTAGCCATATATTTTTGTTGATATTTGTTTGTTTTTTAAAAAAAAATTTTTAGCTTTTTTAGCTTTTTAGCTTCAAATTATTCAATTAGTCGACTTTTATGAATCGATTAAATTTTTTTTAAAATCTTTTTTTTTGTGAATAGAAAGTTTTTTTAGATCTTTAATAGGCATTTAGAGGAGTGGGACAAATGCGAGCTTTTTTTTGCGCACCCGGACATTTGCGCACCTTTTTTCGCGTTTCAATCAAAAAAAGAACCGTATTGGAACCGTATTGGAGCCGTATTGGAACCGTATTGGAACTGTATTAGAACCGTATTGGAACCGTATTAAAACCTGATTGGATCAAAAAAAGACCTGGACATTTGCGCACCTTTTTTTTTTGCTGGAAAAGGCCTTAGGAAAGGACGTAGAGCTTCGAAAATACTTCCATATAAGGGAATCGTATGCGTAGATTCCGAATTTCGACAAATCAGACCTCGCTGACACGTCAAATTTGGGCTAAAAGGCAAAAACTACGCAACTTAACGCTTTTCCGCAGTTTTTGCCTTTTAGCCCAAATTTGACGTGTCAGCGAGGTCTGATTTGTCGAAATTCGGAATCTACGCATACGATTCCCTTGTATGGAAGTATTTTCGAAGCTCTACGTCCTTTCCTAAGGCCTTTTCCAGCAAAAAAAAGGTGCGCAAATGTCCAGGTCCCCCCCCCCCCGTTTTAATCCCCCCCACCCCCCCAAACCCCCCCTTTTTTGATTGAAACGCGAAAAAGGGTGCGCAAATGCCGGGTGCGAAAAAAAGGTCGCATTTGTCCCACCCCCGAATAGAAAGTTTTTTTAGATCTTTAATAGGCATTTAGGGGAGTGGGACAAATGCGAGCTTTTTTTTGCGCACCCGGACATTTGCGCACCTTTTTTCGCGTTTCAATCAAAAAAAGAACCGTATTGGAGCCGTATTGGAGCCGTATTGAAACCTGATTGGATCAAAAAAAGACCTGGACATTTGCGCACCTTTTTGGTTAATATTAGCTTTTTAGAGCTTTTTTAAAACGCGAAAAAGGTGCGCTAATGGGCAAGGTGCGGAAAAAAGGTGCGCAAATCTCCGGGTTTTCCGACCTTTTAAACAAATTGCCACACTTTAAAGAACCATAACTTCTTCTAGAGATGGTTAAAAAGGAATGGTTAGAAGGGAAGGGTTAAAACGGAAAGCTTTTCCAACGAGACTTTCCCTGAACGAAACTTTTCCTCAACACAAGCTTTACCAACAGTTTACCAGGAGTTTATGATTTAGAGCTTTGGATTTAGAGCTAAAGACTTAGAGCTTGAGATTTAAAGCTTTGGATTTAAAGCTTTGGATTTAAAGCTTTGGATTTAAAGCTTTGGATTTAAAGCTTTGGATTTAAAGCTTGAGATTTAGAGCTAAAGACTAAGAGCTTAAGATTTAGAGCCTTGTATCTATATATCTATAGATAGCCTTATAATCTATACCCTTATCTTTTCACTTCGATATCTTTTTTTTTGATCGACTTTTTGATCGATTCTTTGATCGACTTTTTGATGGACTTTCTTTATTTTACAAAACAATTTAGAGGCAAGGGGTAGCTGCTTGGGGCAGCGAATCGATAAAAACGATAGAAGAACGAAAGGAAATAGGGAAAGGGATCAGAATTGGGCGAAAAAAAACGGGGAAATGCCGTGGTGTTGCGCGAGAGGCGCGGCCACACCGCTGCTGAATGAGCCCGGGCGACCGGTGCCCGATCCATTTGGACCAATGCTCATTCAACCAAATCCAACGGTAAGTTCGTGGTACTTTGTGCTGTAAACGCACTGCTTCTAGTGCACTCGATGCACTTTATTTCATTTAAATGAAGCTCTAGATTCGAGTTTTCAGCGTACCGCTCTTTTTGTACTTTTTGTACTTTGTGTTGAATCTTTCCTAAACGCAAACCTTCTGGCACATTAAAAACCCTCTTTTTTCAATGTTTTCCCATGCTTTCAGTGCATCAGAAAGGGTACGTTTACGGAAAATTTAAGCACAAAGTACACAGCTCACTAGATGTACTTTGTGCTCAAAATAAACCCCATCTATTGCACTGAAAGCTTCATTTTTTTGTCAAGAAATGTTTAGAGAAAGATCAAGATCCCAGTGCACTAGAAAGAGTGCGTTTACAGAAGATTTAAGCACAAAGTACAATGGTCAAAAGTTACTTCGAATTTTCGTATTTCTTTTCGAATAGAAGACCGTGTAAAGAGTATCATCGCGTACTCCTGCGTGCGACTACGCGACTGTACGAACGAACTTTGCCACTACGCGACTGTACGAAGTGCTATAGAGCTGGGAAATGACTCAAAAATACCACATGAGCTAACAGATTTTTGAGCCATAGCACTTCATTGAAAGCTGCAGAAAAGAGACTTTAAAAAGGGCTGCTACGCAGGAGTACGCGATGATACTCTTTATTAGACATGGGCAGCGGGTCAGGTCGGATCGGATCGGGTCGGATCGGATCGGATCGGGTCAAAAGTGACCCGCTGACCCGGTTTTGTTGGACTAATGCCAACTAAAGAGTCTTTACCGGGTAAAGAGTCTTTAGTTGACATAGAATAGAATAGAAGACCGGGTAAAGAATCTTTACTCGATCTTCTATTCGAAGAAAAGACGGTAGATCAAAAAAAATTTTAAGAAAATTTTTTACGGAAATTTTTTACGAAAATTTTTTACGAAAATTTTTTATAGAAATTTTTTAAGAAAATTGTCTTTTTTTATGCAGTAATCCTTGAAATATTCTTTATTTTTCTCGAAATTTCTTTAAAATATCTCTTTTATAATTAAAAATAGCTTAAAAAAAAAGAAATTTTCACACCAAAATCATTTTTTTTTTCCACCTGTTTTCACCATTTTTAATTAGAAAAATTTGAAGAAAAAAAGATTTTTGAGAATTTTTCGTTTTTTCTGCAAAACTAGCAAATCCTTAAGATGAAATAAAGAAGAAAAATCGATAAGTTAGCATTGAGGAATCCAATCGAAACCTTTCAATACTTTCAGCCTCAAGATCTCGAGAGCTTTGACTCAAGAGCTCAAGAGCTTTGACTCAACAGCTTTGACTCAACAGCTTTGACTCAAGAGCTTTGACTCAAGAGCTTTGACTCAAGAGCTTCGACTCCCTAGAGCCCTAGAGCCCTAGAGCCTTGACCACTTTTAGCGCTAGAGCCTTCAACACTTTCAGCCCTAGAGCCTTCACCACTTTCAGTCCTAGAGCCTTTTTGTTTTCAGCCCTAGAGCCCACTTTCACTTGTACTTTGTACTTGTACTTTCGAATGTACTTTGTGCTCAGATAAACAACCCTTCTAGCGCACTGAGTTTAAACGTCTCCGATTTCTCTTACCGACTCCTCTTACCGATTCCTCTTACCGATTCCTCTCCTTCCCCTTTTCATCTCTTTTCTAATAACTCTTTTCTTTGATCTTCTTTTCACTATTAACTCAACTCCATTTAAAAAAGCTCAAAATTTGAAGAGAAATGGATCCTTTTCAAACGGCAATTATTGCAATTTCATTTGAGAGAAATGGATTCCTTTTTGGCTTATTCAAATAGAAAAAGACGAGGTTCATAAAGTGTGACGCTGGGAAGGACTAAAGGAGCGGAAGGACTAAAGGAGCAATGGATCCCGGATACATCGCATGTTCGATAAACTGGATGGGGAAGGGTGGGCAGAGACGGGGTTCAGACAGGGGTAGAGCTGGGTCTAAGGTCTAAGATCCTAAGGATCTGTCTTATCGAACTAGCTTTCTGGAACTAGACTGAAAGGGGCAGTAACCAGGAAACCAGGGTCCAGGGGGGGTCCAGGGTCCAAGGTCTAGGGTCCGGGAAACCAAGATCTAAGGTCCAGGGTCTAGGGGTTAGGGTCTAGGATTTAGGATCTAGAGTCCAGGGCTCAGGGTCTAGGATCTAGGATCTAGGATCTAGCGTCCAGGGCTCAGGGTTTAGGGTCTAGGATTTAGGGTCCAGGATCTAGGGGTTAGGGCCTAGGGTCTAGGGTCCAAGGCTCAGGGTCTAGGGTGCAGGTCTCAGGATCTAGGGTCTAGGATCTAGGGTCTAGGGTCCAAGGCTCAGGGTCTAAGGTCCAAGGCTCAGGGTCTAGGGTCTAGGACCTAGGGTGTAGGGTCCAAGGCTCAGGGTGTAGGGTCCAAGGCTCAGGATCTAGGGTGCAGGTCTCAGGATCTAGGGTCTAGGATCTAGGGTCTAGGGTCCAAGGCTCAGGGTCTAGGGTCCAGGGCTCAGGGTCTAGGGTCTAGGATCTAGGGTCGTCCAGGGTCCATGGTTTCAAAATCATTGTTCCAAACTAAAGATTACCTGAACCTAGATCTGGTCCAGAACTTGACCTTGCTGTTCCTTGAATAAACAGACTAGAACAGGCTAGAGTCCAGTGGCCTTTCCATAGATCAGATCACAGTTTTTTTTTCATCAAAAAGATAATTAACTTCTTAGCAGATGATCGACTTTTCTATTTCTATATATCAAATCTATTAGCATCACTTCTAAGGAGCAGTGTTTTCCGAGAAAACATCGGGAGAGGCGGAGGCTGAAGGGGGTTTGAGGGCCCCCCTTTCCCAATTGGACACATAAAGTGGCCTCGATTAGCCCTCACCCCTATCGATACCCCTCCCTTTTTCGCCTTTTTCTTCTTTTTTTTTCACATCTGCCCGACTTAGCGCCACGTCTCACTTACGAGAAAAACTACAGGGTTTTGCAGAGAAATGCCTCTAATCTAGAGCAAAATATATGGAGAAATAAGAAATATTAGGTTGATGCATAATGCATGCATTGATGCATTGTTCCTTTTCGTCTGCCGTTTCAAGCCAACAAATGCACCAATTAAACCAATTAAACTACGGTTGATTTCATTAGAAAAAGCAATTATTTTTCTGCAAAATAACATTAAAACGCGTTTAAAAATATTTGATGCCTGGATTTTCTTGAGAGTATGAAGTCGGGTAGTCAAAAAGGGCTAACTCGATGATGCGGTTTAGGCTCAGGCTCAGGCTCAGGCTAAGCCTCAGCCTAAGCCTGAGCCTGAGCCTGAGCGGTTTAGACACCTTAGCTAAAGAAAACCTATCTTCGTGTCAATAGATAAAAGATAGAGAGAAAAAAACGTTTGATATTTCGCCAAAATTTCAGAGAAATTCATTCAGCCAATTTTTCCGTAGAGTTTTTTTATAGATTTTTACGAAAAAGGCGTTTTTCACTCTCGAATTTGCTTGAAAGTGAACCGAAATTCATTTAAAAAGATGCAAATTGAACAAAAAAAACACTTTTTTTGATAGAGCAAACTATAGATTAATTCGTGAATTTGTTACTTTTTAACAGAGGTACGAAAAAAATGAAAAAGACTTTTGCATCAACCTATTAGAAAACAAGCAATAACAGCAACAAGCAACTTCTACAACTAGACAATATTTGTCTTGAACTTGTGCTTGAATCAGATAGATTGAAGGTGAGGCAAGTTTACCTGTCTGTTTACCAGCTGGTCACGATTGAATTGGCTCTGACAAGGGAATCAAGACTTAAGGTGAAGAATTGAATCGTCGAAATGTCGGAAGTTGTTAAATCATTTTTTTAGAGTGTTCTATATGAGAAATAATTATCAATGTACACTTTAAAGTTCATAAAAAGTCTTTTAAAATCGTTTAAAATCTTTTACAAAAGAAAGCAAAAAGTTTCCGTGGCAAGAAGCTGCAAGGGGATTCGAACCCGTGGGAAAGAAGGAAAACCCAGATCGAGAGCTCGCACATTTACCATTACACTATGCAATCGTGTTTGGCTGGCGGAGAAAGATCCAGGATAAACCGGGGGTTCGGCCAAATTTCCCGTTTTTCAGGCAGTAGGCAAAATAAAGCCTATCCTGAGAGGCAATGATAACTGTCAGCGTAGCTCATTGGTAGAGCACTCGCCTAATAAGCGGGAGGTGGTGGGTTCGAATCCTTGTGCGGCCATTTGGTATCCCAGGGATAAATCTCCAAACTTTTTCAGACTTTTTTCCAATCAACGTTTCCAACTGTGTGCATACTGGCAAACCGTGAACTATGCTTAAATAACGCTAAGCTAAATATCGCTAAGCTAAACATCGAGTTAAGCCATTAAGCCGAATTTCTAGGCACTCGTGATCACTGCGGGCACTGGCGAGGGTGTGTTCGTCGAGCGTCTCAAGCATCAAGGCTGGCATGTCACCATCGCTCCACCCCATCAAGCCGAACCACTTTGTGCACAAGTGAGGGGGAATTCAATGCAAATTCATTTCAAATTCAATTCAAATTTCGATATCTAACCTAAAATAACCTTATTTTGTTAGAAAATTCACTTCATAATTCTATTTTTAGTCATCTCCGTCTCGAATACAAAAACACTCTTTTTTTTCCAATTTTTTTCTTTTTATAGTAATCTTTTAAAGCTAAAGGTGATTTATAAAAGAAAATATTATATAATAATACTGTCAGCTGTCTACGTTAGCTGTCAGACCTGTCAACTAAGTCTAGGCTAGCTGACAAGCCTGACAGCTAGGCTAGGCTATCTGTCAGGCTTGTCAGCTAAGTCTAGGCTAGCTGTCAGACCTGTCAACTAGTCTAGGCTAGCTGACAAGCCTGACAGCTAGGCTAGGCTATCTGTCAGGCTTGTCAACTAAGTCTAGGCTAGCTGACAAGCCTGACAGCTAGGCTAGGCTATCTGTCAGGCTTGTCAGCTAAGTCTAGGCTAGCTGTCAGACCTGTCAACTAAGTCTAGGCTAGCTGTCAGACCTGTCAACTAAGTCTAGGCTAGCTGTCAGACCTGTCAACTAAGTCTAGGCTAGCTGTCAGACCTGTCAACTAAGTCTAGCCTAGCTGTCAGGCTTGTCAACTAAGTCTAGGCTAGCTGTCAGGCTTGTCAGCTAGTCTAGCCTAGCTGTCAGACCAAGCTCTGACCTTGCCTGGCATGGTTCTACAAAAAGCAGCTCTTTAATTGCAAAAAGTAGCTCTTTAATCGAGCTATACGATAGTATAAAAACAGAAAAACAGTTTAGTATAAGAAAAATGGCTAGAAAGTACATCGCAATACTAACACCGTCTTTTGTACGTAAAGTATTCAATGATGATATTTAACGAGATTTATGAAAGAAAATTTTCAGCTTCGACCGCATCTCGTACTCCTCGACAATCGATTACCGGATATCGTGCAAATGGCAAAGTGAAAAATTAAAAATTAAGCAAATACAAGAATCTGAGAAAGAAATATAAAATGTTATTGTAGATTTAGAGAAATAAGAGATAAAATAAGATATGAATAGGAATAGTTTACAGGTTTTGGAAGCATCTAGTCGCTTTAGAATCAAATCTAGAGCTATCGCAAATACTGTAATAGCACCCCGCCCCCGCCCCCCCCATAATGACGGTGTGGAGTGTTGCGTAGTCAAGCTTTGAACGCGCTTTTCTCGACACTGGTTTATGCTACAATGCTCGCTTAGGTATCAAAAAATAGCTGAAATTCAGGGCTATTTTTTGATACCTATACGAACATTGTAGCTTAAACCAGTGTCGAGAAAAACTCGTTCAAAGCTGGACTACGCAACGCTTCGTAATAGTAGCGCCCTCCTAAAATGATGGTCGGTCGCGTAGTCTAACTTTAAACACATCTTTCTCGCCACCTGTTTCTGCTACAATGCTCGCTTAGGTATCAAAAAATAGCTGAAATTCAGGGCTATTTTTTGATACCAAAGACGTATTTTTTGAAAGTACGGGCGCTTTGAAAAACAATCAAATACTAGAAAACTTTTGCGACTACGCGACTGTACGGACAAACTTTGAGACTACGCGACTGTACGAGGGCGGTGGGGTACTATTACAGTATTTACAATAGGTAAAGCCACTTTTTAAGTTATACCCAGAAAGCAAAAAGTTTTCGAAGCGACATGCGGACCCGAACCCGTGGGGAAGAAGGAAAACCCAGATCGAGAGCCCGCACACTTACCATTACACTATTCGGTCATGTTTGGCAAGGGGAGAAAGATCCATTATAAATCGGGGGTTCGGCCAAATTTCCCGTTTTTCAGGCAGAAGACAACATAAGGCCTAACCTGAGAGGCGACGATAGCTGTCAGCGTAGCTCATCGGTAGAGCGCCCGCCTAGTAAGCGGAAGGTGGCTGGTTCAAATCCTTGTTCGACCATTGCCATTGGATTCCCATCGATAAATGCCGAATTTTTTTCCAACTTTTTTCAACCAACATTTCCAACTGTGTGTATGCTTGAAATATCGCTAAGCTGAATATCAAAGGCATAGCCTGAGACAATGATAACTGTCTGCGTAGCTCATTGGTAGAGCGCTCGCCTAGTAAGCGGCCTAGTAACCGGCCTAGTAAGCGGATGGTGGCGGAAAAAAATGAAATACTAAAAATACTCAAAAACCCTTGCGACTACGCGACTGTACGAGGGCGGTGGGGTACTATTACAGTATTTACGATCGATAAAGCTTCTTTTTAAGGCATAACCATTGAAAATTCAAAAAACTGAACCGGATAAACAAGCTAAAGATCTAAAATTTCTATTCAATCTATTTCTATTCAATCTATAGATATTTAAGATCTTATAGATTATTGATTTATTGCTATTTTGCCAGTTTATTGATTGATTGATTGATTGATCTTTTCCAGACAACTTCACCAACTCGCCTCCACCCTTGATGACACGTTTTTTGTGGTAATCTCAGAGAAGTAAGCTAAAGTTTTATCTAGTTTTTTTCTAGAAAATGGAATGAAATAGATAGAACTAGAAGATAAATGCTATTTTTAATCAAATAACCAACTCTAGGCCAATCTCGGAGAAGCGGCGACGATCCCTCTCGCATGCTGACATTCTACATGTGAGTTATGAGAAGCAATCTAATTAACGTACAAAGCTATCGAATAGTTTCCAAGTTTAAGACCATCTAGCATGAGCTTGGTTCAGAAGCATGGTTCAGAAGCAAAAACTAGTGACCTAGAAAGCTAGAAAACTAGAAAACTAGAAATCTAGAAAACTAGAAATCTAGAAAGCTAGAAATCTAGAAAACTAGAAAACTAGAAATCTAGAAAGCTAGAAAGCTAGAAAACTAGAAATCTAGAAAACTAGAAAACTAGCAAACTTAGATTTAGAGTGATCAGCTTGATTCTAGATCGAACTCTTGACCTCACTTGCTCTAGATCGGACGTCCAATCTGATCTAGACTTAGATTTAGAGTGATCAGCTTGGTGCTAGATCGAACTTTTGACCTCACTTGCTCTAGATCGGACGTCCAATCTGATCTAGACTTAGATTTAGTGTAATCTTGATTCTACATCCGATCTAACATCCATATTATGTCAGAATCCAATCCCATTAGATCCACTCCTGACGTCAGAATCCGTTTCTTTCCTTCTTTTCTACATTTAGTACATTTAGAGCTTCTTTAGAGCTAAAGTTAGAGTTTCTTTAGAGCTATATTTAAAGCTTCTTTAGAGCTATGCTTAGAGCTTCTTTAGAACTATATTTAGAGCTTCTTTAAAGCTAAAGTTAGAGCTTCTTTAGAGCTAAAGTTAGAGCTTCTTTAGAGCTATATTTAGAGCTTCTTTAGAGCTATATTTAAAGCTTCTTTAGAGCTATGCTTAGAGCTTCTTTAGAGCTATATTTAGAGCTTCTTTAGAGCTTCTTCCAAGTTATATTTAGAGCTTAGGGCTTCTGTTTCTGTATTTTTTATATCATATTATTCGTGTGAATGTCTTTTTCTATTTAAAATCAACTTCAGAACGTTTTGTGGATGAGTCGAGACACGTCACTTGTCGAGTGGATTTCCCGGCTGTCGACTCGTCTACGAGTAGTGCCTGCACTTTTCGCCGTTCTTGATGAGGTTCGTCTTATTTTATAAGCCTAAGCCTAAGCCTCAATAGCTTGGAAAACGTTTTCCTAAAAGAAATCTTTGATTTCTGACAATCAACAACCTTTCCCAGCTCATTTGAAAGTTATATTTCTTCAAAAAAAACATTTAAACCATTTTCTCCCATTTCCTAAGCTCCTTTTTTTTATATTTCTTTTATTTCTTTTATTTTCCAGCTTTCCTCAAGGAAATCTCCTGGGTTACAAAGCTGAGAAATTTTTTTTGAATTTTTTTGGCCAAAAATTGTCTCAAAGATTGTCAAATCTAATAAAATCAAAAAAAAATTGATGCGAAAGTGTTTTTGCTATGTTTTTGGGGCGATAACGCACGAAAAGCGGGGGTATTTGCGGGATTTGGGGGGATTTGTCGACGAGTGACGCAAATCGATCGGCCGGATGAGAATCATAGGACTTCTAGGATTTTGCAAATACGGGACTGTGAGGCTTTAATAATATGTGATTCAAGGGGACTGTGAGGCTTTAATAATGTGTCACAAGCGCTACAATGAGCTTACAATGAGCACAAGATCTGAACTAAGCCTAAGCCTGAGCCTAAGCCTAAGCCTAAAAAAATCGTAAAATCGACTTTTTCAACTTCCAGACTATCTCAACTTCCAGGCACGAGAGTGACCTGAAATTTTGTAAGCATACTCCCCTTGGGTTCCAAAGCACAAGGGCAATCGGGTGTCCCTTAGCTCCGGGAACTGGCTGAGATCCAGAAAATCGGGGTTGAGCCAAATAGACTTAGTGCGAGGCGCTAGCCGCTAGCCTTCGCACTAAGTCCAAGCCTGAGCCTAAGCCAAAACCTAAGCCAAAACCTAAGCCAGAACCTAAGCTAAAGCCTAAGCCAGAACCCAGGCCAGAACCTAAGCTATAGCCCAAGCCAGAACCTAGGCCAGAACCTAGGCCAGAACCTAGGCCAGAACCTAGGCCAGAACCTAAGCTAAAGCCTAAGCCAGAACCCAGGCCAGAACCTAAGCTATAGCCCAAGCCAGAACCTAGGCCAGAACCTAGGCCAGAACCTAAGCTAAAGCCTAAGCCAGAACCCAGGCCAGAACCTAAGCTATAGCCCAAGCCAGAACCTAGGCCAGAACCTAAGCTAGAACCTAAGCCAGAACCTAAGCCTGAGCCTAAGCCTAAACCTAAGCCTAAGCTTAAGCCCAAGCCAGAGCCTAAGCCTAAGCCTAAGCCAGAGCCTAAGCTTAAGCCCAAGCCAGAGCCTAGGCCAGAGCCTAAGCCATAGCCTAAACCATAGCCTAGGCCAGAGCCTAAGCCAGAGCCTAAGCCTAAGCCCAAGTTTAAGCGTAAGCCTAAATCAAGCAAAAAAAACCTAGACAAAGTCAAGGGTTTTTAACCAAAATTTGCAACCTAGGGTTTTCGAGGACGAGGAAAACGAATTTTTTTATCAGATCTAGGAAAAAGCTGCTCGATTTTTCGCTTTTCATCCGGTTTAATTACCCAACCAACATCGAGTGCCAAAAAGAAAACGATTATAGAAAGATGTTTTCATTTTTGCGTTATCGTACGGCTTCTGGCATATAGATATTATAAAGATCGGCCAGAAATAAGGCATTTTATCTCCATTTTCCTTTAATTACTCAAGTTTTTAAGTTTTGGGATACCGTATTTACTCTATTAGTGGGGTCCTCTCTAATAGTGGGGTCGTCTGGAGGGGGGTTGAAAAAATAGTGGGGTCCTCTCTAATATTGGTAACGAAAGTGATACATCAATTGTTGATCTCTTGGATTAGTTCTTTTACTGTTTGTTAATGTTTTGTTACGGTTAAAGCTAAATAAAATATGAAGCCAAACTTGTTTTTTCAAGAATTTCGGAGAAAAATTGATATCTTTTCAACTTAAAACTTTGGTTTTATGTTCTTTTAAATTTTTCTATTGGGTTGATGCATAATTATCCGGACTTCTTTTTGCGTGCTTGTATCTTTTTTGTTTTGAAAGCTTTTTGTCTATTTCTTTTTTTAAAATATTCGTTATTCTTTAGTGAACAAAATGCGTGTCGACAATCATATCCATCTTCGCCATATCATGCTCTACCACTTCGAAAAGGGATGGTCTGCCGCAGAGTCGTTTCGCGATCTCAAAGAACTGGAGAAGCCCCAACGGACTACCACGTCAATCGATCGCTCAAAAATTGGCAAACAAATAAGATCTACAACGATTTGGATGACTTGATAGACGATGTTAAAGCGTGGATTGCCTCCAAAGATCGTTTATTCTTCGCTCGTGGAATCGATCGTCTTCCAAGCAAATGGCAATCAGTTATTGATGTAGGCGGTGAATATGCTCCAGAATAATCAATTAAACATATTTTTCTAACTATTTATGTTATTTTTTGTTAAATAAAATCATTTATAAAAGAAGTCCGGATAATTATGCATCAACCCAATAATAGTGGGGTCCTCTCTAATAGTGGGGTCGTCTGGAAGGGGATTGAAAAAATAGTGGGGGACCCCACTAATAGAGTAAATACGGTAACTGGATGAATTTGGGAGAAATGAAATTAATGAAATGGCCATGGACCTTTAAAGAAACTTTTTACACGCAAAAGTTTTATTTCTTTCTTTTCTTTGAGCAAAAGCGTTCAATATTTCTGTACAAATATCAGCTTTGAGAGATTTTCTTGCTTTTCTTTTCATAAACCTTTCATAAAGCTCAAAAAAAGCTTTCATAAAGCTTTCCTCTCAAAGAAAGCTAGCTCGTTGACATTTGTCAATGGGAAAGTGATCGTTTAAACACTTTCTTCAGCATAAACCTCATTTAGTGTCGAAATAAAAAAGATAGAGTACACTTTTTTATATAATTTCCCAAATTTTCAACAAGATCCTTTCAACCGTTTTCTCTATATGACAATTTTTAGATTTTAGACCTTTCGTTGAGCTAAGGCGTTGTTTGAGTTTTCTTTTAAACTTGATTTTGTAGAGAATTAGTTACTCTTTCTATTGATATCAAAAGCCTATCATTTAACGAAAGAAATTCTCATTCCTTTCATTGATTTCATAAGAATTTCTTTGATTTTCGATGATTTTCGGCCTCGTTTTGTCCTAAAAACCGAATAAATTCTCCTTTTTCATGTTATCGATTGAAAATCCTTTCCCATCGTATTCCCATCGTTCTTTTTTTATGCCAAAAAGAAATTGTAGTCGTTTCTTTTTACTGAAAACATTGAATACAATGAAATTTCTTGAAAAATATTCGAAAAAAAGAATAAAATAATTGAAGGGGAAAAGGATAAAAGTTCTCAAGTTCTCTTGAAGTTCTCTAGAAGTTCTCTGGAAGTCTTCTTGAAGCTCTCTTGAAGTTCTCTTGAAGTTCTCTTGAAGTCTTCTTGAAGCTCTCTTGAAGTTCTCTTGAAGTTCTCTTGAAGCTCTCTTGAAGTTCTCTTGAAGTCTTCTTGAAGCTCTCTTGAAGCTCTCTTGAAGTTCTCTTGAAGTCTTCTTGAAGCTCTCTTGAAGCTCTCTTGAAGCTCTCTTGAAGCTCTCTTGAAGCTCTCTTGAAGCTCTCTTGAAGCTCTCTTGAAGTTCTCTGGAAGTTCTCTTGAAGTTCTCTTGAAGTCTTCTTGAAGTTCTCTTGAAGCTCTCTTGAAGTTCTCTTGAAGTCTTCTTGAAGCTCTCTTGAAGCTCTCTTGAAGCTCTCTTGAAGCTCTCTTGAAGTTCTCTTGAAGTTCTCTTGAAGCTCTCTTGAAGTTCTCTTGAAGTCTTCTTGAAGCTCTCTTGAAGCTCTCTTGAAGCTCTCTTGAAGTTCTCTTGAAGTTCTCTTGAAGCTCTCTTGAAGTTCTCTTGAAGTCTTCTTGAAGCTCTCTTGAAGCTCTTTTGAAGCTCTCTTGAAGCTCTCTTGAAGTTCTCTTGAAGTCTTCTTGAAGCTCTCTTGAAGTTCTCTGGAAGTTCTCTTGAAGCTCTCTTGAAGCTCTCTTGAAGTTCTCTTGAAGTTCTCTTGAAGTCTTCTTGAAGTTCTCTTGAAATGTTTCCATTCTTTTTCTCAAAGTTATCCACCATATGTCGCTCACATATGCCTCAATTAATTATGTGACATTTGAAAGACGAATTTGAAAGCATTTAAGTCGATTTGACAGTTTAATAGGCTACTTTATGCTTGAAAAAACGTAAACAAAACTTTTCCAGCGCTGATTACCGATTCCGAAAGGGAATCGATATCTAACAGGACGATGTGCCAGATTGAGCGCGATTGTGCGCGCGCACAAAGAACACTTCGCCAGTCATTTACCGGTTTCTCTTTGGCTTTTTTGATGACAGATATTCAGCTGTCAATTTGTACCCATCGGTTTTCAGGGTCGGGGAATTGAATGGAGTTACTCATTTCAATCCAAACTCTTTCGGTCCTGAGCTTTCATCCGAGATTGTTGGCCATTCTTTGGTTCAAATCTTCCATAAACAGTGCTCAACACCATGCTGACTTCCCCAAGAAAATCAATTTGTTTTCCTCTTTTCTTTTCTCATAGCTGATCACATAATTCATCGTGCTCGCCGATTTCACCTCAATCTCTTCTCTTTACTTCTCCTCTTTTCTTTCCCCCAAAACTTGCAAAGGAAAAGCCGATTGTGCGTCACTTTAAACACTTCTTTTCTCTTCTTTCTCTCTTCTTTCTCTCTTCTTTCTCTCTTCTTTCTCTTCTTTCTCTTCTTTCTCTCTTCCTTTTCTCTTCTTTCTCTTCTTTCTCTTCTTTCTCTTCTTTCTCTTCTTTCTCTCCTTTCTCTCTTCTTTCTCTTTTTCTAAAACTTTTCACCTATTTGACGGATCATCCCCTTCTTTTCCTCTGTTTTCTTGAGACTTTTCACTATTTGTAGAAAGAAAATCTTTACCTTCAGGGAACAAGACTTGTCTAAAAATAAATAAAGAAAATTTTTAGAAAAAAACATTGAAAAATTGAATAAGTTACTCAAGTTACTTACTCAAAGTGCTCATAAGACAATTTTGAATTTAAATTTGAGTTTAAATTTGAGTTTGAATAGGTTTTGAAAGGGAAATTCAACGGGGTAAACCTGTGGATCAAGATTAAAAGCAATCAAAGTAAACTTAAAGGGAATTGGTGAAAGAAAGTTTGGAGAAAAGTGAAAGAAGATCTTGAATAGAAGATCTTGAATAGAAGATCTTGGCTAGAAGATCTTTCTTTCTTGTTTGAAGCTTGTTTGTTTGTTTGTTTGTTTGTTTGTTTGTTTGTTTGTTTGTTTGAAGAAAAGTAGGGCCAAAACTAGAGTTTAACAAGAGTAAGAATAGGAAATACAAGGAAGCAAATGGGAATCAAATAGTGGAAGATTTTACAACCATTTACAGGCTGATCAAGCGGTTGAAGTGATCGATGATGCGCGAGTTGTCCTTTATGTGAATCGAGCATATGAGAACGTGACGGGTTGTTTGAGAGGAGAAGTCGTCGGACAACCGGAAAGCGATATGAGAAGGTCAGAGAAAGATTTGAAGTGATTTTAATGGATTGGCATCGATTTGAATCAATTTGAATCAATTTGGATCCATTTGGATCAATTTGGATCAATTTGGATCAATTTGAATCCTTTTGAATCCATTTGAATCAATTTGGATCAATTTGGATCAATTTGGATCAATTTGGATCCATTTGAATCAATTTGGATCAATTTGGATCCATTTGAATCCTTTTGAATCCTTTTGAATCCATTTGAATCAATTTGGATCCATTTGAATCCTTTTGAATCCATTTGAATCAATTTGGATCCATTTGAATCCTTTTGAATCCATTTGAATCAATTTGAATCAATTTGGATCCATTTGAATCCTTTTGAATCCATTTGAATCAATTTGAATCAATTTGGATCCTTTTGAATCCATTTGAATCAATTTGGATCCATTTGAATCCTTTTGAATCCATTTGAATCCATTTGAATCAATTTGGATCCATTTGAATCCATTTGAATCAATTTGAATCAATTTGGATCCATTTGAATCAATTATTAGGTTGATGCAAAAGTCTTTTTCATTTTTTTCGTACTTCCGTTAAAAAGTAACAAATGCACCAATTGAACAACGGTTTATTGCATTCGAAAGGCCAATTATTTTTCTGCAAAATGACATTAAAACGAGTTTAAAATGTGTTATGTCTAGATTTTTTTGAGAGCCTGAAGTCGGGTAGTCAAAAAAGGCGACGGCTCGATGATGCATTTTAGACGCTTTAGCTAAGGAAACCAATCTTGATGTTAATAAATAAAAGATAGAGCACAAAAAGTTCGATATTTTTTCAGATTTTCAGAGAAATTGATTCAGCCAATTTCTTTATAGAGGTTTTTATAGATTTGTTATGAAAAACCCGTTTTCACTCTCGAATTTGCTTGAAAGTGAACCCAAATTGACTTAAAAAGATGGGAAATTCAACAATAAACAGTTTTCATTTAGAGCAAACCATAGGTTAATTGATGACTTTGTTATTTTTCAAAAGAAGTACGAAAAAAATGAAAAAGACTTTTGCATCAACCTAATAGAATCCATTTGAATCCATTTGGATCCATTTGAATCAATTAGAATCCATTTGAATCAATTTGAATCAATTTGAATCAATCTGAATCCATTAGAATCAATTTGAATCCAATTGAATCCATTAGAATCCATTTGACTCCAGTTGAATCCATTTGAATCAATTTGGATCAATTTGGATCCATTCAAATCAATTCAAATCACTTTTAATCAATTTAAATCGATTCCATTTTGATTCCTAACTTTTGAATAGCCTTTCTTCTATAGTTTTATTATTTGAAAACATTGATGAGCTTTGTGAAATCGTTTTCTATCATTCCACCAACTCCTTGTCAATTTCTTGACTTTTTGAAGTATTTTATGGCATCAACAATTTGAACCTTTCAAATGGATTCAAATGGATTCAAATGAATTCAAATGAATTCAAATGGAATCAACAATTTGAACCGTTCGATCGTTCGTTTAACCGTTCAAATCTCGATTTCTAGAACAGTCTGCTTATTTCTCGATTTCTAGAACAGTTATCAATCTGCTTATCTTTGGAAAATCTTTGAAAAGCCAAGAAACAAGAAAAGCTTGATTGCTGTTCTGATTTGCTTGATTTCAATGAAAGAATTTGATTGATAGCTATTCTAGAAACCGAGATCTAAACGATCAAACTCCCAGAGACTCTCGAGTTTAAAAAAATTGATTTCTATAGATTTCTATAGAATTCTATAGAATTTCTGAGTAAAGTATTGATGTAAAGTGTTTAAAAATAAACATTAAATGTTATCAAGAACGTATTTAAAAATTTAATTCGTAAATTGTGAGCAATTGATTTGTTAAATCTTTAGAAAATCTTTACCTCGACCCCGGGAGGAGGATCGAAGGAGATCGTCCGATTGGAAATGCATCCGGGTACCGAGCAGCTCGTGTAGGTGAGTGAGCATTGCTGAGGCTTAGCAATCAATATTGAAAAATATTGATTGCTTTAAAAATACAGTGCATTCTCTTTAACCACAACCTATTTGGGGTCGAGATTTGATTGTGTAAGCGAAAGACGACACTTCTGACACTGCCTTCACCCATACTGCTCAAGTTTCTTGGTGTTGGACTGTTTAATTTATATGTTTTTGATATCATTAGATAGGCCAAGTCTTTCTCTATCGATTGATATAAAAACTATTTAAATTGGACAACCCAACACCAAGAAATTTGAGCTCAAAGATTATCATTGGCAGCCTCACTTTAAGCTCAAATATCTTGGTGTTGAACTGTTCAATTTCCACATTTTTGATATCATTAGATAGGCCAAGTCTTTCTCTATCGATTGATATAAAAACTATTTAAATTGGACAACTGAGCGCTAAGAAATTTGAGCTTGAAGTTAAGATGGCAAAGAGGGCGGGGCGATTGGCCTTTTATACGCGAGACCCCGCCCCTTTTCCATTGCCATAACTTTAAGCCATAACTGCACCAAGTCTTTCTCTATTGATTTGTATAAAAACTACTTAAATTGGACAATCCAACACCAAGAAATTTGAGGTTAAAGTTAGCCAATGGCAAAAGGAGCAGCTTTTTCCTATTGGCTATCTTTAAGCTCAAATTTCTTGGTGTTGGGTTGTTCAATTTAAATAGTTTTTATATAAATCGATAGAGAAAGACTTAGCGCATCTAATAATATCAAAAATATTTAAATTAAATAATTCAAATAGGTTATTAGACATTTAATCCGCACCCCACCCCTTTTCCAGGCAAGCTAACTTTAAGCTCAAATTTCTTGTTGTTTAGCTGTTCAATTGAAATGATTTTTATACCAATCAATAGAGAAAGACTTGGCGCATCTAATGATATAAAAAACATATAAATTGAACAGTTCAACACCAAGAAATTTGAGCTTAAAGTTGGCCAATAGGAAAGGAGGTCGGGCTTCTATCAAATGTCCCACAATCATCAAGTAAAGGCTCTTGAAATGCTTTTGTGCCCAGTGCTCAGTGTCCAGTGCTTTAAGGAGATTGAAATAATTAATAATAAATAAGAACGACACCTATAATTAAAGCCAAAACAGTATAGCGATACCTTTTGTTGAAAAAGTTGCTGATAAACGCCTGTCTTTTTATCAAAGTGTCAAGTATTATAGAGAAAAATAAAGCCCTTAATCTTGGCATCACTTTTCCGCCAAAGAACTTCACGATTGGAATGCTGTAGATCGAAAATTTGATCATTTTTTGATGATGGAGGCTCATGCTCATCTTTCCTTTTAGTAATCAATACGTGTATGTGAAAAGACGGAGTCTTGACGGTGGAATTTATCGAGATGTCTCGTTGAAGAGTATCCGATCACAAGCGATGATGGAGGCTCCGATTTCCGAGGTAATACTAATAACAGTTACAAGCTCCATCTAATAACACATCAAACACATCAAACACTTCAAGATCCTCAAAAAAAAAACATGAATTTTCGTCTAAATCATCTCATTGAGTAATTCATTACTAGGAAATGGTTAGATTTCGATTTCGAATCAAAACCAAAGCAATATTGACTTGCGCAACACGATGGCGTTTTTAGTTTTTCCCTAAACACTCTAGACTTCTGTAAAAATGCATCTGAAATTGAGCGAAATTGAGCTAGAAACTGGGGGACTTATGGGTTTGTAAAGGCTGCCGTCGCTCGCCAAACAAAGGCCTCGGTGGTGCAGTGGTAGTGTCGCGGTCTCGGGATCCTTGGCATGCGGGTTCGATCCCCGTTGCATCAATTTCTTTTCTATTTTAATGTTTTGAGTAGTTTTTTTAAATGTATGCAAATGGTGATTTAATAGATTCAATTCAATTTCAATTCACCTTTAATTCATCCTAGATTCAAGCCAGTGCTGGTCAAACCAAGCTCAAGCTATCGGTAGCAAGATCTTCAACCATCTTCAACCATTCAAATTTCATTCCCTAGCCCAAATTCAAATGTTCAAATGATCATTCCCTATTTCTTAGCCTAAAATTTCTAGGTGATTTCAATGCTACGTGAAGCGGCTGGACGTTGTGAAGGCGAGAGTGCGCAATTGGTGAAAGATGCTGTGAAAGTGAGTTGTAAAAAGACAAGAATTGAGTAGATTGAGTCTTAAAAACCCGGTCTTTTATTCTTTAGTCTTTTGAACCTGGTCTATTAACCAAGAGCACTTTTATTGAAAGGCTAAACCAAGGGATTTTGATTTGGTGGTTAAACTCTCATTACGCTTTGAAAAACTGTTACCGTATTTTCTCTAATAGCAGTGCACCCAAGCGAGCCGAGTTGATGACTATTCTACAGTTTCCAAGTTTTCCCAGAAGCTCAACACTCAAATCATCGTCAAGATCTAATCGTTAGCTACATTTTCCGACCCCACATCGATAGATTCTGATAAGCGGTTCGCGAGATTTCGAAGAATTTAGACGACGCTCTGGGTGCACTACTATTAGAGAAAATACGGTGTACAATGTTGTAGCAATTTTGAAGAGTTGTAGCAATGTTTAAGAGTTCTAGCTAAACTGTAATCTTAGGTTCTTTCCTCACACGAGCTTTATCTACCAAATATGCAAAAGATTCGGGACGGTGATCAACGAATGGCTGCACAATATTATGATGGCCTTGTTCGGGTTGGAACCGTAAGTGAACAAGACGGAGAAATGGAGAGAAATGGATTGAGAAAGGATTTACAACAAAAAAACAAAAGCAAAGATCAAAACAAAAGCAAACACAAAAATAAAAACAAAAACAAAAGCAAACAAAAACAAAACTTTTACTTAAACACTACGGTTTCTACTGACTATCTTCTATTGGTTATAAGAACTCTGTGAATATCTAAAGATACAGAAACATGGATTCTTTTGCCCAAGGCTACGCCTAAGCCGAGGCTAAGCCTAAGCCTAAGCCTTAGCCTTAGCCTAAGCCTAAGCCTGAGCCTAAGCCTAAGCATAAGCCTAAGCATAAGCCTAAGCCTAAGCCTGAGCCTAAGCCTAAGCCTAAGCCTGAGCCTAAGCCTAAGCCTAAGCCTTAGCCTTAGCCTAAGCCTAAGCCTGAGCCTAAGCCTAAGCCCTAAGCCTAAGCCTGAGCCTGAGCCTGAGCCTAAGCCTAAGCCTGAGCCTAAGTCCAAGCCTAAGTCTAAGCCTAAGCCTAAGCCTAAGCCTTAGCCTTAGCCTAAGCCTAAGTCTGAGCCTTAGCCTAAGCCTTGTTGAAAAAAACCCAATCATTATTGGCACTAAAGCGCTTCAGCAAAACTTCCAAAGCCTAAGCCTAAGCCTAAGCCTTAGCTCCGGGAACTGGCTGAGCTCCAGAAAATGGGGCCTCAGCGTGGCAATCTGGGAAGTTGTTGGAGATGTTCAATTGTCTAATTGCTAAATCTTATGTATCCCAAACCCAAATAGACTTAGTGCGAAGGCTAGCGACTAGCGCCTCGCACTAAGTCCAAGCCTGAGCCTAAAACAGCAAACGTTTTACATAAAATTTGAAGTAATTAAACAAAGCAAAAAGCTTTTGAGTGATTGTTTAAAATGAATAAAAGTGAAATTGTAACTTTCAAATTTTTAAATTTCAATTTTTTTGGTTAAATTTTTTTGGTTAAATTTTTTTGATTAAATTTTTTAATTAAATTTTTTTGCTAAAATTTTTTCAATCAAATTTTACTCAAGTAAATCCTTTTTCAATCCAAAAACAAACTCTCAAATGTCATTTTTTTTTTCTTTTCTGTGTTCGTGCCTATAAATGATTGGTGTTTCGATGAATGGAAAGTGTTTTTGAGTTTAAAATTTCCCACCAAAAAAAAAACAACTCTTTTAATGCTTTGTGCTTTGTAGAAATTTTAAGTTTTGCTTTTTTTTTTTCAAAAATTTTTGTGTTACTTATACTTTATTTAATTCAAAAATTGATTCAAATCAAAATTAGCAATCACCAATTTGCAATTTTAGCTTTATTTAGCTTTGATTTATGCTATTTTTAAAGAAAATAGGCTGATTTTTAAGAAAATAGGCTGATTTTTAAGAAAATAGGCTGATTTTTAAAGAAAATAGGCTATTTTTTAAGAAAATAGCTACTTTTTTAAGAAAATAGGCTGTTTTTTAAAGAAAATAGACTGTTTTTAAAGAAAATGGGCTATCTTAAAGAAAATAGATTGTTTTTAAGAAAATAGACTGCTTTTTAAAGAAAATAGGCTATTTTTAAAGGAAATATGCTGTTTTTTAACGAAAATAGGCTGATTTTTAAAGAAAATAGGCTATTTTTAAAGAAAATGGGCTATTTTTTAAATAAAATAGACTGCTTTTTAAAGAAAATATGCTGTTTTTAAAGAAAATAGACTATTTTTTAAAGAAAATGGGCTGTTTTTAAAGAAAATAGGCTATTTTTAAGGAAAATAAGCTATTTTTAAAGAAAATGGGCTATTTTTAAAGAAAATGGGCTGTTTTTAAAGAAAATGGGCTATTTTTTAAAGAAAATAGGCTGTTTTTAAAGAAAATAGACTATTTTTTAAAGAAAATGGGCTGTTTTTAAAGAAAATCGGCTATTTTTAAGGAAAATAAGCTATTTTTAAAGAAAATGGGCTATTTTTAAAGAAAATAGACTGTTTTTAAAGAACATAAGCTATTTTTTAAAGAAAATGGGCTGTTTTTAAAGAAAGTAGACTATTTTTTAATCTAAATTATCTAAAAATAGCTCTAATCGAAGAGCAAAGATTTCTAAAGCTTTGTAGAAGTTCAGCTTAAGCTTAAGCTAAAGCTTCTACTAGTCTAGCTAGTAGTCAGCTTAAGCGAAAGCTAGTCTAAGCTTAAGCCAAAGCCTCTAGTAGCCTAGCTAGTAGTCAGCTTAAGCCAAAGCTAGTCTGAGCTTAAGCCAAAGCTTCTAGCGGTCTAGCTAGTAGTCAGCTTAAGGCAAAGCTTTTAGTAGTCTAGCTAGTAGTCAGTTAAAGCCAAAGCTAGTCCGAGCTTAAGCCAAAGCTTCTAGTAGCTTCTAGTAGCTTTTTAGAGAGCTGTAAATCCAGATAGATACTGTAGAAGACTAGTTTTTGCCTTATTACACTTTTAACATCAAGATTTCTATTAGTTATTGATTTGTTTTAACCGAAAACCTTTTAAAAACAAGCCAAATCTCAATCTGTTCTTTGTGCTCTCTTAAACGCATTTTTCTGGCACATCCAATGGGAATAGCTTAGCGCAATTTGTAGTTTATAATCTTAAGAACGAATTCTTTCATTAGGATTACATTAGGATGCCTTGGTGCTTAACGGTGTGCCAAAAAGCGAGCGTTTATGAGAGCACAAAAAAAAGTCACTATTGCAGTTAATAGTGAAGAGATTTTGATAAGAAAAACATTGAAATTCACTATAACTTTAGTTATTTCGATTTACAGTAGTTTATAGTGGCTTTAAAGTGAATTAAAGTGGCTTTAAAGTAGCTTTAAAATGAATTAAAGCCATTTTCTAATGATATAAACCAAGCTATTAACAAAGAAAAATATTGAAATTCACTATAACTTTAGTTATTTTAGATTTACAGTACTTTATAGTGGCTTTAGAATTAATTAAAGTAGCTTTAAAGTAGCTTTAAAATGAATTAAAGCTAATTTCAAATGATATAAACCAAGCTATTAACAAAAAAAATCGCTTTCATCACACCGCTAAATTGTTGGCCGAACACAAATCGAAAAAAAAAAAAAAAAAAAAACGAATTTTTAGCTTCTCCCTCTTGTGCACTATTTTGTCTTTTGAAAGGAAAGATTTCACAGAAAAAGCAATAAAAAGAATTGCAGCTTTTAAAAGGTTCTAAAAGGAATCAATCTTAGAAAACTATTGCTATTCTAGCTCTCTATTTACATTCGATTAGCCTTTAAAATTGAAATTGAAATTCCCCCCGTTTTTTCCCTATCCATCAATACCGTTTTACTGTTCTAATTAAGCCAAAAAGTTAACAGTTTTCACGAATAAACTCACAATAAGCAATTAAACTTACCGTATTTACTCTATTAGTGGGGTCCTCTCTAATAGTGGGGTCGTCTGGAGGGGGGGTTGAAAAAATAGTGGGGTCCTCTCTAATATTGGTAACGAAAGTGATACATCAATTGTTGATCTCTTGGATTAGTTCTTTTACTGTTTGTTAATGTTTTGTTACGGTTAAAGCTAAATAAAATATGAAGCCAAACTTGTTTTTTCAAGAATTTCGGAGAAAAATTGATATCTTTTCAACTTAAAACTTTGGTTTTATGTTCTTTTAAATTTCTCTAATAGTGGGGTCGTCTGGAAGGGGATTGAAAAAATAGTGGGGGACCCCACTAATAGAGTAAATACGGTATCTAGTTTAATATCCTATCTAGACTGAATACCGTAATCTAGGGATTCTAGACTGATTATCCTATTCTAGATTGTATAATATAATGCAGACAGTCAAGACTGAATACTCTAATCTAGACTGAATACCGTAATCTAGGGGTTCTAGACTGATTATCCTATTCTAGATTCAATACCCTAAGCCAAGCAGTCTAGACCGAATACTCTAATCTAGACTGAATACTATGAAGACCGAATACCCAATCCGACAAAACCTTGTTTGCCAAACGATATCCTATTCTGTTGAATATGTAATGCAGGCAGTCAGACTGAAGACTCTAATCTAGACTGAATACCGTAATCTAGCGATTCTAGACTGATTATCCTATTCTAGATTGAATAATCTAATGCAGACAGTCAAGACTGAATACTCTAATCTAGACTAAATATCGTAATCTATCTATTCTAGACTAAATATCCTGTCCTAGATTGGATCCCGTAATCCAAACAGTCTAGACTGAATACTCTAATCTAGACGGAATACCCTAATCTAGAATAAATACGGTAATCTAGCCAATCTAGCCAATCGAATATCCGATTCCAGACTGAATACCCTGTACCAGGCCGTTTAGACTGCATACTTTATTCTAGACTGAATACCCTAATCTAGCTAATCTAGACTGAATATCCTATTCTAGACTGAATACCGTCATCCAGGCCTTTTAGACTGAATGCTCTATTCTAGGCTCGATCCTAGCTCTCTATTTACATTCGATTAGCCTTTAAAATTCAAATTTAAATTCCCCCCGTTTTTTCCCTATCCATCAATACCGTTTTACCATTCTAATTAAGCCAAAAAGTTAACAGTTTTCATGAATAAACTCACAATAACCATTAAACTTAACCCTTGCATGGCTCTTGTAATCTTGAGTTGTTGATGGGGTCGATTGAGTCGAATGAGTTGGATTTCAATTGGATTTAGCCAAAGCCAAAGCCAAAGCCAATTGGATTTCAATTGGATTTCAATTGGATCTAACGGTAGAGCAACATGAGATTCAGCATGACAGCAACTAACCGATAGAACTGTGTAGAGGGCTAGAATCTATTTTTCAAACATCAAACAAAAAACTCAACTGATTAGAGGGTATTGAATTGAATCGGTATTGAATTGAATCGGTATTGAATTTAGCCCTTCATTCACCGATTCAAACCGGATTTCACATCAATAGGGCGCATAAACGTTAGAGTCATCAATTCTTGGATGTAAATCTTGAATGAATGATTCTTGTAAGAAGATTACACTTCTAGATCTACAAGATCTAGAATTAATATCCTCTAGATCCACAAGAACTAGAATCAAGATCTTTTAGATCTACAAGCTCTGGAATCAAGATCTTCTAGATCCACCAGTTCCTCTAGATCCACAAGCTCTTCTAGATCCATCAGATCCTCTAGATCCACCAGATCCTCTAGATCCACCAGATCCTCTAGATCCACAAGCTCTTCTAGATCCACAAGCTCTTCTAGATCCACCAGATCCTCTAGATCCACCAGATCCTCTAGATCCACCAGATCCTCTAGATCCACAAGCTCTTCTAGATCCACCAGATCCTCTAGATCCACCAGATCCTCTAGATCCACCAGATCCTCTAGATCCACAAGCTCTTCTAGATCCACAAGCTCTTCTAGATCCACCAGATCCTCTAGATCCACCAGATCCTCTAGATCCACCAGATCCTCTAGATCCACAAGCTCTTCTAGATCCATCAGATCCTCTACATCCACCAGATCCTCTAGATCCACCTGACCCTCTAGATCCACCTGACCCTCTAGATCCACCTGACCCTCTAGATCCACAAGCTCTTCTAGATCCACCAGATCTTCTAGATCCACCAGCTCTTCTAGATCCACCAGATCCTCTAGATTCTAAATTACCATAGTAAAAAGTTGATTGATGAGGTATAACGGTATTGATGCATAAAAAATGAGAAGTTCTAACGTAAAATAGCGCCAAATTCGATGAGAAAAGGCTACAAAATTGAGCTAATCGAATGGAAACTGCTAGATTACAGTATTTTCTAAAATTTGGCCTTTTAGCAATAAAAGCGAAAAGAGATTGCGAGAACTGAGAAATCTTTCTGCTTTTTGATCAATCAATAACTTTTCATTTTAGTTACATCATCCATCGAGACAACGAAAGAGGAGTGTTGTTGACGCGTACAAGGATAAGAGAGGTAGTCAGTAGAAGTTCTCATTTTAACAATCAAAATAAAGAGACAAAATGGATGTGTAGTCTTGAAAGGGCTAGAAGTGGAGGTGATCGTTGCGAGAAGGCAACGGAGAGAAGTGGCAATGGCTAGAAGGCACTGGTCAGAAGGCAATGGCCAGAAGGCAATGGCCAGAAGGCAAGGGCCTGAAGTGGCATTGGCCAGAAGGCAATGGCCAGAAGTAGTAATGGCCAGAAGGCAATGGCTAGAAGTGGAGGGATGAGTGATACCTCGTTTGGTAGAGCTCGATAGATCTCGATAGCTCTCGATAGCTCTCGATAGAAGGCAATGGCCAGAAGTAGCAATGATCAGAAGTAGCAATGGCCAGAAGGCAATGGCCAGAAGGCAATGGCCAGAAGGTAATGGCCAGAAGGCAATGGTCAGAAGGCAATGGTCAGAAGGCAATGGCCAGAAGTGGAGGGATGAGTGATACCTCGTTTGATAGCTCTCGATAGCTCTCGATAGATCTCGATAGCTGTATTGATGACCAAAAACTCGTTGCCCAACTCTACAACGAGAAATGTGGCTGACAGGGAGTGAAAATGATGTTTTTAACCCTCCTTGACTAGACTGACTGGACCTTTCTGTCAAAAAACCTCATTTTTCCTCTTCGTCAGCCATTTCAAATGCTAAATTAAGCTGTACATAATAAATCTGTTCTCTAACTTTGTACGTTAAACATGTACGTTAAACATGTACGTTAAACATGTGCTTTAAACACGTACTTTCAACATGTACTTTCAACATGTACTTTCAACAAAAAACTTTCGTAATCCCTAGTTGCTTTAGAAAGATCATTAGAGAGGCAAAAAATAAACACAATTATGTAATGTAAAGAGACTTTGATTTAATCCAAAAAATCACATTGATCCATTATTGTCAATAATGTCGAAATTTAACAAAGAAAAACTCTCAGGCTTTCATGGAGAGCGTCGACGAGTGTCGGCTGATGTGAAAAATGCGCTTGAAAACGATCATTTATGGAATTTTGACATCTTGCAATTAGAGAGAATCACTGAACATCATGCTTTATCGCAATTGGGAATGAAGGTTAGTTTAGTGCTTGGATGGCCGAAGATCTTGTTACCGATAGCTACCGATAGCTACCGATAGCTACCGATAGCTTGAGCTTGGCTTGAGCAGCTCTGGCTTAAGTCTTGAGCAGTTCATTGGCCTGGACCTTGAGCATCAATGGCTTGAGCCTTAGCAGTTCAATGGCTCGAACCTTGAGCAGTTCAATGGTTTGAGTCTTGAGCATCAATGGCTTGAGCCTTGAGCAGTCCAATGGCTTGGGCCTCGAGCAGTTCAATGGCTTGAGCCTTGAGCAGCTTTGGCTTGAGCCTTGAGCAGTTCAATGGCTTGAGCCTTGAGCAGCTTTGGCTTGAGCCTTGAGCAGTTCAATGGCTTGAGCCTTGAGCATCAATGGCTTGAGCCTTGAGCAGTTCAATGGCTTGGGCCTTGAGCAGTTCAATGGCTTGAGCCTTGAGCAGCTTGGCTTGAGCCTTGAGCAGTTCAATGGCTTGAGCCTTGAGCAGCTTTGGCTTGAGCCTTGAGCAGTTCAATGGCTTGAGCCTTGAGCAGCTTTGGCTTGAGCCTTGAGCAGTTCAATGGCTTGAGCCTTGAGCAGCTTTGGCTTGAGCCTTGAGCAGTTCAATGGCTTGAGCCTTGAGCAGCTTTGGCTTGAGCCTTGAGCAGTTCAATGGCTTGAGCCTTGAGCATCAATGGCTCGAGCCTTGAGCAGTTCAATGGCTTGAGCCTTGAGCAGCTTTGGCTTGAGCCTTGAACATCAATGGCTCGAGCCTTAGAGGTTCAATGGCTTTAGCAGCTGAGCAACTCAATGCTCAATATTCAGTTTACTTACAGATCTTTGAGCGGTGGAAAGTTGGCGAGGTATTACAATGTCCAGAAGATATTCTCACTCGATGGCTGAATACGATTGAATTGCACTATCATGCTGGCAATGCGTATCACAATGCCACACATGCAGCCGATGTACTCCAGGTGAGACTTTTCAAAGCTTTCTTTTGTATTTTTTTGTATTACGAATGTGGTTTTCATTGAATTCAACAATGGCTAGTCTTGTACTTGAATCAATGACAAAATAAAGTTGACAAAGCCAAGCAATGCCGCAAAAAGAGGCGTCCTTATATAGGCACGACATTGTTTAGGGTACGGTAGGGTTTAGGGTACGGTAGGGTAGGGTTTCTGGTGTCTTATTAGACTGTGGTAGCTTTTTGGTGACTTGCCTTTACAAGACTGGATATTTTAAACCTTTAAACAAAATTCTAGAAGTATTAGATAAAATTTAACGATTAGATTAACAGAAATAGTTAAGCGTTAAGCTAAAAATGTTAAAAATAGCTAAACAATCGCAGTAAATGAACAATTGCAGTAATCCAGGAAACGAGGTGATATCTTTTTATTTCTCAAACTCTAGGCCACCTCCTATTTCCTTGATCAACCATCGGTGGCTGATCTCGTGGTTGATACACACGCTGTGGCTGCCCTCCTCGCCGCCGCCGTTCACGATCTCGATCATCCGGGTAAGTGGAAACAATTTGAGTTTGAAAGAAAACTTTCATTCTATCTTTCTCCATTCGAATTCACAAAATCTTAGAGAAAGAATGGCTTTATTGGCAGCTTTATTGATAGCTTTATTGGCACTTTATTTGATAGCTTTATTAGCAGCTTTATTAGCAGCTTTATTAATAGCTTTATTGATAGCTTTATTGGCAGCTTTTGGTAGCTTTATTGGTAGCTTTATTGGTAGCTTTATTAGCAGCTTTATTAATAGCTTTATTGGCACTTTATTAATAGCTTTATTTGATAGCTTTATTAGCAGCTTTATTAGCAGCTTTATTAATAGCTTTATTGATAGCTTTATTGCCACTTTATTGGCAGCTTTATTGGCACTTTATTGGTAGCTTTTGGTAGCTTTCTTGGTAGTTTGATTAGCAGCTTGATTAGCAGCTTTATTGGCAGCTTTCTTCGCAGATAGCTGAAGAATCAGATATAGCTAGATAAGCATAAGAAAACTTAAAGTAGATAGATATCTATAGGATCAGTGTGTTCCTCTTGATGCGCTTTCTAAAGCGTGCGCTTTAAGGCTACCGAAAAACTATTTACAGTCAATATAATGGTAGATCTTTTTTAAAAATAATTCCATGAAAATCGCAGCTTTTTTGGAGCAAAAGTTAATCTAAAATTAAAGTTATTCAATTGAAAGGAAGATAAAGAGTAAGAGAAAGAGAAAGAGAAAGAGAAAGAGAAAGAGAAAGAGAAAGAGTAAGAGTAAGAGTAAAAGAAAGAGTAAAAGAAAGAGTAAGAGAGAGAGAAAGAGAAAGAGTAAGAGCAAAAATTAGAAATAGGCACTACAAACTACAAACGACTCTAACGTGCTTTAAATCTGTCGGATTGACATGGTCTATAGCTCAAAAGATAGAGAATTTCAAGAGCTTTTAAATGAATTAAAGCACACCAAAAATATCAATGCTAAAGAAAGTTACAATGGTTTGTAGCACGGTCCGTTTTGAGTCAAGTCTATAAACTACTGTAACTTTCTTTAGCATTATTATTTTCGAGTGTGCTTTAGTTCATTCAAAAGCTCTTGAAATTCTCTATTTTTTGAGCTATAGACCATGTCAATCCGACAGATTTAAAGCAAGTTAGAGTCGTTTGTATTTTGACAGTTCATCATTTTTATCGTTTAAAGTCAAGTATGTTTTCTCGAATTTTCTCGTGAATTTCTCGTAAGATTTTTAGCTATTCTATCGTTCTACCATTAAAAAAAAGTATCCTATTATATAAAGTATTGATTTTAAGGACGAGGAAATGCTTATCTGATCAACACTCGCCAATCACTCGCCATTCTTTACAACGATCAATCCGTTCTCGAGAATCACCATGTCGCATTGGCTTTCCAGTTGACTTTGCAACAAAATAGTAATGTAAGTTGAAAGAAATGAACGCAAGAATATTGATATATGATGAAAAAGATGAAAAATGCAAACAAATTGAGTATTTTTACAAAAATTGAGCTGATTGATGGGAAATGAAACCGTATTTTCTCTAATACCGTATTTACTCTATCAATGGGGTCCTCTCTAATAGTGGGGTCGTCTGGAGGGGGGGTTGAAAAAATAGTGGGGTCCTCTCTAATATTGGTAACGAAAGTGATACATCAATTGTTGATCTCTTGGATTAGTTCTTTTACTGTTTGTTAATGTTTTGTTACGGTTAAAGCTAAATAAAATATGAAGCCAAACTTGTTTTTTCAAGAATTTCGGAGAAAAATTGATATCTTTTCAACTTAAAACTTTGGTTTTATGTTCTTTTAAATTTCTCTAATAGTGGGGTCGTCTGGAAGGGGATTGAAAAAATAGTGGGGGACCCCACTAATAGAGTAAATACGGTATTAATCCATTTCTCTCCATTTCTCCGTCTTGTTCACTTACGGTTCCAACCCGAACAAGGCCATCATAATATTGTGCAGCCATTCGTTGATCACCGTCCCGAATCTTTTGCATATTTGGTAGATAAAGCTCGTGTGAGGAAAGAACCTAAGATTACAGTTTAGCTAGAACTCTTAAACATCGCCACAACTCTTCAAAATTGCTACAACATTGTACACCGTATTTTCTCTAATAGTAGTGCACCCAGAGCGTTGCCTAAGTTCTTCGAAATCTCAAGAACCGCTTATCAGAATCTATCGATGTGGGGTCAGAAAATGTAGCTGACGATGAGATCTTGACGATGATTTGAGTGTTGAGCTTCTGGGAAAACTTAGAAAGCCGTAAATAGTCATCAACTCGGCTCGACTATGACGACTATGACAAAGACTATGACGAATTTGAGCGTCTAAGATCATTGAAAATGGCTACTGCAGTAATTTCTAGAGATTTTTAATCTAATCTAGTTACCGGAATTCACTTCATTTCCCGAATACGGTTGATTGCTTTAAAACATGACCAAGTTACCGTATAGCACACCGTATTCTCTCTAATAGTAGTGCACCCAGAGCGTCGTCTAAATTCCTCGAAATCTCGAGAACCGCTTATCAGAACCTATCGATGTGGGGTCGGAAAAGGTAGCTGGCGATGAGATCTTGACGATGATTTGAGTGTTGAGCTTCTGGGGAAACTTTGGAAGCCGTAAATAGTCACCAACTCGGCTCGACCGCGGTGCACTACCATTAGAGAAAGTCGGATTACGATAGTTTTCTAAAATAGATCCAGAAAATGCTTTAGAAAGCTGATAATTGTGAAAATTGTACACAATTGTACACAATTCTACACAATTGTACAAAATTGTACATAATTGTACATAATTGTACATAATTGTACACAAAAATGTTTAGGTAAACATTTTTGGCGCTCTTTCCCGTGATGAATTCTCGACAATGCGCTCGGCAATGGTCGAAATGGTTTTGGCGACCGATATTCGCCGACATTTCGAATATGTGGCAAAGTTTAATCAGGTGAATACTTTGATCTTTTCTTTGGCTTTTGATCTTTTCATTAAGATCTTATCTCCAACTAATACCATTATTACCATTCTTTTTTTTTCTAGACTTTGAAAGGAGATCAATCGAACAATGCGCGAGTGATCTGGGTGAATCTAGAGAAAAGAAAGCTGATCCTTTATTGCCTTCATAGAATTGTGTGAAAATCCCTGAAGACTAAAAAAGACTAAAATTCTCGTTTTTCGTAATAATCTGTAGTTGTTGTCAATCCTGAAGTTGTTTTATTTGCGGAGAGAGTTCGCTTTGGCTGAAAGAGGCTGAAAGAGGAAGATTTTTAGGGAAAGGAGTCACTTTTTGATCGAATTTTTGATTTTGACAGCCCCGACTCGGTTCCCATTTCAAATAGATAGAACAAGCGATCTTTTGGACAGCTTTTGAAGCTTTTGGACAGCTTTTGAAGCTTTTGGAGAGCTTTTGAAAGCCTTTTCGGTCCAAACCTCCAAAGTTACTCGAACAAATGCTTTCCCCAACAAAAGTTTTGCCAAAAAGTTTTCCCAACAAGTTAACCGACTCGGAAAACCAGCACCTACCTATCGGGACCGCGTGCCAGTTAGAGGGCGATTGTCCGCGCGCTCAAAGAACAATTCGAAGTCTTACGGAGCACGGAAGTTGCTCGGGCTCAAAAGGAAATACCTATCTATTGGGACGGGGTGCCAGACCGAGAGCGATTGTGTGCGCGCTCAAAGAACACTTTCCCAGTCATCTACGAACAACGAAAGTTTACCGGTCGCAAAAGCTATCTATTGGGACGGGGTGCCAGATGGAGAGCGATTGTGCGCGCGCTCAAAGAACAACTCGCTAGTCATCTAAGAACAAGGAAAGTTTACCGGTCGCAAAAGCTCTCTATTGGGACGGGGTGCCAGATGGAGAGCGATTGTGTGCGCGCTCAAAGAACAACTCGCCAGTCATTTACGGATTTCACTTGTTTTGTAAAAAGAAGAGATTCAGCTGTAAACTTGTACCCAGGGGTTTTCGCGGTCGGCGAATCGATTTGAGCTATTCATTTTGTCCCATAAACTCCTGAACACTTCTATTTTCAAACAAAAAGTGGCTCTGATTCCATATCCAATTGAAAAAACCTGTAGAAATGTTGTTCTGTGCTTGGAAAAACCGTTTTGAATTTTTGGAATTTTCAATTTTCAGATGAATCTCGTTGATGTGGCTGATGAGCAGAGAGACGCGAACTCGATGATCGTTTGCAATATGTTAGTGAAGTGTGCCGATATCTCGAATCCATGTCGGGAATGGGGATTGTGTCAGAAATGGGCATTCCGAATTGTTGAAGAGTATTTTGAACAAGTGAGTTATAGTTTGAGATAAAGCCTGGACTGTGCTTGAGGGTAGAATGTTAGTTGGGGAATACGAGGGGCTAATGGGGGTACTGTAGGTACTGTAGGTACTGTAGACCTGTACTACAGTACCTGTAGACCTGCAGACCTGGACTACAGTACCTGTAGACCTGCAGACCTGGACTACAGTACCTGTAGACCTGTAGACATGTACTACAGTACCTGTAGACCTGTAGACCTGTAGACCTGTACTACAGTACCTGTAGACCTGCAGACCTGTACTACAGTACCTGTAGACCTGTAGACATGTACTACAGTACCTGTAGACCTGTAGACCTGTAGACCTGTACTACAGTACCTGTATACCTGCAGACCTGTACTACAGCACCTGTAGACCTGCAGACCTGTACTACAGTACCTGTAGACCTGTACTATAGTACCTGTAGACCTGTAGACCTGTACTACAGTAACCCAGACTAGACCAGGCCTAGATTTCTTTAGCTCTAAACTATCTAGGGTCTACAAAAAGCTAATTACAGACGAGAGAAGAAAAGGAGAAAGGACTCCCGTTGACAATGGAATTCTTCGATCGAGAGTCTTGCAATGTGCCGATTACGCAATGTGGATTTGTAGGTAAGCGAAGAATCGCATTCTCTTCTAGAACTGTTCTTTCTTGTTCTTTCTTGTTCTTTCTTCTTTCTCTCTTCTTCCTTTCTTCTTCCTCTCTTCTTCCTTTCTTCTTCTAAACCAAAAAACCTCCATTATTCTTCCAGACATGTTCGTCCGCGAGGCTTTCACGTGCTGGAGTGAGTTTGCCCATTTGCCGCACCTCCTAAAACAATTGGAAACGAATTATGATGCGTGGAAACAGCAACAACCCAACTGGACACCCGCCAACAATATCGGCCTTTTATCCTAGCATTGAAATTGATGAAGATATCGATCTAGTGATCTTCGTTTGATTCAGGGAGCTTTAAAGGCAGAGAGATTAGCTCAAGCACAGTATTTCTTTCTATTTACAATCGAAAATTTGCGTATTTTGTATTGCCGTGGCTTTCTTGACCTTTTCGAGTTTCTTTAACACATTCGCGACGAAGCGCTTTTTTGCGTTACTGCCCCAGTGGACCGTTACTGGCCCTAGTGGACCGTTCTGCCCCCAGTGGACCGTTACTGGCCCCAGTGGACCGTTACTGCCCCCAGTGGACCGTTACTGCCCCTAGTGGACCGTTACTGCCCCCAGTGGACCGTTACTGGCCCTAGTGGACCGTTCTGCCCCCAGTGGACCGTTACTGGCCCTAGTGGACCGTTCTGCCCCCAGTGGACCGTTACTGGCCCTAGTGGACCGTTACTGCCCCTAGTGGACCGTTCTACCCCCAGTGGACCGTTACTGGCCCCAGTGGACCGTTACTGGCCCCAGTGGACCGTTACTGCCCTAGTTAGCCCCGAGATTAGCCCCGAAATACACCTCCTATATGTAAAATTTCATGCTGAATCCGAATCTCTAAGCAGATTTTGAAAATTTTGCTGCCTCAAAAAGATATCGGCTCTTTTTGAGACAAAACGCCACATTTCTCTTTCTCCAATGGTCTGTTTTCCACGATTTTTGTTTTATTGGATGGAGCTTAGCTAGATGAACATTTCATCTCAACATCATTTTTTGATAAGACTTTCCCCCAAAAAGTTATGGCCGTTTTACTAGGATCCGCACAATAGAGGTCTTCTATAGCGCAGTCGGTAGAGCGTCTGTCTCTGGGACGGGAGGAGTTTCGTCCGGTGGACCACAATTTCGTCCACCGGTGGACCGAATCGTCCCGAACGTGTTAAACCAAGCTTTTTATCTTTCGATCTCCATAGCTATTTCCCCCAATTAGATATGTACTTTGGTTTTGATTTCAATCGATGAATAACGAAATCGAGATCATATCTCTTAAAAGCAGTACTTTTTTTGTACCTATTTACATTGGTCAGCCTGTAGTAAAGCCATAGCCAGAGTCAGATCCAAGCCTGACACCTGGCTGACAGCCTACAGTGAAACCAGAGCTAGTTTCAAGTCTGACACCTGGATGACAACCTTGAAGCCAGAGCTAGTTCCAAGCCTGACACCTGGATGAAGTCAAACTAAGGCTACTAGCTTTTGGCCTGGCTTTTGGCCTGGCTTTTGGCCTGGCTTTTGGCCTGGCTTTTGGCCTGGCTTCTGGCCTGGCTTTTGGCCTGGCTTTTGGCCTGGCTTCTGGCTTGACCTTGTTCTGTCGATCCTGACTCAGAAACCTTTAGAACAATTCAGTCCATAGCTCGAACTCAGTCTCTGAGTATTTCATTCAAATTTCAAACTCATTTCCATTCACTGAATATCTTTTCCCCCTTACTTTCCTGTCCGCCCTTTTCCCCGTTTCCTTCCTCGTATTTGTTTGCTCCAAATGGTATTCACCCCATACTTGAAACGTGATTTTCTATGCCCTCGGTGCTCTCGTTTTCATTTTATTTCCTTTTTTTTTGATTTTTTAATTTAAGCCACCGACTTGATCCAGGTTTTCCCAATTTATTTCACAATTTTCCAGAAAATCTTGCCACTTTCAGTAGCAATTGAAGAAAAGATTTCCATTCCATTAAACGTTTGAAAATTTGCATTTTTGCATTAGCTAGTCGTCAATTTGCCAAAAAATTGAGGTAATTGTTTCTTACCGGAACCGAACCCAGCTCGATTTCTTCCCCGATCGATTGGTATTTGTATAGCTTAACCAGCTGAGCCATTTGGCCATGGGATGCCTGTGACTTTTTGGCCTATTAACGACTTGCTTCCACGTTTTCTTATCGAAATCACTGCTCATATTTTTTTTATTTTGTTATTATTATCGAATTTTTGCTTTCAAAAAAACAAATCCTAAAATCTTGCCACAAAAAAGAGTTTTTATTACTTTTATTAGCTTTTATTCATTTTTTTAGAGGCTTTCTTTTGGATAAGTTGATCAAAACGCGAGCTTTTTCTAGATTTCGGAAAGGAAAAAGGAAAAACTATGTTTACAATAGCTCAAATCATCGACTTTTTGAAATTTTAGAAACTTTTCAATAAATAGCCAAGCTCTAAAGCCCTATAACTTTTGATAGAGACAAGATTTTTGTTTACTTTTGATTTATTTTAAAAGAACACCTTTCAGGTGCTCTTTGCTAGAGCTAGAGCTAGAGCTAGAGCTAGAGCTAGAGCCAGAGCTAGAGCTAGAGCTAGAGCTAGAGCCAGAGCAGAGCTGAGCCAGGCTAGAGCTGGGCTGGAGCTGGCTAGGCTGAGCCAGAGCTAGAGCTGGGCCAGCTGAGCTGAGCTGTAGGCTGCTGAGCCAGAGCTGAGCTGGCAGGCTGGGGCTGAGCTGGGCTGGGCCAGGCTAGCTGAGCCAGGGCTGGCTGAGCCAGGCTGAGCTGGCTGAGCTGGCCAGAGCTGGCTGGCTGAGCTAGGGCCAGGCCAGGTAGAGCTGTGCTCAAATCCGGTAAACACGCCTTTTCCAGTGCAACAAATAGATTTCAGTGCACTAGAAAGAATGCGTTCACAGAGTTGAGCACAAAGCACACCGTCAGTGCACCAAATAACTCACGTTTCTCAGAAAACTCTCAAAAAGTACGCACAACTTTTCCCTCATTTCCCCTTTCATTTATTTTTCTTTTACACGAGAATCGGGTTCGATTTTTGAAGAAAAAAACAAATTTCTTGCTTTATCATATTCAATTTACTAGACAATGAAATATGATATTTGAAAAACGATCGTCACTTTCGCGCGTCTGTAACTCCCTTGTCTTTTCTTGTATTTCTAAATATTAATATTACGATTGTGTAGCCCTTGAAAAGAGCTTTCAGAAAATGTATAACACTAATAGTTTAAACTAGACTTCGGAAAACAAAACAAAACAAAACAAAACTTAACCAAAACCAAAACCAAAACCAAAACAGACCAAAACCAAAACAAACCAAAACAAACCAAAACCAAAACTAGCCAAAACTCGCCAATATCTCGCGATTGGGAGGAGCTAGCGAAAATCTGTTTGCAGATTTGAAATCAGCGTCCAAAAATCTATCCCATAGGCTATTTTTTGTTTCGAAATTTCGAGGTCGTGTTTTGGTCCTTTTTTCGGCCGCGAGATTTTGTGGAGTGAGAAAAAGTGAAAGGCTAATTTGCATTTTACAATTTTAAATTTACATGTTAATTTATATGCAAATTGAGTTTTGGTTTGTTTTGGTGTTTTGGTGTTTTGGTTTTGGTTTTGGTCTGTTTTGGTTTTGGTTTTGTTTGCCGAGCTCTAGTTTTGAACTCAAAGACAAGGGAGTTACAGACGCGCGAAAGTGACGATCGTTATTTCGAATATGATATTTCATTGTCCAGTACTGTAAATTTCGTGCTTTATTATATTCTTTATTAAATTCTTTATTAAATTCTTTATTATATTCTTTATTATATTCAATTTTTGATATTTTCGATCAGCTTTATCGTGATATTTTTTTCATTTTATTTTCATTTTTTTCGGCATTTCTTTTGACAAATTTTTAATAGAATTTCTTTTTTGGGATTTTTCTTTCGAATTTCACATTTCTGCTTGATGTTTACCCTAAAAAAAGTCTATAAATCTATCCTATAAAAGTTTTTTCGCTATTTGTTGGTAAAAGAATTTTTAAAAAATATATATAATTGTAACACAGAAATACAATGGAATATAAAAATGGAATATAAAAAATACAATGGAATACAAAAGAAAAAACAAAGCGGCAGAAAAAGTGATGATGTAGAAATTGATTCGTTTCCTAAAGGGCATCTTTTTCAAGAAGTTACCGTATCAAAAACTCAATTTTTTTCAATTTTCTTTCGCTTTAACCAAGTCTTTTAATTTAATTCACTCAAATTCTTCACACAAATACGCCTCGAACTCAAATACGCCTCTAGACAAGCATCTCAAATTTGCATAGAACAACAGCTAAAGTTGGACACGCCGGTCCTTTTATCGGTTTGGGCAGGCGAATTCAAAAGTTGATCGGCGGCGGGATTCGAACCTCTCGCTTATCGGGCAAACACTCTACCAATGGGCTACACCCACAGCACTCATTGCCAAAAGAGTAGAGCTTTATGCCTTACTAATTGGCTCAAGATTTAGCAATCTTTGAGAGGGGCACACTTCACGTTAGACTGACCTCTTGATCACCGCAATCAGCTCATTGAACGACATGGTTTATCTCGATGGCACAAGAAGAGAGTGTTCTGAAGTTTGATTGAATTGTATCTTTTTGAGTTACAGTACCCTCTACAAAGTGCTTAAGGAAAAGAAAACCGATGAATGTAAAACAAAAAATGTTTATTGAAAGGAGTCTGTCAAAAAGCGAGCACTTGAGGAAAAATTCTTTTCTCGATTTTTCTTTTGTTGCTTAAGCCCTTTTTTCCGAGTCACACTTGAATGAGAAATAGTGACTCATGCGCATAGATTCAAATGAGATACAGACGAACTTTCGATACTTTTATTGTTAATTCATAATTCATGGGTAAATGAATCGCTTGTGAGGGATAAGTGTAAAAATAAGTCGTTATCTACAGTAAACCCAAATCCGACACTACCGTTAGCAGTTCTGCAAAACTTACTGAAGAATGAACCAGCAAACTACCGTAATTATTCCACTACACACTCTAATAGCATTCAAATATTGATCTAACAACCCAAGGTTTATTGCAATTTACAAAAGCTTTCTCAAAAAAACATTAGTCCAGAAATGTATTAAAAAAAGAAAGATGGTACAACCAGAGAAAGACATGGATAAAGTGGTAAAATAGCAAACTGGCACAATTTTCAAATGAAATTCAAAAATATAGATTGCAATCAGCAGAGAATGATTCTTTGACAAGATTGATCTATGGGCATACAAATTTTAACACAAACTAACAAAATAAAAAACCCGATTGCAAAATAAAAGTAACACAAACTTCAGACAATTTACTCGCAAATTTTCAAACCGCCAACTTCGAGGGTCGTCGTAGCATCCGAGCAAATCAGATCAAAGAGGTGACGGCGTAAGTCGAGAAACGTACGCTTCATTGTCATCCCACAGCCAGTCGATCTGGAAAGGAAAGATTAGATTTTAACAAAAATTTAGAAAATCTTCAAGTTTTAAATACGACTAAACTTTGAAAACAAATTACCTCCTGAAATCAACAAGAAAACGTTTTTGACCACCGACAAACATTTCAAACACCGACACGGCCATTGTCATCCCTTGCACATGATCAAAGATCATCAACTGAACAAAAAAGTTTACATAAAATAGTTGACTTCAATTCAACACAACAAAGCGTACCTGGTGTGGCGGTTTTTCTTTCACTTCCAACGACATTTCTTCGCAAGCTGTTTGTAGGCGTTCGGCAAAAGTCGCGTAATCGGCATCCACGCAGAAACGCGTCAAACGAGAGTTCATGTTGGCGAGTGGATTCTGAAAATGATGGAATGAAAAAAAGGCATACCTAACCTTTAAGATGTACTTTAAAAAATGTAGCACATCCAACGCGCAAATTATAATTTTCAAACAAAAAAAAAATTTACTATGCTATGATCATATTCCTGAGTCAACAAAAGGATATTATGTGGTTGAGAGAAAGCCATCGCAGGCACTGGTTGCATCTAAAAAGAGAAATATATCAAACAACATCGATATACAACTTTACTTGAATTTTCGTTTCCGATGCTCCAAAGCCGTTTTCGGTTCCAAAGGTCGGTTGAGAGCCACTAAATTCTGAATATCACATGTCATTAGTGGGTTAAACAAACGTGATACGAACGCGCTTCTTTGATGGTTCGTCATCTAGAATACAAATTAATCGTTATTTTTTTTCGACAAAATACCTCCAAATTCTTTGTTGTACCATTTATGTGATCGAATCGTTTCAAACGTGGCTCTTTGATCCTCACTTTCACACAACATCTCATAAAGAAGATCTAAATTTGTCAATTAAATAAAGGAAATTAAATCATCTCATACCCAAAGCTGATGAATCGATATTGTTCCAGGGCTCAATTAGGGCACGCTCCAACCATGATGTGTATCGAGGGCATTGCCTAAGAATAAAAACAATCAGATACTTGTTAGCATATTGTACCCTGTACATATTGTAGCATTTTAACGATAGAAACGCACCAATGAGCCTTTTCCCAGGCTAACTCGCCGGTGAGCATCACATGAAGAACCACTCCGGCTGACCAGACATCAGTTGGAAGACCTCTAAACATTACACATTGATAACAAGTTTGCTTTAATTGGTTAAGTCCATATTGAACAATAAATCCAGACTCAAAATCAATATTTTTATTGAACCCACTTGTACTTGCTAGAAATCACTTGTGGACTTGCGTACGGCATCGTTCCACAGGGCATCGTCATCTCTCGTTCTTTTCCGTTATTTTTGTAGATGGTCGCCAAGCCAAAGTCGCCAATCTTTAGCACGTCTAAATACATTTTTGAAAAAAAGCCCAATCAATTGATTGACAATAAATTAAAACAAACCAGTTTTGGTGAGGAAAAGATTCTCAGGCTTGATGTCTCTGTGTGTGACTCCGTATCCATGAATAAACTCAAGTCCATTGATGAGTTGTCGGAAGTAGAATTGGGCCTTGTTCTCGCGAATGCCAACATCCGGCTCTAAAACAGAGTTTTACTGTATAAAGTTGATATTTCTAACGCAAACGTAAGGCATTTAACTATATAACAATTATTCAATAACAAATTAGGAAAAACCCCTTCACAATAGAGCTGGCTTTTTAGTTTACATTAAAATACGATACCAATTCGATCAAAGAGTTCTCCACCATCGGCATACTCGAGATACAACTCGAATACCTTCTTCGCCTCGTCGACTCGTTTACCTAAATGAAAAGCAATCATTTCGGGACTATTAAACATCAGTAACATTGCCAAAACTTGATTAAAAACTCTAACTCACCAATATAGCGCAAAACGTTTGCATGACCAGGATTTGAAAGGTGTTGTTGAATCGCCGCCTGAAAAATGAATGTTTACTTTTCTTTTGGTACATATAGAAAGTTGACAGCTTTTGTTTTAAGCTGTTTACGTAATAAAAAGCAAATAAATGTCTCAACGGTTAAAATTCTATCGTGACTTAAGTAAACAGTGAACACGTCGAGCATCTCTTTTTCAGTTTTATAAGTAAGCAAAATGCTTACCTCTTTCTTGAAGGTCTTAATGTCATCCGATGATGTGAAACGTTTCATGTCCATCACTTTTACTGCTACCAGTGGTCCTTTGTCTCCTTTGCGCACCAATAACACTTCACCGAAAGCACCTGAAATTGACGAAAAATAAGTAATCAGGGTTCAAATTATAGTCCATACTTAAAATCTTAATTCTAAACCTAACGTTTTCTATTTAGTGCGCCAAAATTAAAACTAAAAAAGGGAACTTCAACTGGGTGTGGTGGCCAAAGTCTCTGCGAAATCTGCTTATAAACTTGCTTATAAAAATTTTCAAAATCCCATACAAAACTTTGCACGCATATAACTTTTGACAGAGTGCTCCATAGCAGAAACAGAAAGCAGATTAGGAATCGGCGTTGAATTCTGCATCGAATAACCCGTAGCACACGGTATTTGGCCACCACACCTAGTTGGCATTCCCTTGTAAGCTTTACGACTCATTTTCGCTCAAGAATGCCTACGGCCTTTAATTTTTTTTAACCGTGCAAAAAATTCAAAACCAACCTTCGCCGAGCACTCGCAGTATCTGCTGTTCATTGTTTTCGTCCCTGACACTCATCTGATCGGGGAATCGTCCTAAACTTTCAAATTAAAATGGATTAAAAACATATAAAAAAGAAGAAAAAAAGAGACTAATAAAACCTATCAAAAAACCACAAGTTGACGAATGGAATGGAAGCTTTGACATTTCTTCTATAGGAATTAAACTTATTTTAAGATATTCAATTAATAGACTAAAATATTTATTCAATCGGACGTTTCACTAGTATAAATCAGCAAGTCATCAAAATCACCTCATTTCTTCCACCTAAACGTTTTGTCAGTCTTGAATGTTGGTTTACTTTTTTGCAAACGTTTTACAGTGCTTAAATTTTCGATTTTAGAACACTTCGGCCACAAATTTCGATTGCCGACCCGCTGCGCGATGGGGAACAGTGTGAACAAAGTTTGGGCAGCGATAGGGAACAATGGTGCGAAAGTTTGGCCGGCGGATGAGTAAGTTGTTTTTTATCTTTCTACTCAAAATAAATAATCGAACGATAGTAGTCTGAGAGACTTTGTGTAGGGTGTTGTGACCTTGTGTAAAACATTTATTGTGGTTTAAGAAAAAGAAAGCATAGAGATCATTCGAGAAAAAATGAACATGAATGAATTTTATTTTGTTGAAAGCGAAAGCAGGACATCGTTGAACATTGTGGCCAACTGATCGCTCAGTTTTGTGACGGCAGCTTTCTAGAACGGCAGATTTTGAGATTCCAGAAATTTTTGAGCTTACCTTTTCATTGGTCTGCAAGGCGGCGATCAAAAGCAATAGATTGTCCACTGTCCACTTTGCCTCATCCAATTCATTGACAACAACAAATGGGCATTTTGGGCAATGCTTTTTGTGCTCATCCCTAGGATTTATGTTTTTTGCAAAGTTCTTTAGCTAGCAAATTGACAAGGTCGTTTAGCCGCATTATCCTAAGAATTTGCCGCGAAAAAACCTAGAGCCGGCTATCAAATGTAACTGTTTAAACATATCACTCACCAAGGATCATCTTCTGGATCGAAACTCATCTCTTTTGAGCAAAATGGGCATAGAGCATCCGGTTCACCGACATCGCCACAAAATCGGAAACCGGCGGCCGCTAGCTGGAAAATTCTCTAGCTGCCTAACTAGTGATGCGGCTATTTTATAAAAAACTATTTGGCAAATTCAATATTTGTTTTCCTTTCCACCAACCTTCTTCGAGTTACAATACGCGTCTTTTTGATCATCATAGACAAAGTTCTCGAATGTCTTCAGACGATCCTTTGCGAAGAGCGAGTTCAATAGCGCTGGATTGTCGCCTTGAACGAATTTAAGCAGTTGTAGACTATCTGGGCGCTTCTCTTTTGTCTGCTTCTTTGATTTTTTCATCGAAAATATTGAGAAGATTGCCAGTCAAAATATAGAGATAACTAGAGCCAAGTAACTTAGTATTTTCAAAAGTTTCTTTCTTGCGCCAGCGGATATTGTGGCCTACTGTAGAAAAGGTGCAGTATAAAAAGGCGTCTTTGTGTAAAACCAAGCCCAATAGCTGTTGGAATCATTTTCATTCAAAATTTAAGCTTACTTTTTAATCGAAAAAAATTAATTTAGAGGTAACTACATACATAGCACTGTAAACAGCCGATCGTTCCGGAACGTGATGTGGTCAGAATATTCGAATCTTTTCCACGAGCGCATTGAAGTTGGCCGTCGAGAATGTGCGTACTTTAAAAAAGCAATGATGGATGGGTGAGTAAGTTTTGAAAAAACATAAAAGGAATTAAATTACCTTGCAATTCACCAAACTTTTTTTTAGTGAACGTTTTCCTGGCGCGCGTCTTTTCCTCAACAAAGTTGAACCGATCATACAAAATGGACCTCAGTAAGTTTGTTTCTTTTACCTAGATTGTACCATCTTGGAAATCCCAAAAGAATTTTGTTTATTTCAGGTGTGGAATGGTTGCAATATGTATGGCTTCAACGAGTCTTCTTCATCGAGAAACACCTCCGCTTTCCGCTGATCACTTAACAGTGAAAGCTCGCGAGATTGGGATCTCAAAAAAAGGGAGAGATTTTCTCAGGTAAAAGCTTTAACGTTAACTTTGGAATTGGAATCTTGCTTTCCTTGGGGAAAGAAAGAATAAACCGGTGACACTTTGAAACAATGATGCGAAAATGACTTTTGCTTATTTTAGCACAATGGTTAACTCAACTCGTCGACGAAGTGATGCCTGAACTTTCTACCGAATGTCGAAAATTTCCGACGGAACAAGAAGTGAGTACTTTTACAGAAAATTTGTCAAGATTGATTTTCTTCAGATAATCGACTCTCTTCACAATCAATCTCTCTTCATCATCCCATATGATTGCGACAAAAATCATATGCCCTCCATGGAAAGAAATGGAGAGGCAGCTCATTGGTGTCTTGTGGTGGGTTTTTTGCTTGGTGCAATCTTATCTAGTTGGCGCATCTCATAAACTAACGTAATTTAAAAACCAAATTTTTTACATACATAGTTTGAGGATAATTTTTGTTTTGAAAACCAATTAAAACTACAAGCGTTTTGTCTTGAGATTGGTTACGTTTACTTCGATGACGAGCTGAATGAAGATGTTCACCAAAAGGAAAGCTTCTCTCCCGAGGATCTTGACCAATTTTACGTGTTGACTCTCCATGGAAAAAGTCGGTTGGTGTTTGTTTCTATTAAAAACATTAAATTTTTTTGTTTAGACAAATTGGAGTTTGGGAGTACAAAAATTTGCACAATAGTAACGCTCAACTGTATGAGGTAATATTTTCTGAAGTTTAGCGTAATGTTTAAAGGCTAGCATAATTTTTCGATTTAGATTGGGGCAAATCGGTCTCGAGAGGATTATGTCATCCCGCCCACTGGATTGGACGAGTTACGAGGCAAAGCGGTGATCGTCAAAAAGAAAGCGACTTGAGAAGGCTCGAAAGCCTCGAATTTTTAACGTCATATTTTACTGTGATATTTATATTATTTGACTAATGGCCAGTTATATTTGCTTTAAAAGAACGCCATGATTTGTGCTCATATTTGTCATATTGTGAAGTTTTTATTTGTTGTCTTGCAACAGGTTTGTACAGTGTAGAAAAATAGTTTCTTTTTAGGCAAAAATAAAGCAATTTTGGAGATCAATCGATATCACAACGACAAGTTAGAAACTGGTTTAAGCGTTTTTTTAAAGGGAAATGAGGATCTAGAAAACAAGGAACAAAGACATCCCCAATTCCAGTTTAACAAACGCTGATATGTTTGGGACAACAATTGAAAAATATTTGCACGATATGGGGAAAAGTAAAGGCGCCGGAAAATGGATTCTTCACAGTTTGAGTTATGTGAACAAGGCAACTCGAATAACTCTCGGGAATCCTCCTCAACAAATCAAAGTACAGTGGTTTTTGAGATTCGATTTTGACTTTCGATGAAAAGTGGATCCACTACGATAATACTCGGAGAAAAGGAGTGGTTAGGACCGGGAGAAACATCGAAAACGACACCAAAACCCGAATTAAATGGGAAAAAGGTGATGCTTTATGGTGGAATTCTAAAGGACTTGTAAATTTTGAGGTTCTAAATCCCGGTGATACTGTTACAGGACTAGTCTACGTTCAACAATTGAAACGGGTCGATCGCGTCCCGTTTATAGGAAGCGAATTTATAGATATAATGAACCAAATTTAGCGAGATACGAAAACCAAATTTGTGGAGATAAGGAACCAAATTTAGAGAGGTGATACTGATCCCGGTGATACTGTTACAGGACTAGTCTACGTTCAACAATTGAAACGGGTCGATCGCGTCTTACGTGTTCGAGGCATTGAACCATCAGGATAACGCCCGCCCTCACAGATCACCCAAGAAAAAAGAAATTGTGGAGTTGGGGTAGGAATCTCTCCGCCATATAGCCCTGACTTGTCTCCTTCAGACTATCACCTATTTCGATCGATGCAACATCTATTAGCCGATAAAACGTAGATGAAGTTCGAATTTGGCTGGTCAGACATTTCGATCTGCAGCCGGCCGAATTCTTTGCTAGTGGGATCAGAGATTTGGAACAAAGATGGAGACAAGTCATCGATGATAATGGTAAATATTTGGATTGATTGAATTTTATGCTGAAAATAAATTGTTAAGAAGTTTTACCTATAAAAGAAATTTCCAGGTTCCCAACCTAATATCACCTCTATCATCATTTAATTTTTTAATTCTGATGTAAGCGTTGGTAAAATCTCTTAGAGACCCAGAAAAAGGCTGTCTGTTTCTGCAGTCACCGCGTGTGTATGAAGCTTTCCATGTGGGTATGTTTCATTGTGCTGGCAGCTCAGAGCTTTTGGCCTGTGTTCTAGAAATGGATATTCGTTTCCTCATCGGTACAGAATGCAAATCCTTTTCGAGCTTTACACAAACACCTTTTCTTTTAGAGCAAATTAAACATGCCAACAAATTAAATTTTTTTTGCTCTCTTAGTTGGAAATTTGATTTAAACTTTATTTAAATGTTATTATTTATTTTATTTATTTATTTTATTTATTTATTTATTTAAATGCATTATTTTTGCTTTGTCTTTTTTTGTGAATTTTATAAAACTTGAAAATTTATTTGAATCAGAATACGAAAAGATTTTGAAAGCTAAGCGAGGGGAAACGGTTTGAGTGTGTTCCTCGCGAGTAAGTAATTACTCGAGTAATAGCTCGAGTAATGCGTTTTCTAAAAAGTGCGCCTGCGCGAAAAAAATATAAAAGCAATTTTTTGCGCAGATTTTTCAAAAAAAATCATTTTTTACATTGGAAGGGAATTTCAAATCAAATCACCAAATCAGTTAAACGGCTGAGTATCTTTAAAAAGTGTCGTATACAGTGGTCCACAAATGTATTGTCCCATTGCCATCCAAAAGTTTCTTTCGTACGAAAATCTGGCAAAATAACGATATTCCCAAAAAGTGTAGGGTATTTTGCTTACCCATAATACTCTACTTTTCAGGATTATAAGATTTATCCGTATACATTGCAGAAAATTGGGAGTGGGACAAATGCGACCTTTTTTTGCGCACCCGGACATTTGCGCACCTTTTTTTTTCCGCACCTTGCCCATTAGCGCACCTTTTTCGCGTTTTAAAAAAAGCTCTAAAAAGCTAATATTAACCAATTTCTATTCCAAATGTTGTTTTTCTAGGTAATTTGAGGGTGTCGAATTCAAATTTTGACATAACAGAGCTTGTGGAACCAATTTGAAAGACAAAACGGCTAGATCAAATTACAGAAAATTGTCGATTTTTCTCTTTGTATAACTCCGTCCGTTTGTTTCCACAAGCTCTGATATGTCAAAATTTCGATTCTACGCCCTAAAATTACCTAGAAAACAACTTTTGGAATAAAAATTGGTTAATATTAGCTTTTTAGAGCTTTTTTAAAACGCGAAAAAAAGGTGCGCTAATGTCCGGGTGCGCAAAAAAAAGGTCGCATTTGTCCCACTCCCGAAAAATTAAAGTATAAAACAAAAACAATAAGTTACTTAAGAAATCGCTCCACAAAAGTAATGTCCCATTTGCAAAGAATTAACAATTTTTTCAAAAAACTAATATTTGCCTGGTCGTCCTTTTGCTTTTATCGCTTCATTGAGTCGATCCGGCATGGAATCCACGAGATTTTTCAAAAGACTTGGGCGGATGGTGGCCTGAAGACGTTGAATGTGAACCCATAAGGCGGCCTTCGAATTTAATTTCTTTCCCTTGAGGCGCGACTTCACAAATGACCACAAATGTTCAATTGGATCGAGATCCGGTGAGTAGGGAGGTGGATTGATCAATTTAACACGATTTTCCGCAAACCATCCGGGCAGACGAGCTCTGGTACCATTTTGAAGTGTCACCAACCGTCCCATCATCAGTCTCGACTTGTGTTTCGGGTCGTTGTCCTGGTGAAGCATCCATCCGGGAGGCATCGTTTGATTGGCAAAGGGATTGGTTTGATTGGCATTTGGGTCTCCATGATATTCTTGTAAGCCACAGCATCCATCGTCGAGTTCACGTAGACTAACGGATCTACTGAAGTTCGAGACATCGCTCCTAAAGAAAAAAATTTAGGTAACAAAATACTAAAAAGGTTCTTACCCAACACATTATGTTTCCGCCGTTGAATTTCACGGTAGGCGCAATGTACTTGAGTGCGTATCGCTTTCCAGTTGGTCGCCGAATAAGATGGTTTCCATCCGCGTGAAATAAATTGATTTTTGTCTCATCGGTAAATAACACTTTCGCGCAATCACGTGTCGTCCAACTTCGGTAGGTCCGTGCAAAGTCAAGGCGCTGCTTCCGGTGCTTAGATTTTATCAGAGGTTTACGGGCAGCCCTTCTTGCATATAATCCAGCCTGATTTAATCGTCATTTGATCGTTTCCGGCGATACAACCCTGTTAAATTGATCCTTCATCATTTGCCTTCCATCGGTTGGTGTTTTGTTAGGATCGTTTTTCATCATTTGGATCACGGCTCGATCTTCTTTTGTGGTTGTGATTGGTCGTCGGCCACTCTTGAGGCCTCGATGAAGGTTTCGGTCGACTTTTGATTGAGAAAGAATGCGGCGCACCGTCCTTCTCGAGCAATTGAAGAGGTTGGTCACATCCTTTTCCCGCCTCCCATTTTCCCGGGCCTTGGCGATTCGGAGTGTCAAGGTTTTTCTTGCCAGCCATCTAAATCATAAAATAAAATACATTTAATGTTTATAGAACGCGAAAATAAAAAGAAGAATCAAGGAAAACATCAATGGGACATTACTTTTGTGGAGCTATTTGTTAAGTAACTTATTGTTTTTGTTTTATACTTTAATTTTTCTGCAATGTATACGGATAAATCTTATAATCCTGAAAAGTAGAGTATTATGGGTAAGCAAAATACCCTACACATTTTGGGAATATCGTTATTTTGCAAGAATTTCGTACGAAAGAAACTTTTGGATGGCAATGGGACAATACATTTGTGGACCACTGTATACGACACTTTTTAAAGATACTCAGCCGTTTAACTGATTTGGTGATTTGATTTGAAATTCCCTTCCAATGTAAAAAATGATTTTTGCGTCATTTTTTTGCAATAATTTTTTCCCAAGTGTGCGTTTTAAAAAAACGCATTACTCGCGAGGAAAATACTCTAGAAACAGTGATAAGCCCAAAATACATGCATGATTGACAAGAAAAGCAAAGAGAATCCATGCAATTGCACAATTAAGTGAAAAATTCCATAAAAAGGAATAGTTTTGAAATGCGAACATATAAAATAAGAAAAAAAAGAAATAAGAAATATGTAAAATTTTGACGAAACGATTGCTCCTTTTCAGCTCAGTCAACCATCACAACATAAGTACAGAAAAAGAAAGAATCACTTATTACACCGTAAACATGAACCTTTTTAAAAATAGGAACATGTAAAACATTGGTAAATGTGAAAAAGAATACATATGGTGTTGGTTAACAGTTTCCAGTGGGACCACGTGGAGGAGGGAGCTACCCACCTTGTGTTGGAATGGCTTTAAATTTAAAACAAAGAAACAGAGAAATAAATTCCAACACAAGAAAATAAAACAAAAAATGAATTCGTCGGGTTGAAATTATTCATCCAACTAACAAGGGAATGGTCCGAACTGACCGGACGATTTCTCTACGCTGTTGCGATGTAAACGTCTATCGACGCCAACACGGTGCGAAATGCATCGGCGAAATGCATCGCCAACACGGTGCATCGGCGCGAAATAAGGCAAAAATGCGTTTTCTATCGGATTTTTCTGGGAGTACCCTTTTTAGATGCAAAAAATTGTGCTGATTCCGAATCTGAAGGAATTTTTCAAATCCGGTTGACAGAAATTTTTTAAATTGAGTTTTAGCGGTTTTTTGGTCATTTTGTATGGGAAATTTTGTGGTACCCTGCAGTTTGGAGCTCGTAACTCGACAACGAGGGTCTAGAACCAAAAGCGAGGGGATAATTTTTATTCTAGAGACTCTTACGAACATTTTGATGCAAAAATCATCAAATTTGCTCAACTCTACAAAAAGTTATAACATCTTTAAAGAAATTTTGCAAAATACACTAAAAACATAAGTGGAAACCGTGGCCGAGTGGTCTAAGGCGCGCGACGTGAATCCCGCGCAAAAGTATGGGGTTGTTGGTTCGACTCTCCCGCACACTTGAGCTATTAATTTGCATATTCCTTAATTGTTTTGAGTAAATACGATACATAGCTACATTGTTCTTTTGAACAAAACAATTGTGCAATGGAAAATTTTATAAATTTTCTCATTTCTTTTTAAAAAAATATTATAACTTTTTGTAGAGTTGAGCAAATTTGATGATTTTTGCATCAAAATGTTCGTAAGAGTCTCTAGAATAAAAATTATCCCCTCGTTTTTTGTTCTAGACCCTCGTTGTCGAGTTACGAGCCCCAAACTGCAGGGTACCACAAAATTTCCCATACAAAATGACCAAAAAACCGCTAAAACTCAATTTAAAAAATTTCTGTCAAGGCGATTTGAAAAATTCCTTCAGATTCGGAATCAGCACAATTTTCCGCATCTAAAAAAGGTACTCCCGGAAAAATCCAATAGAAAACGCATTTTCGCGCCGATGTGCGGTGCTCTATTTATTTTTTGCTCATTCTCTATGGTTCACAAGAAAAACGCTTGCAAAGTTTGGGCGCCTACTCGGGAAATTGCACCTCGGGGATATATGAGCTCTTTCCCTTCCCACCAGATGTCACCGGATGGTGTGGAGGTAAGGATCACGCTCTTAATCTCACTTCGGCTTTGTTTGAACCTAGTTCGGATCCCCTTGGCAAAATATTTTTACTTTGTTTTGCTAAACCTTTAAAAACACTTTTTATTTATTTTAGAATGCTCAATAATAATTCTTAAGAGCAGTTATACTCAAAAACTTTGAAAATGAATAAAAAGTGTTTTTAGCTATCGCCGTTATTTCAACATCTAGATTTAGATCTAGATCTAGATCTAGAAACATCTAGATTTAAACAATATTATCCGCTCAGTTCGAACGATTCCCTTGTAAGAAAGATTTAATCTGATTTAATCTGAATGTTGTTGTCTAGCTCATTGACATGCACGTTAAGATCTTGAAGAAAAGTGGCATAGAGTGGATGATAGAGTGGAGTAAAAGTCGAAGCACTTTAAATCACTATAATCCTCACGCATCCTTGACACATGGGGCTCATAGATTTCGATGCCATCAAAATCCGCAATTTCTTCGATTTCGCATTCGCCCTTTTCGTTGACTTGAATTTTGATTTCGGCGTTGGTTTTCACCTGGTAATCACTGAGCTTCTTCAAGATATCTTCTATCTGAAGATCAGCTTTTTCAATATCCTTTATCGCCTCTATCAGTTCCTTTTCGGACATGCAAAACTTTGATGTTTTCGATTCATCGGCGTGCATCCCATGCTCGTCCAAGATGACCACATCCCTGATCGTAGCTTTGCACTTTTTCGTTGCCTTTCTGTAGAAAAACCAAATCAGGCCACTCCCTTTGTGTTTCTTGATGTAGTATTGACGCATCTTGTCCTTTTTTTCTCCTGCTTGTATCTCAACCCTTTTCACATCGTAGATGGTTTTCCCATCGCATTCGTCATATTCGCTGGTATTTAAAAAGACAAAACCGCCAATCACAACGCTCCGCATCGTGTAGTCGTTCGCATTTGGGTCAAACTTTGTCACATCAACCAAGCATGGCTTTTCAACGTTGTTAGAAAATTCCTTGTCACTTTGGGTGCCGGTGTTTCCCTTCGGAGCGAGAAGAGCCCAAAACGTTCCGATCTTCACGGCATAGAAAATGAATATTCTCTTTTGTGTCAAGAAGAACCTCAAGTTCTCATATATCGACCAATCACCAAAAAAATGGACGTTTTCAAAGATCGTACGTGTGAGGGTCTTGGAGAGGATGTCCAAAGAGTGCGTGGGCATCCAGCTGCCATCATGGTTCTCATTTTTCTCCGGTTTCTCAATGGTTTGACCATTGAGAGCGTAGATTTCTTCAGGGCTCTTCATCTTTTTTATTTCGCTCTTTTCTATGATCTTCGTTTCAAACTTCTCACCGGGCTCACTCGCGTCATTTTGTGGCTTCTTCACCGTTTGATAGAAATAGTGAATATGTTGTCTGTCTGCATCCCTCGAATTAGGAAATACGTACAAGTCTGCTCTAGACAAGATGGGTGGTGTAGCTAATGGATTTAATATGTAGGTGCATAATGTGTCGATGTAGAAAATAGTAATATTAAAGGGTATAATAGTAATAGTAGTAGTAATAGATATATTTGTGCTATTTTGAGTATCATCATTTAATATTGTTGAATTCATTTTTTGTTTTATTTTAAAGAAATGGATGCCTGCTTTCGCCCATCATCATTTTCTTATCAGTTGTACGGGGCTCCATCCAGGAAATAAAGTTTCTGCTTTTTCATTTAGATATTCCAAAATTTTGCAATTCCTACCTACCGTGAATACTCTAATAGAAGCGCATGCTCCTAATTTTTCCCTCCCCCTCTAGAATGCGCTTCTACAGGGTGCGCCATAATTGTTGCAACAAGGTATCACGCACGTTCAATTACAATAACTCGTTGATTTAAGCTTCATTTCTGTTTCTTTTTGTTGTTTTTTGATTATATTTGGAATATAATTGTTTTCATATAAATGTGTTGTTTTTTAGAATGGCTGGAAAATCTCCATCGACATCGATCATCGAATTGCAGAGGCGAGGGGCCTTGGAAGATTCACAAGCGTCTTGAAGTCGACAGAAGTATCATTTTCCACACTATTCAACGCTACGAAGCTACGGGAACAATTGCTGATGCACCAAGAAACGGTAGTCACAAAGCGGTAGTCCAACTGTCGTCACAAAGACGAACATCGAAAAAAAGGAGTGGTTAGGACCGGGAGAAAGACGAAAAAGAAATTTCCAGGTTCCCAACCTAATATCACCTCTATCATCATTTAATTTTTTAATTCTGATGTAAGCGTTGGTAAAATCTCTTAGAGACCCAGAAAAAGGCTGTCTGTTTCTGCAGTCACCGCGTGTGTATGAAGCTTTCCATGTGGGTATGTTTCATTGTGCTGGCAGCTCAGAGCTTTTGGCCTGTGTTCTAGAAATGGATATTCGTTTCCTCATCGGTACAGAATGCAAATCCTTTTCGAGCTTTACACAAACACCTTTTCTTTTAGAGCAAATTAAACATGCCAACAAATTAAATTTTTTTTTGTAATTTGTGTTTTGTTTTTTTTGCTCTCTTGGTTGGAAATTTTATTTAAACTTTATTTAAATGTTATTATTTATTTTATTTATTTATTTAAATGCATTTTTTTTTGTTTTGTCTTTTTTTGTGAATTTTATAAAACTTGAAAATTTATTTGAATCAGAACACGAAAAGATTTTGAAAGCTAAGCGAGGGGAAACAGGGATAAGCCCAAAATACATTGATGATTGATAAGAAAAGCAAAGGGAATCCATGCAATTGCACAATTAAGTGAAATTAAGTGAATTAAGTGAAAAATTTACATAAAAAGGAATAGTTTTGAAATGCGAACATATAAAATAAGAAATACCGTATTTTCTCTAATAGTAGTGCACCTCGTCGAGCCGAGCTGGTGACTATTTACGGCTTCCAAAGTTTTCCCAGAAGCTCAGCACTCTAATCATCGTCAAGATCTCATCGTCAGCTGCATTTTCCGACCCCACATCGATAGGTTCTGATAAGCGGTTCTCGAGATTTCGAGCAATTTCGGCGACGCTCATGGTGCACTACTATTAGAGAAAGTACGGTATTTTGACAAAACGATTGCTCCTTTTCAGCTCAGTCAACCATCACAACATAAGTACAGAAAAAGAAAGAATAACTTATTACACCGTAAACATGAATCATTTTAACATGAACATGTAAAACATCGGTAAATGTGAGAAAGAATACATATGGTGTTGGTTAACAGTTTCCAGTGGGACCACGTGGAGGAGGGAGCTACCCACCTTGTGTTGGAATGGCTTTAAATTTAAAACAAAGAAACAGAGAAAAAAATTCCAACACAAGAAAAAAAAACCAAAAAATGAATCTGTGGTTCGTCGGGTTGAAATTATTCATCCAACTAACAAGGGCATGGTTCGAACTGACCGGACGATTGACGATTTCTCTACGCTGTTGCGATGTGCCTATCGAGCATGGGAAACACGGTGCTCTATTTATTTTTTACCCTTCTCAATGGTTCACAAGAAAAACGTTTGCAAAATTTGGGCGCCTACTCGGGAAATTGCACCTCGTGGATATATGGGCTTTTTCCCTTCCTCTCAAATGTTACCGGATGGTGTAGAGGGTAAGGGTCAGCGCTGTTAATCTCACTTCGGCTTTTTTTTACCCTCGTTCGGATCCCGTTGGCAAAACATTTTTACTTTCTTTTGCTAAACCTTTAAAAACACTTTTTATTTATTTTAGAATGCCCAATAATAATTTTTAAGAGCAGATAATACTCAAAAACTTTGAAAATGACCAAAGATATTTTTAGCTATCGCCGTTATTTCAGGTGAAAACATCTAGATTTAAACAATATTATCCGCTCAGTTCGAACTATTTCCTTGTAAGAAAGATTTAATCTGAATGTTGTTGTCTAGTTCATTGACACGTCAAAGTGCTTTAAATCACTATAATCCTTACGCATCCTTGACACATGGGGCTTATAGATTTCGATACCATTGAAATCGGGCACTTCTTCGATTTCGCATTCGCCCTTTTTGTTGACTTTGATTCTCACTTCGGCGTTGGTTTTCACCTGGTAATCACTAAGCTTCTTCAAGATCTTTTCGATCTGAAGATCAGCTTTTTTAGCATCTCCTTTTGCATCCTCTTGCACTTTTTTTACTTTCTCTTCGGGTATGTAAAACTTTGTTTGCAATTTATCAACGTGCTTCCCATGCTCGTCCAATATGATCACATCCAGGATAATAGCTTTGCAATTTTTCGTTGCCTTTTTGTAGAAAATCCAAATTAGGCCACTCCCTTTGTGTTTCTTGATGTAGTCTCCACGCATCCTTTTCATGATGTAGTCAAGCCTCTTGTCCGTCATTTTTCCATCTCTTATCTCGATCCCTTTCACATCGTAGATGGTTTTCTCATCGCGAACGGTGTCATATTCGCTGGTATTTAAAAAGACAAAACCGCCAATCATAACGCTCCGCATCGTGTAGTCGTTCGCATTTGGGTCAAACTTTGTCACATCAACCAAGCATGGCTTTTCAACGTTGTTAGAAAATTCCTTGTCACTTTGGGTGCCGGTGTTTCCCTTCGGAGCGAGAAAAGCCCAAAACGTTCCGATCTTCACGGCATTGAAAGTGAATGGATTCCCTAGTGCCAAGAAGAGCCTCAAATTCTCAACTATCGACCAATCACCAAAAAAATTGACGTTTTTAAAGATCGTAGGTGTGAGGGTCTTGGAGAGGATGTCCAAAGAGTGCGTGGGCATCCAGCTGCCATCATGGTTCTCATTTTTCTCCGGTTTCTCAATGGTTTGACGATTCTGAGCGTAGGCGTAGATATCTTGAGGGCTCTTCATCTTTTTCATTTCGGTTTTTTCTATGATCTTCGTTTCAAACTTCTCACCAGACTCACTCGCATCATCTCGTGTCTTCTTCACCGTTTGATAGAAATAGTGAATATGTTGGCTGTATGCATCCCTCGAATTAGGAAAGACGTAGGAGTCTGCTCTAGACAAGATGGGTGGTGTGGCTGATGATGTTAGCCATAGCAATAATATGCCGTAGAAAATAAAGAAAATAAGTACAATAATAAAAATATTAGTGCTATGGCGAGCATCATCATTTTGTTGATTTGTTGATTTTGTTGATTCCATTTTTTGTTTTTTTTTAAAGAAATGGATGCCTGCTTTCACCCGTCATCATTTTCTTATCAGTTGCCTTTTGTACGGTGCTCCATCCAGGAAATAAAGTTTCTGCTTTTTTCATTTAGATATTCTAAATTTTGCAATTCCTACCTACCGTGCTATAATAGAAGCGCATGCTTCTAATTTTTCCCTCCTCCTCTAGGGTGCGCTTCTACAGGGTGCGCCATAATTGTCGCAACAAGGTATCACGTTCATTTACAATAACTCGTTGATTTAAGCTTCATTTCTGTTTCTTTTTGTTGTGTTTTTATTATATTTGGAATATAATTGTTTTCATATAAATGTGTTATTTTTTAGAATGGCTGGGAAATCTCCATCTCCATCGATCATCGAATTGCAGAGGCGAGGGGCTTTGGAAGATTCATAAGCGTCTTGAAGTCGACAGAAGTATCATTTTCCATACTATTCAACGCTACGAAGCGACGGGAACAATTGCTGATGCACCAAGAAGCGGTAGTCACAAAGCGGTAGTCCAACTGTCGTCACAAAGACGAACATCAAGCGAGTAAGGGACCAAATTCGAAGGCAAACCAGTCGGCAAGGCAAATGGCAAAGAAGATGGTGATTTCAAGCACTTCATTGCGTTGGATCCTCAAAAATAAGCTCAAACTTACTGCTTACAAGAAAAACAAGGCTCAACTTGTTTCGAATGCCGCTAAAAATCCAAGAAAGTCCAAGAGTTTTGCCAAAACAACTTTCCGGACTTCATTTCTTTTTCTGAGTGACCACCCAGCTCTCCAGACCTCAACTCAATGGATTTTTCAATGTGGTTGGTTCTAGAAGCCAAAGCTGTTCGAAGCTCCACAAAAAAAAATCGAAAGTTTTAAGAAATCACTGTTGAAAGCGTGGGAAGAGCTCGATGCAGCCTCGTTGGTCGCCATCGTTGACGCCTTCCCAGAAAGCCTGCCTGCTCAAATGCTAATGGTAGCTGATTCGAATTTGATAGTTCATTTATAATTGTTAATGTACAATAAATGTTATTCAGTTAAAAATTTGTCTTTTTTGCTTTTGTATGCCTTAAAATCAGAACTTTATCTTGTTGCGACAATTATGGCGCCCTGGATTTTAGTGTGCGCTTTTAATTTTCCTCCTAAAAAACTTTTTAGACGCCCTAATCCCTAATCGCGCTTTTTAGACGTCTTCTAGATTGTCATTTTTTTGACTTTAAACAAAGCGATGCGTTTGAATCAATAAATCCACCGCCTTCGAGTCTCTTTCGTTTCCCGTCTACTTGCTAAGCTTTGCTTTGCTAAGCGTTGCTAAGCTGTTCTTCTTGTTTGACGTATCGTTGTACGCAAGCTCGGTCAATGTTCAAAAACTTCGCAGCAAAGCTTGATGGAGACTTCCTTTGTCATTTTTGCTGCCTCGAGTTTTATCCTCACATCGATCGATTTCCGTCTTTGCTTGGCCGTTTCTTTGTCCAACTCCTTCACTGGTTGATCACTCGATTTATCTCACAAAGATGCTCTCGTCCTTTTCCAAGAATAAACCGGTGACACTTTGAAACAATCATGCGAAAATGACTTTTGCTTATTTTAGCACAATGGTTAACTCAACTCGTCGACGAAGGGATCCCTGAACTTTCTACCGAATGTCGAAAATTTCCGACGGAACAAGAAGTGAGTACTTTTACAGAAAATTTGTCAAGATTGATTTTCTTTAGATAATCGACTCTCTTCACAATCAATCTCTCTTCATCATCCCATATGATTGCGACAAAAATCATCAGCCCTCGATGGAAAGAAATGGAGAGGCGGCTTACTGGTGTCTTGTGGTGGGTTTTTTGCTTGGTGCAATCTTATCTAGTTGGCGCATCTCATAAACTAGCGTAATTTGAAAGCCCGTTGTTTTACATTCATAGTTTGAGGATAATTTTTGTTTTGAAAACCAATTAAAACTACTCAAGTTTTGTCTTTAGATTGGTTACGTTTACTTCGATGACGAGTTGAATGAAGATGTTCACCAAAAGGAAAGCTTCTCTCCCGAGGATCTTGATCAATTTTACGTGTTGACTCTCCATGGAAAAAGTCGGTTGGTGTTTGTTTCTATTAAAAACAAATCTATTTTTTTGTTCAGACAAATTGGAGTTTGGGAGTACAAAAATTTGCACAATAGTAACGCTCAACTGTATGAGGTAATATTTTTTGAAGTTTAATGTAAAAGGCTATCATAATTTTTCAATTCATTGGGTTGGTAAATTGAAAACTGCCGGCTATTGTCATATGTGACAGTTTGAGCACTTTCTTCAAAAGAAACCCATTTTGGTGTCAATGGAAAAGTTGTAGAGAATCAAAAATCAAGCTTATATCCAAATTTTCAGAACGATTCAAAAGCTGGTTTTCAAGAAATGCCAAATTTACGAATTTTCACAAAACTTTCAACAAAACTTGCATTTTAAGCGAAACTACTGAGTGTATCTTTTTGGAAATTTGGCTATAAGCCTAATTTTTGATTCTCTACAACTTTTCTATCACCACCAAAATGGATTTCTTTTGAAGAAAGTGCTCAAACTGGGACATCTCGACATCTCCAGTCCTCCATTTTTGATTCTCACACACAAACCAAAATCCTACCACGAAAGAGGAATCCGCAAATTGCCTGTAAAATGGGCAGAAGTCGTCAATAATAATGGAAATTATTTGGAATGAATTGATGGTTTTATGTTGAATAAATTTTAGTTCAAAGTCCGGCAGTTTTCAATTCACCAACCCAATATTGCACAATAGTAACGCTCAACTGTATGAGGTAATATTTTTTGAAGTTTAGCGCAATGTTTAAAGGCTAGCAGTTTAAGTTTTCAGTTAAGTTTAAGTTTTCAATTTAGATTGGGGCAAATCGATCTCGAGAGGATTATGTCATCCCGCCCACGGGATTGGACGAGTTACGAGGCAAAGCGGTGATCGTCAAAAAGAAAGCGACTTGAAAAGGCTCGAACTTTTAACGTCATATTTTACTGTGATATTTATATTAGTAATTATTTGACTAATAACCAGTTATATTTGCTTTAAAAGAACGCTATTATTTGTGCTCATATTTGTCATATTGTGAAGTTTTTATTCGTTGTCTTGCAACAGGTTTGTACAGTGTAGAAAAATAGTTTCTTTTTAGGCAAAAATAAAGTAATACTGTAAAAAAAAAGGAAAAATATGTGAAATTTCGTTGGCAAGCTGCTGGGACTTGAAATGGGAAAAGACTCGTAATTTTTTCGACACATTTAAAAAAGAAAATGCTTTTTGATTATCAAACAATTGATAGCAAATAAAATGTGAACAAAATTCGTTGTGTAAAGCTCAAAAATTAAAGGCGAAAAAAGTAACGCAAAGATTCGATGGGGAATTTTTTACAAAAAGCACCAAATATTTTACAGTAACCCTGGCAAGTTTTCTAGGAGAATCAAGAGAATTTTGAATCGGGTAATTTTTAGAAAAAGAAAATGAAACGAAAAGAAAAAGAAAAGCAAAAAAACAAAGAAATTTCAAACCTACATGCACTCAATTTGAGCTGACTAGAGGGGTTTTTTTTTGGTAAAAAAACAAGAAAATTTTTAAAATTTCACTATAACGGTGGATTGGACAAGTTTTTAAAAGCCTTTGGATTACGGTGGATTGGACAAGTTTTAGAAACTCATTGGTTGGGCAAATGTTAGAAAACAAAGTGGATTTTGAAATTTTATGATTTATGAGTGAATAGATTTCTATTTCTATTTCTTGATGGCTTATTATAGTTTTGATGATTTTCTGTAGATTCTGTAGATAAATATCGTTAAATATTTGAAACATTTGCCCTCAATGGATCTTGTTGTTGTGATGGCAGCAATGTTGTCTCCTCTCGTCGTGTTCCCGAAATAACCGTATCATTGTAGACGTCGTCCTCGAAAACCGGATTGCAGAAGTTGTTCGTCTGAAAGTAAAGGTCAAGTAAGTGTAAGTAAGTGTAAGTAATTCTCGTATTAGCAACGTTATATTAGCAATCTTCGATTGGGATTGGTACGGTTTAAAATATTAGCACAATCGGATACTTTACAATGTCTTGTTGTACAATGTACGATGTACAATGTACAATGTTTTGTTGTACAATGTTTTGTTGTACAATGTTTTGTTGTACAATGTTTTGTTGTACAATGTACGATGTACAATGTCTTGTTGTACAATGCCTTGTTGTACAATGTACAATACCTTGTTGTACAATGTACAATGCCTTGTTGCACAATGTACAATGCCTTGTTGCACAATGTACAATGCCTTGTTGCACAATGTACAATACCTTGTTGTACAATGTACAATGCCTTGTTGCACAATGTACAATACCTTGTTGTACAATGTACAAAGCCTTGTTGTACAATGTACAATACCTTGTTGTACAATGTACAATGCCTTGTTGCACAATGTACAATACCTTGTTGTACAATGTACAATGCCATGTTATACAATGTACAATGTCTTGCTGTACAATGTACAATGTTACAATAATCTATTCGTTCGCGAAAACTCGGATTACCGGATATTCTATTCTATGTTGACTTTTGAATGACTATCTGGCTGACTATCTGGCTAACAATAAGATACCAATGCATTGGGAAAGTCTAGGGATGAAGAGCTTAAAGGAAACGAAAGGAAATTAGTGCTGAAGAGATTTTGATGAGCTTTGTTTCTCAAACCTGATCTCGAGTGACTAGCCGCCCACTCTCATCCCCATCACCAACATCATTCGGCTCGAAGGCTGGGTTCTAAAATATTGAGCGTTATTCTTAAAGCTCTTAAAGCTCTTCTTAAATTCTCCATATTCTCAAAAGCAAAGAAGTAACTGTACAGCAAAAGCACGAGAACATTTTTGAAAATGATTCGGGGACCTTAGAAATGAAATGCTAGAGGATGTTTCAAAAAAAAAAGTCATTTCAGGAGCCACTAGAAATTCTGAGAAAAATCGCGTTGAACTTTTTTGGAACACCTAGGATCTAACTAGGGGTATAAAAAAAATGATTCGTTGATTTTGAATCGCTTTTGAATCGCTTCTGAATCGAATGGTACCAAATTTATCTTGAATTCATTGATTGTGTTCACTTTTTGTTTGAATTGAATGTGTTGAATTCATTGTCACATGTGACATTGCCTATTTTCGAGCTTTTGAGCCTTTGTAGCTAGCTTTGTAGCTTTGTAGCTGGTAGCTTTGTAGCTTTGTAGCTTTGTAGCTTTGTAAATGGTCTTGTATCTTGGTCAACATTTGGCACGACTCTGTAGAACTCTGTAGAACTTTACTTTATATAGCCTTAGCTCGAAAAAGCTTTCTTTGCTAGCAGTAGGAAAGGAAAGGAAATCAAAATCATTCTCACACACTTCTGATACACAATAGCACAGTATAAAACTATCAAACTATCAAAATATCAAAAAGAACTCACATGAAACTCTTCCATTGTCGTCTCCGGATGATCATCAACCATGCGAGATCGTGAGAATTGAGCGATTTGTCGTAATCTAACACGTATTTAGGAGCTTTATTCAAAAGTATTTCTTTCAAATCCATTTGAAAAGCTTTCAAATTCAAATTTCAGCTAATTAAAGCTTAAAGCTATGTTAATTTAAAGGTTAAAGATAAAAAAAACTTACTTATCAGTGCGCATGAAGACCACATAAAGTAAAAAGGCGCAAATACAGAAAACGAGAGCCACCGGAAGATATATTAGAAGGAATTCTGAAATGGAAATGTTAAATAGGAATTGTGAAATGAAAATTGTTAAATAGGAATTCAATAATTTCAATTTTCTTTCCAATATTATTTCCAATTTTATTTCCAATTTTCTTTGAAATCCAAAACTCACGTCCACCCCGATTGGTGATCATGTCGGCTCTTTTCGTGAAATCGTATTGACATCGAGAACCGGCGAATTGTTTTGGGCATCTAAATTGATTTCATTGAGACTTGAGGAATTGATAAAGCTTAAGATAAAGATAAAGGCTCAAGATAAAGGCTCAAGATAAAGGCCGAAGATAAAGGCCGAAGATAAAGGCCAAATTTTCAAATCTAATAGTAAAATAGTCTTAAATTAAGTGTTTCTGAGTAATGCGCTTTCTAAAAAGTATCGAAAAACCATTGTAATCTTTGTAGATTTTGTCTGTTTTGCTTAGGAATGATATGCTTAGCAATGATATGATATATTCAATATGAAATGGAAATAGTGAATCGAATGAGATCAAAATTAAGCAAATGAGTAAGCTAATGGAAGGAGTAAGCTAATGGTAAGCTAATGAGTAAGCTAATGGCTTTCCCAATTTATCTATCTTTAAAAAAAACTCTGATTGAAAGATCAAGACTCAAGACCAACCTGCAAACAGCTCGTTTATCACTGATCAAACACTCTCCACCATTTTGACATAAACCATCACAAGAGGGCGTTCTAAACATTGAAGATTTAGAGAATTCAATACTGTACTCAAAGCACACCTTTGTGCTCAAAGTGCACTCTTTCTGGCGCACTGAATTCTTCACTTTTCTTGCAGCAAGTAGTGCTTTGCGGTTTGTTTTAGTGTTTTGAGGAAAATGTTTTCAATGCGCCAGAAAGAGTGCGTTTCTAGAGTCCAAAGAAAAAGAAAATTCCCAACCTGCAAACTAAGCCCTTCCAGCTGAGCGGACAAATGCAAGACGGCCCTCTCGACGTACAGATTCCCCCGTTGGCGCACTCGATTTGTCCGCACGATTGAGCGGTGACCAGGGTGCAACTGGAAATAGATCATAGGGCAATGGATTCGTTCAAAAATTCTCTATATCTTTATTCATATCATTCTATATCTATATTATTCTATATCTATATTATTCATCGTCTAAAACTCACTCATCACCACCCAATCCTTTCGGACAATTGCAAAGACCGAGCCGCGTTTTTGCATCTCTCTCACATTTGCCTCCATTTTGACATCTCGGTGAACAACCCTCGTACGAGTCGCATTTTGGCCCGGAGAAACCGAGAGAACAACTGAATACTTTTGATTAACATGATTAACTAGATTAACTTGATTAACTTGATTAACTAAATGATTAACTTGACTACCAAATTTACTAGAATGACTGAAAAGTTCTATCCGCATTAATCGACGTGTAAGAAATATATATTTATACTTTGATCTTTAAAATTTCTTGTGAGACCGTGTCTCGGTGTGGTTCAATGGTAGTTCAATGGTAGTTCAATGATAGTTCAATGGTAGCTCAATGGTAGTTCAATAGTAGTTCAATAGTAGTTCAATAGTAGCTCAATGGTAGTTCAATGGTAGTTCAATGGTAGCTCAATGGTGTCTCGGTGTGGTTCATGTCTTGAAAACACACAATTTATCAAAACTTTCCCCTTATTAGGGCAAACTTCGCTTAAACTTGAGCAAACTTGAGCAACCTGGCACTATCACAATTACTTCAACACTTGCGTGTGAAAGAAAAAAGGATGAATAGAAAAAGGAGCCCTCCATTGACTCAAAACAAAGCTTAAAATAATGGATTTTACACAAGCTACGACAAACGAACAACTGAATATCGTCTAGTGGCTGATTACGGTAGTTTATCCATCAACTTTGAATTTTGACTAACTGCAGAGCAATGGCAATTCGCCACAAGACGTTTCTTTATCATCACTTTTCAGCCATCCTTTTTAACCAGCTGCCAGCTGCCAGTGCAAAGTTCAAAGTTAGGGATTTGAAAGTTTTTCACTCGATTTTCTGACTATCATCGCACATTTTAAGGACAGAGTTTTAGACTCTATAAAACTCTATTTGTTTCATTTCAAATTCCACCGTAAACACTCGAATAGAAGAGCCCCACTATAGGAGTGTCGTGTAGCCGAAGTTTACTCTCAAACAAACGCTCATATCTCGACACCAGTACATTTGTTTTTGCGCGTTTAGGTATCAAATTAAAGTAGAGAAAATCAGTGTTTTTTTTTATATATAACACATATTTTTAGCATTAACCAGCACTTAGAAAAAAATGATTAAAAAATGAAAAGTGGCAAAAAAAAAGGGTCGATTTTTCAATCATTTTTTTCTAAGTGCTGGTTAATGCTAAAAATATGTGTTATATATCAAAAAAACAATGATTTTCTCTACTTTAATTTGATACCTAAAGGTGCAAAAATAAATGCACTAGTGTCGAGATATGAGCGTTTGTTTGTCACCAGATGCACAAGTACTAATGTGCTCAAGTTTATACTAACTTATCTAACTTATAAGTTTATACTAACTCAAGTTTATACTAACTTATCGTTAACGAATCCCCTTAGATTATTTAGAGGAATTCGAAAGAATTTTTTGACTCACCGACACTCCCAATGAGTGACATTTGCATCAACACACTGTGAATTGAGACTACAGTAGTCGTCGCAGTGTTGAACCTCAAGAGTTATCGTAGAATTGATTGTAGTTTACATTAAACTTGTACCTCTTCACAACGAGGACCTTTCCATTTTGGTGGACACGAGCAATAGGCTGAGAAATCGGGCAAATCGATGCATTCTCCTAAATATTCGACTCAAACACTTCAAATTTGATTTCTAATTTTCTAATATTACAAATCCCTACCTCCATTCTTGCACCAGCCGGGTCGTTGCGCGCAAATCGGAGAGCATTTCCCGCTTGTTGGATCTGAAATGGGATTTGAATTTTAAAAAATAGGATTTAGCTAAAGAAAAATATAGAATAGTTTTCCAACAAACTTTTATCCGAATCCTTGCACCGACACTCTAAACCGTTGGGCGAACTCGAGTTGTGCACACACCAACTGCCCATCTTACAATAGCCTGTAAAAAAGAGGGTATTGCAGCTTACAATACCCTAATACAATACCCTAATACAATACCCTAATACAATAGCCTAATAAAACAACCTAATACAATAACCTAATACAGTAACCTAATACTGTAGTCTAGCAGTGTAATACAATACTAATAAAGTAACCCACTCAAACCTAGTACTATAGTCTAGCACTGTAGCCTTGCATCGTAACCTTGTACAATAATCTAGTACAGTAACCTATACAGCAATCTATATAGTGCAATAGCCTAATACAGAAACCTAATACAGTAACTTAGTATATTACCCTTGTAACCTTGTACAGTACATACCGTAAATACTGTAATAGTACCCCACCCCCCTCGTACAGTCGCGTAGTCGCAAAAGTTTTTTAGTATTTCATTGTTTTTCAAAGCGCCCGTACTTTCAAAAAAAGCGTCTTTGGTATCAAAAAATAGCTGAAATTCAGGGCTATTTTTTGATACCTATACGAGCATTGTAGCATAAACCAGTGTCGAGAAAAACTCGTTCAAAGCTAGACTACGCAACACTCCGCACCGTCATTATGAGGCTGGGGTACTATTACAGTATTTACGGTAAGTAACCTTATAACTATAATCTAATCCGTACTTCCGAATCCTTACTGAGCAAGCCAACCAACCTATGCACAGATCTTTTTCACAAGATGCTCCCGTCCACCCAGGAGCGCATTGACACTTCTCTCGATTCTTACACTGTCCATCATTCAAACAGATCAACGAGCCACCTGACGGAGTGAAACAGTTCTCGCAACGGCGCCCTAGAAAGAGTTTTGTTTCATTCTTATCATTCACAAAAACATTTGGCCCACTCAATCAATCATGCCCCTTTTTCGATTCGTTTACCGTTAGCAATCTACGAATTTCGCCTGTACCTTGGCCGGTTTTGTTTGAAAAATGTTGAATTTGCTTTCATTTGACTTGAGAAGAGATTTTCTATCGAATGAAAGCAAATTCAACATTTTTCAAACAAACCCGATCAAGGTAAAAGCAAAATTCGTAGATTGCTAACGGTAAACGAAGCTAACGAATCGAAAAAAGGGCGCGGAGTTCAAATGGCTTTCAAACTCAATAGTTAAAAGATGCCAACTATACCGTAATAGTTGAGCGGACACACGCAAAAGGCGTCTCCCTCTTTGCCCTGTTTGCAAGTGCCACCATTGAAGCAGTAGTCCGACGTGCATGAAACTCCCTAAAAAGAGCTTTGGCTTAGCTTTCGTATGAAATGGTTTTAAGGTCACACTTCAGTTTTTACTATATCTGTGCTAAAAATTTGAATGTATGATCTCAAACTTTAAGAATATTCAGGTAGGTCTTCTTTATCATTTTCAAATTTTCATATCCCACAAATATTGATGGGTTAAGAGGCTTAATTTTTGGATTTCCGTTGGTTTGGTTTATTTGGCCTTGATAGGTTGAACAACGCTGTCGATTGACCTAGCCGATTGACTTAGCCGATTGACCTAGTCAATTGACCTAACCGATTGACCTAGCCGATTGACTTAGCCGATTGATCTAGCCAATTGACCTAGCCAATTGACCTAGCCAATTGAACTAACCGATTGACCTACAGGAGCAAGGTTGTAGGTACAAGAGTGTTAGGCTTTATAGATACACTACTGGACAATTAAATATCATATTTGAAAAACGATCGTCACTTTCCCGCGTCTGTAACTCCCTTGTCTTTACCGTATTTCTAAATATTAATATTACCATTATGTAGCCCTTGAAAAGAGCTTTCAGAAAATGTATAACATTAATAGTTTTGAACTCAAAGACATGGGAGTTACAGACGCGCGAAAGTGACGATCGTTTTTCAAATATGATATTTCATTGTCCAGTACTGTTGGCTCTAGTTTCAAAAAACGGTTACAAAGTAGCATTTCCGTCTATTCTATTAGACTATAGCCAATCCAGTAACCGATAAACCCAATGTGAATTGCTTACCTTAACATCACAATTCTCTCCACTCCATCCATTCTCACAGCGACATCTCGGCATACCGGTCTCGTTGTGGATCGAGCAAGTGCCGTGCGCGCAAACGCCTGTGCATTTATAGCGCTCACAGCGCTGTCCCGTGAAGTCATAGGGACACCTGAATCGATGTATTTACCGTATTTACCGTACTAATCTATTCGAGATTTTAAACACTTACACACAAAATGGCTCGTATTCAGCGCTGAGCCCATATTTTTGCAGCCGGCACACTCCACCGTTGAGGCACGCATTTTGGCATGGATCCCACTTAAAATGTATCTAATTTACATAGAAAATGTAATTTTTTTTAAACTCTTTATACAATTCATTGTATTGTATTGTACTTTTCTTGCTAGATACAGGCTTAAAGGTATTGTCATTGATCTTTAAACCGCTATCCAAGACTGCTAATCGTTGGGCCAAAATGCTTGAACATTTCACGGAAAATGACAGTGTCAGCTCCGAGCCAAACTGATATCTTAGTTACTATTGTTATTATTGAATGATTTGTTTATTCTTATGTAAATGTGTTCTCCCCTGTGCTTATCCCTTTCATCACCGAGAAGGGGCGATCCTTGGGATTGCCTAGGAGGACAAGTCAGGGTTGTCTAGGAGGACAAGTTGGGATTGCCTAGGAGGACAAGTTGGATTTCCTAGGAGGACAAGTTGGGCTTGCTTAGGATGCCTAGAAAAATGATTGACCTTTCTAATGAAACAAACCGTAGTTCAATTGGTGCATTTGTTTTCAATGGAAGTACGAAAAGGAACGAAAAGACTTATTCACCAGCCTAATATTCCAAAATACTATAGCGGATATTGGGACTTACAGTACTCAGAAATAATATATAATTTTCAATCCGATACCTGGCATTGTGATCCCTTGAGTCCTTCGGGACATCCACAAAAGTCCCCGAATGGATTTTTCTCGCATCGGCCCCCGTTATGACAGATTATCGATCCGCATTCTAAAAATGAAATTGAATTCTTGTTTTTTTGTTGAATTTCAGATATAAAAACCCGTTTAAGTTCTTATTTTAGATAAATTATCTATATTTTACTGACGCAAAAGCGTTTATAGAGAAAAATTTTAATTCTAAAATGCACTAGCTACCGTCATCCGCAATTTCCATTGCTTAAAGTCATTTTCCGTTGTTTTTATTCATTTTCACCGTTTTTCTTTGCCATTTCATCAAAGATCCATCAAGATCAACTGCTATAACAGAAAGTTAAGTATTTTTGATTCTTCTTTTCTGGAACAGCTAGCTTTGTTTTAATAACTTTTACAAAGAGATGGACGAACACAAATGTCACAAAAGAATATTTAAAATTGTGAACTATTTATCAACCTTTCAACCGGGACGTTATTGTTGCTTCTGTTGCTGTTTCTGTTGTTGCTTCTGTTGCTGTTTCTGTTGTTGCTTCCGTTGCTGTTTCTGTTGTTGCTTCCGTTGCTGTTTCTGTTGTTGCTTCCGTTGCTGTTTCTGTTGTTGCTTCCGTTGCTGTTTCTGTTGTTGCTTCCGTTGCTGTTTCTGTTCTTGCTTCCGTTGCTGTTTCTGTTGTTGCTTCCGTTGCTGTTTCTGTTGTTGCTTCCGTTGTTGCTTCTGTTGTTGCTTCTGTTGTTGTTTCTGTTGTTGCTTCTGTTGTTGTTTCTGTTGTTGTTTCTGTTGTTGTTTCTGTTTTTCTGGCAATTCGACATTTGTGTTCGTCCATCTCTTTGTAAAAGTCATTAAAACAAAGCGAGCCGTTCCAGAAAAGAAAAACCAAAAATACTTAACTTTCTGTTATAGCAGTTGATCTTGATGAATTTGCGATGAAATGGCAAAGACGGTGAAACGGTGAAAAGAAAAACGGTGAAAAATGAAGAAAAACAAAGCAAAAATGACTCTAAGCAATGGAAATTGTGGATTACGGTAGCTAGTGCATTTCAGAATTTGTCCCCAAAATTTTTCTCTGTAAACGCTCTTGCCTATTTTACCATACCTGTATCCTTTCCTGGTGTGTACTCCAATTGAATGCACTCTTTCCCGTCCCAATGCGAACCACGAGCGCATACACAACGATACCCGCTAAAATTTGCATATAACAATAGAAATTAAGTACTTTAGCATATGTAATTTTAAAGATACAGTACCCTTCATTTAGATCAATCGATCGCGAGTGTGGCTGAGTGATGGAGATACATGGGAAAGTGCCGCACGGATTCGATCCACACGGGTTCACCGAGAAAAACTCGACTAAACAAAAAAAAAATGTTCTATATAAATATTTATAAATATAAATATCTATCTATCTATCTATAAATAGCTACTACATTTTCTACACTTATTTCTTAATATACTGTTTAACTCTAAAGCAATTGATCAATGAAACTTGATCAAAGCTGGCTAGTTTTGATCAAGTTTCATTGATGGCCTGGCTTTCTGTAGCGTTTCCAAACTATTCGAGCTTACTACAGGCCTGGTCATGGTCCGCAAAAAGTAGTTGGTCGGCTAGAAGGTCGTAAACCTTGGCTTCTGACCTGGCTTTGGCCTTGTTTGATCTGGTCGTTTCTGGCCTGGCTTTTCAGTCCTGGTCTGGGTCTGGGTCTGGTCAGGTCTGGGTCTCTTACAGACCTTGCTCTGGAGCAAGTCCAAGGTCCTTTAGAAACCAAACATTAGGCCTGGAGCTGGCTTCTAGTCCGGCCTTGCTGCAGGTCTGGTTCCTGCCCTGGTCTGCGTCTGGCCAGGGCTGGGTCTCTTACAGACCTTGCTCTGGAGAAAGTCCAAGGTCTTTTAGAAACTAAACATTAGACCTGGAGCTGGCTTCTAGTCCGGCCTTGCTGCAGGTCTGGTCCTTGCCCGTAATAAGTCCCGTATTTATTTCAATAGAAGAGCTCATTTAGATAAAATTTTTTATTTTTTCGAACTTGTCAACCCTCGGATAGTAAAATGCTTAACTTTTTAAAGATTTCGAAAGACTTTAAATAATAGTTATAGACTAAAAAAGCTTAATGATGTCGAAAATCGGATAAAAATTCAACAAAAACATCAACTTTTGAGGTCTTAAAAATTTTAGAGGGACATTAAAAAATAGAAGAGCCGGCTCTTCTATTCGAATGTTTACGGTATGTAAGTAACACTAACTACAAGAAAGTCTATGCAATTTACTTACACGATGATTTGGCTCGATGTACGACGCGAAGCTTTGCGATTCCCGAAGCCGGGCTTCGATATTGAAATGTTCGATCGTCACGGATGAATTTCGCCGTTCTCCAAAGGGTTCCATGAGGTCGACCAATCACATAAATGTATTCTTCGAAAACATCCAATTTGAAGGGACGATCATGACCTGGAAATGTCGTTAGAATTGAATGATTTAAAAGAAAATCCTCACCGTGTGGATATTTCTCGAGCACTCGTCGATCTTTCCCGTCAACGCGAATCGTTTCAATTGTCGATTTCTTGAAATCAGTCCAGTAGATTCTTCTGAAAAGTTTTATCAATTTCAGTTTTTTTCTTCAACAACTCACTCATTTGGTCCATCGAAAGTGATCGAATTTGGCTCGTAAATGTTGTCAACAACAAGCGTTCGCCTATCAGATCCATCCAAATTCGAGCACTCGATTGATCCGAATGGCCGCTCAACGGTCCAACATAACATGCTGAAACTTGTTAGTTAATTTATCGTTTTCTAAAACGTGTCAAATTTTCTAGACTACCGTAACCTAGTCTCTAGTTTTATCCAATCTCTTCTATGAGGCTATCCAATCCAAATTTTATGAGGCTTTACAAAAGGATCAACATCAACATCTAGAAAGAAATCTATCCTACAAAAAGTAGATAGACAAAAAGTAGATTGAATTGAAGTTAGAGACAAGATTACAGCAGTTTTTTGACGAATATTAGTACGGAAATTCACCTGGGATTTTGTGGATTAACGGCTATCGAGGTGACAGCATCGAGATGAGAAGTGACAATCGGAATCATTTGACTTGGAGTGGAAAGTGGGGTGATCGTGATGCCGGCTTTGATCTCCCTGGAAAATTGTCATTTTAATGGTAATGATTCTTTCAATGAATCGTAATCATGGCTGATATAAAAAAAGCCAAAAGTCAAGGCTTTCAATAAGGCTTAATTTGGAATTTAAACCTTATCCAGTTCTGGTCTAAGAATCTCCACCTTATCCAGTCTAAAATCTTGGAAAACCTTGGCTTTGGCTTGACCTGAAAATTTGGCTCTAATCAAATCTGGCTGTAATCAAAACTAATTATTGGAAAACCAAAACCAGTTAACAGCTAACAAGCCTATGGAATGTCTGCTTATCACGCCGAATCTTTGAGTGACAGTCTGACACACTTTAGCACTGTATTAGGACTCTTGTGATAGACACTTTTAGTACTAGATGCCCATTCTCGATTCCTCAATTGAGCTATTTTTTTTTGTTCGGAAAGTCTTGTTCACTCTTTTTTGAAATTTTCGTTTATAAATGAACAATTAGCCGATAAATGTGTGGTTTGTTTTAGAAAAAAAAAAGTTTTACTATTTCATTTAGCTCATTTTTACGCAAATTTGAGTCAAACCCGCAAATCTTTGAAGCAAAACCGAACGGGAATTCTTGTTTATTCTTGTTTTTCCTAAAATCCTTACAATAAACATCGAATAAAATCGGCTGAATCAATTTCTCTGAAAACTTGTCTATCTATCTATCTATCTACCTAACTTTTTATTCTCTATCTTTTCTCTTCTGACATCAAGATAGATTTCTGTGACAAAAAGTGCTCAAATCAGAGCTTTGGCTTTGTTTCATCGTTTGTAACTGCTCGACTTCAAACCTTTAAAAAAAATTAACTAACGAGAGCTTTTCAGAATTTCTTAAAGCAACAATTTTTAAATAAATAATAGAATTTTCTAATAAAACAAGCCATAGATCGATCAGTTCATTATTTATTTCAAAAAGTAATCTTTAAAAAAAGCGGAAAAGACTTTCCGGTCAGCCTAATATGTATCCTAGGAGTTATATTGTAAAAACAATAAAGTCATACCTAGTGAACGAGAATGCCGCATGAGCCACATAGACATTTTGATGCACCCAATCGACGGCCAGCGAGGGTGGCGTATGCGGGAAAACATCAAATCCACGACGCTTTGTCCATTCCTGGAAATTCATTCTACAAAAAAAGCTAAAGCACCAACAGCACATTCATCTATCTTTAATTCATCGGTTAATCAACCTCAAGTCATACTATTCTAACAGAATTATCGTATAAACTACAAAAAAAACCTGATTTTCCGCCGCATCAACTGCTCGTTCGGTTCGGGAAGGTTGTTCGGTGAATTGCTCAAAAGTGCCGACATTCACCGAGCCGAGGAACTGAAGGGAATTGTTTTGTTTGGATAAAATAGTATAAAATTTGCATCAAATCTTTAGATTCTTTAAAATAGCTTAAATATAGCTTTAGTTTAGAAAGGAAGGAAGAAATAGAAGGAAATCTAAAGGAAATTCAGTCGTTTTGCACTAAATATGTCTGATAAAACTTTGTTAAAAGAAGATAGATCTAAATACTAGTTCAAGTACTAGTTCAAGTTCAAGTACTAGTTCTAGTTCTAGTTCTAGTTCTAGTTCTAATTCTAATTCTAATTCTAGTTCTAGTTCTAGTTCTAGTTCTACTTCTAGTTCTAGTTCTAGTTCTAATTCTAGTTCTAGTTCTACTTCTAGTTCTACTTCTAATTCTAATTCTAATTCTAATTCTAATTCTAATTCTAATTCTAATTCTAGTTCTAGTTCTAATTCTAGTTCTAGTTCTAGTTCTACTTCTAGTTCTAGTTCTACTTCTAGTTCTAGTTCTAGTTCTAATTCTAGTTCTAGTTCTACTTCTAGTTCTAATTCTAATTCTAATTCTAATTCTAATTCTAATTCTAATTCTAATTCTAGTTCTAGTTCTAATTCTAGTTCTAGTTCTAGTTCTACTTCTAGTTCTAGTTCTACTTCTAGTTCTAGTTCTAATTCTAGTTCTAGTTCTAGTTCTACTTCTAGTTCTAGTTCTACTTCTAGTTCTACTTCTAATTCTAATTCTAATTCTAATTCTTAGCCGTTTAGATTGATCTAATTCTGTAGAGTTTCATGAAAGACACCAAAAGATCCAAAATGTAGAGAAAAGATTTTGACAGCTTTCCGTATTGGATACGTTTTAGAAAGCTCATTAGAAAAGAAACTATTCTGTTTAATACTATTTAATTATGAACGAATTCTTAAATTTAAACACTTTTGAACGAATGCTTAAACTTGGAAAGACTTGGACAACAGGCGCGACTTAAACGAATGACACCAAAATCCCCTCACCAAATCAATCCAAACATAGGTGGGCGGTCCATTGGGTTGCGGGTAGAAAACATCGAAATCAGCCACGGTTTTCTTTTTCAAACGAATCCAATTCATGTAAACGTGAGTCTAAAAAAACTATTTTGTCAAAGAAAACCATCAAAATCATCAAATTTTCTAACCATATTGTCGTTGTGATCAAATTTTCGAACATCGGTTCCGTCAAGGATCACCACTTCGGCTTTATGGCCGCCTAAAAAAAAATATATATATATAAAACTGTTGAATTCCTCCATTAGTCTTATTTTAATGTTTATTTTTTTGATTATTTATTTTTGATTTTGATTAAATTGATCGATTTTTGATTATTAAATGATTAGGGGTTAGTTTTGCGGATTTATAACGGAAAAGTATCGGTTTTGTTATTAGTCAATCTAGAAAATTGAACCTAGGAAAAACGCTGGTGAACAACGGAGAAATTTAAGTTTAAACTCTAGAAGTTATTTAGAACCAGAAGAATGTTGGCTTTACTGGAATTTCCTCCTCTTTCTTCTTTCTTTCTTCTTCTTCTTTCTTTCTTCTTCTTCTTTCTTTCTTTCTTTCTCTTGGCAAGTTAAGATATCAGATAGCACAATGGTTAGAGCGATTGCCTGGAAAGCAAAAGGTCGAGGGTTCAATTCCCTCTCTGGAAATCTACTTCACGTCTTTACGTCTTCACGTTTTTTACTTTTTAACTCAATCTCAATCATTTACCATCAGCTTTGCATCTTCCCAGACTGGCCGTCGTCATACTGTATCCATAAGCACATCCACATCGATGTCCATCCTTGTTTTTCTCCTCGATACACATCTGGGAACATGTGCCGAAACGCTCGCAAATTGAGTTGCCTAAAATATTTTCATTTCGAAAAGATTGTCACTCTGGGGTCATTGAAAATGACTTCTAGATTGCACGATTGTTTAGTAAACACAAAAAATGCGACTTCTATTTCCTATACTTCTATCTTCAAATAGTTGCAAATTTTGATTAATTTACCACACAATCTCTCATCGCTACCATCTCCGCAATCGTCTTTCCCATCGCACAATTTGTGATAGGGAATGCAACGACCATTGTTGCAACGCATTCGACCGGCACACTTTGAATCACCTAAAAATCATCTTTCGTACATCTTAGCTGAAAATTTAAACTCACAAAAGTTCGGATCCTCATCACTTCCATCAGCACAATCGGGCACTTGATCACAGTGACCACTTTGGGGATAGCACTGCCCACCAGAACGGCATTTGAGATAGCCCGATAGACAAGAGTGTCTCTCTGAAAGTGCACAGTCTACTACTAGTACATATCTTTACAATATAGACAATATTTCAATTATAGTAGATACGGTAAAGCTAAAGCTCTAAAAGGAAAGGAAAAAACTTTCGCCAACTTACCGCAAACTTTTGGATCCTCGTCATGATCGTTCGGACAATCGGGCACCCCGTCACAGAAATTTGAGGCAGACACGCAAATTGAGTTCTAAATTTATTTTATATTCAATTTATTTCATATTCTTTGAGTTTTAAGTATTTATTTTAAGATATTCAAGTATCAAAATCGACTGGCACTCAAAATTTATAATTATTTCAAAAGAAAATTTTATTTTCTTACCTCTGTGGGCGAATTTCCCTCGTCGAAGCAGCGTAGCCATTGTGGATTTTCCGTTTTTGTGGAGTCACAAGCTGAATCATTGTTTTTATGTAATAATTAGAAGATAACTCTAGATATATTACATGTGCAGAAAAGTAACACTTTTCTGTAAAATCTTATTTGATGTTTTGATTTTTGAATATCTCTGATTCTCTTGTCCTTTCTCTAAAGATCGTTCGTGTGATGAAAAGGGACGGAGCCCACTTTGTATTGCTTTTCTTTGGCTTTGATTGATTGATTGATTGATGATTGAACCAACGATTGATTCTATTTTATTGTATTTTCTCGCTAGATTAGTGATTGTGCTATATTTGGAATAAATATTGGGTTGGTGAATTGAAAACTGCCGACTATTGTCATGTTTGAGCGGTTTCAATACGGTTCCAATACGGTTCCAATACGGTTCCAATACGGCTCCAATACGGTTCCTATTTCGATTAAATATGGTTCCAATACGGTTCCAATACGGTTCCTATTTTGATTAAATATGGTTCCAATACGGTTCCAATACGGTTCCTATGTGACAATTTGAGCACTTTCTTCAAAAGAAACCCATTCTGGTGTCAATGGAAAAGTTGTAGAGAATCAAAAATGAAGCTTATATCCAAATTTTCAGAACGATTCAAAAACTCGTTTTCAAGAAATGCCAAATTTACGGAGTTTTCACAAAACTTGCAACAAAACTTGCATTTTAAGCCAAACTAACTAAAGTGTATCTTTTTGGAAATTTGGCTATAAGCCTAATTTTTGATTCTCTACAACTTTTCCATTGACACCAAAATGGGTTTCTTTTGAAGAAAGTGCTCAAACTGGGACATCTCGACATCTCCAGTCCTCCATTTTTGAGTCTCACACTTGTCTCAAACACAAACCAAAATCCTACTACGAAAGAGGAATCCGCAAATTGCCTTTAAAATGGGCAGAAGTCGTCAATAATAATGGGAATTATTTGGAATGAATTTATGGTTTTATGTTGAATAAATTCTAGTTCAAAGTCCCGCAGTTTTCAATTCACCAACCCAATATCTAAATAATCATTGCCCCATCGGTACCCTCTCACGCACTGCACATTACATCTATATTAACTCTATATTACAGTTTACATTTGAATTTCTTGATAACGTTTAGTTCATTGTTACCTCTGAAGGGTAAACTGTCTAAACTGTACTCTAAACTCTACTCTGCTATTGTATCTCAAGAACCATTTTTATATCTATTAGATTTATAAGCATAAAACTCACATATTATAGCTTAATTCTAGATTAATTAATAATAAATAATAATTCGATACTTACAACAATAAAGCTCATCACTGTAATCCGGACAATCCACCACTCCATCGCAGACTTTTTCGAGTGGAAGACATTTCGAGAGCGGATATGCACAATGGAAAGTCGAGTTGTTGCAAGCTGAAGTAAGTCGAAGTCTACTTTCTTTTTGACACTAACATCATCGATAAGCAAGTACAGTACATGAGATAGGGAAATTCAAACCCGAACCTAATTCTACCTTCATTTCTTGGCCATCTCTTGGCAAATTTTGGGAAAAGGCTGAGAAGTCAGCTTTCTGAATAGGCTCCAATTAAAAACAGTAAAACTAGAATTAAATGCGCATATTTTGCAAAAAAAAAGTATTTAAAAATAGTAAAGGAGAGTCGAAATTTGGGGATTGGAAGGAAAAAAAGGGAAATTTTCGAAAAGTATCCCTTTTTCTTCTTCTCACCCTCATCACTCGGCCACATTTGGGTCTTTTGAATGACTTTTTTTCTCTTGTAAAATATGCGCATCTAATTTTAGTTTTACTGTTGGAGCCATTCAATTCGGAGCCATCCAATTCGAGCCTAATTGGAGCCATTCAATTCGTAATGGCTTTGAGTTAAAAAGCGCAAAAAGATGCGCAAAAAAACTTTTGCTATCGAATGTTATATTTTGAACACCCAGAATCATCTCTAGAAGGGAGAAAGGGACTAGAAATTGAAAATGAAAATTCAGAGAGTCTACGAGCAAAAATCGGCTTTATCAGCTTTAAAGCAAAATTCTCAGAAACAATCGCCCAAAAAATAGCCGAGAAAAACGAAGGTGGAATTAGGGTTTGGATTTGAAATTTTCCCCATGTCCTCTAGTAAACAGCAACTACTTTCTAGAAAACTCGATCACACCTGGGCAATTCTCTTCATCGCTCCCATCAGCGCAATCCCGTGTCCCATCGCATTTCTCTTTGGCCATCACGCAACGAGAGCCATCCTAAAGCCATAAATGAGTGAATAGTTATAAAAGGTAAAAACAAAGAAATTAAAGTAAACTGAAGTAATGTATTAGGGTTGAAAACATCTAAATTCTGGATGTTTTGAACCCTAATACTTCATCGAAATCTTACCCAAACTGCTAAATCTTTGGATACTAATAAAGTTCAGAGGACGGCACTTTTTCTTTCTTCAAAACCACTTTTTATGGAGTAATTTTATGCGTAAATTCCGAAAAACACAACGAGAATTTGAGAAAATGCGTTTTAAGGCAAGTTTCGGGGCTGTAAAGTGCGCGCTCCAATAGTCTACTTCACTATATGGAGTCCAAGCTACTTTTAACCCCTAAGTATTCATTTTTTAAACTTAAATTAACTGGTAGAGATTTTGCTTAGATTTTGTCTCATGTGGGAGATCACTGTGACCACTAAAAGTATCGAAAAGTCTTAGTAAACGAACCGCGCATTGGAAATTCCCGAGATCACACTCGGGCAGGGTTTCTGTCTCGCATTCGGCCTCATCGGATCCATCATTGCAATCGCTTTCCCCGTCGCAAACCCAGCTAAATTAAGGCTTTACCGAAATCCAATCCACCTTACATTTGCGCAATACACTTTTGCCCGTCATTGCACCGGAATTGATCCTTTTTACATTTGCCCCCTTTCGCCACGTCGCATCCTTTCTCATCGCCGGCATCCGGGCAATCGTTTTGTCCATCACATCTGGAATTTGCATATAATATTGTAATCTATCTATCTTTTCGCTACTATACTTTACTTAAGTATACTTTTTTAAGAATTCACCTGTAAAAATTCGGAATACACTTCCCACTGGCGCATCGAAATTGCTCGGATTCGCATTTGCGCACGTCTAAAAAGAAATGTGTTTTTTCAAAAGCATGGATATATTTAACTAATATTAACTGAAATAAATTGAAATCTAAAAACAATGCTTTATAAAACAAACCACAAGTTGGCGGTTCATCCTCCCCGTTCGGGCAATCCTTCTCCCCGTCACAGATCCATGATCGTGAGATGCAGCGTTCAACCTAAAATTTTTGAAATCTTACTTTTATTTCGATTTTATTGAAATCAAATAATCAAAGATTGCTCGATTTCGCTCGATTTATAGCTTAATTTCACTCACTTGCCCGCTCTTGCTGTTGGTGCACGCGAAATTCGATGGCCCACAATCGCCGAGAACTTTCTCTGAAATTGAGACTTTGCTGGGGGGTTTTAATACGTGTACAGTTCTGTAGTCGTTAACTATTTTACAAATAATTTGGTGAAAACTCAAAGATCAACTAAACTATTATAGTCATTCGATAGCCCTGAATCTTCTCTTGAAAGCTAGCAAAAAAATTGTTGAGAACTTTCTGCGAAATAAATAAGAAAAAGTCATTTAAAAACGAGTTGATACTAAAAATAATTATTAGTACGGCCTACAGGTGAACCATATTTTGAATTAGTTAGATGAATCATTAAAATTAACATTAAACTTCTTACCACAATTCCTCTCGTCACTCCCATCTCCACAATCGTCTCTTCCATCGCAAACGGCGGTGATCGGAAGACATTTTGTTCCGTTTGGACATTTGAATTGTGAATCGTGGCATTCGTAAGTGGCTGAACGGTGAATTTTTCGATAGTACTTGGAGATAACGAATTTTTCTTCCAAGAGAAAGATAGATGGGTTAAATCATTCGGTTAAATGGGATAAACCATTCGATTAAATGGGATAAACCATTCGATTAAATGGGATAAACCATTCGGCTAAATGGGATAAACCATTCGGCTAAATAGAATAAACCATTCGGCTAAATGGGATAAACCATTCGGCTAAATGGGATAAACCATTCGACGCAGAATTTCACGCTGATTCTAAATCTGCTTTCCGTTTTTGCTAAATAGCTTTCTATAAAAAGTTATACGTGTTTTAAGTTTTAGAATAAAAGCCGTATTGGAGCTGAATAGGGATGCTTTTATAAGGGTTTTCTCAAGCATCTCAAGCAGCGTGACTTAGTGTTATAGTGGATAAGACGCTTGCATACAAAACGAGAGCTGTTTTTCTTGCTCGAGTTCGTGGTAAAGCTTTTGATAGAAAGCTATTTAGCAAAAACGGAAAGCAAATTTGAAATCAGCGTGAAATTCTGCATCGAATAGTGTTTGGCTTATCTCATTTGGCTTATCTCATTTGCCTACTGTTGCCTTTCCCTTGCTAGAGATACAAGCCTTTCCTGGTTAGAGATATGTTAGAGCCTTTCCCTTGTTAGAGATAGTAAATTGAAAGTTGTATTCGCAAGTTACACATTCCGATTTGTTATCAAATACCAACCACAAAGCTCTTTCGATTCGTCGTCGCCTAGCGGACAATCACGAACTCCGTCACAAATCTGCGATGAGTAAAGACAGGTGACATTTGATGGAGCTGAAAATGAATTAATTATTAAGATCTAAAAGCTGATGAACTTACCTGGTGTTGTGTAAACTTTCGGATCGGATTGCGAGAAGATGATCCTCGGTTGACTGCATTGCATTTGACCGGGATCACATTTGAATTCGGGACAAGCACCTGGTTTTGATTTAGATTTGAATTCGGGACAAGCGCCTGGTTTTGATTTAGATTTGACTACGGTATGACTCTCGAAGTGTACTCTTGTACGCACACGTGAACACACCTCTTCTAATGCACTGAGTTCTTTCCTCAATATCAACTTGTTATCGCTAGGGAAAAGGAAGAAGTGCTTGCGCTAGAAGGCGTGTGTTTACACGGGAGCTTAGTCTACCGCAACACATGCATTGTATCTCTTTTGTTATATCCTATTTAGAATTGAGTTTTCAACAATTTTCCTTACCATTTATATGATAAAGCTCATCTTCTCCATTCCCACAATCATCTTGTCCATCACATTTCCACCAAAACGGTAAACATTTGTAAGTGTTATGACATACGAAATCGCTTCTAAAAAAAAGTACTTTAGCTTTTTTTTAAATTTATTATTTATTTAAAATTTCAAACTCTATCAAAAATTCTTACCGTTTACAGTTCGATGTACAAGCCGATCCGTCAACTTTAAATCCCTCAGCGCAGAAACACGTGTAATTACCTAAATTGTTTTGGAGTACTATAATTTTCTAATTTTTTTTTCATATTCTTTAATATTTTATATCTTAAATAACGAATAATAAGCTTACGAGCTCCCTTCGGAATACACAAATTGTCGCATCGAAGCGATGATCGACATGGGTGCCTGTCGACTTCGGTATGGCCAATTTGTTGCAGAAGTGGATGGATGATCTGAAACGGGGGAGGGTTTACGATGATAGTGAACTTTTCTAGATTATTCTCTGAGTAACAAAATCATTTCATAGAATTCAGAATTTGAAGCAAAATACAGCCAAATTTGAGGCAAAAATTACTCCCTAAAGATTGGGTATAGTGACGGTCAAAAAGGCAAAAGCTTGGCCCAAAGAAGGCCCAAAAAAGGCCTAAAAAAGGTTCAAAGAAAGTCCCAAGAGGTCTTTGCTCAGTTCGTTCAAATGGTGCAGTCCCAGAGCTTCTGTCTCTTGGGCGGAGGATGCGGGGTTCGATCCCCGCCTGAAGCATTTGACTTTTGGAAATTTTTGACTTCTTTGAAGTAAAACTCTCTGGATGAGATGATGCCGTTTTCCTTTTTTTCCAAAAGAGAACACCCATCTATCGGGTTTGCCAGATGGGGAGCAATTACGCGACCACACAAAGAACACTTCGTCAGTCATTTACACGGATTTTGCTTTGTAGATGGTATAAAAAGAAATTCAGCTGTAAATTTGTACCCTGAGGGTTTTCGGTGTCGGTAAATCTATTGGTGCTATTCACTTTATTGAATCCACCAATCTACCTACTCGGGTTTGTTTAATTGATCTAAACTTCTAACTTCTTGCCAGCTCACCTTGATCCCCATTGGTCGATGCTGTACTTGTAAAAGCACTTTGTAATCGTCACCGGTGATTTTATGTGCCCGATCGACAGTCCGATTGTTCCAATCACTCCAGTAGATGTAATCCTAGAGCACAACTGGTTATTGATCACCAAGAAACTTTACCTCAAATATGGTTAGCCCGAAAATGTGTCGAACGGGCTTTGTGATGACGATTCGACGATTTTTCCCATCATAATCACAGGAACCGATGTAGTCAAGCATTCCGTCGCCCCAGAAAAGACGCTTTGCCGGCGAGTCTAGCGCGAGAGCATTTGGCCATCTGAAATTCGTTGTTTGAATGTTCAAAATGTTCTTCATAGTGCTGCGGTTTCCTAAAACGTGGACAATTTGGAAAAACTACCATACTCTTTCCTTCATTGCCTAATTATGATCTTATACGATGAGGAATCAAACCGTAAATTGTCAAATTTAGAACCTTTTAGAAAACAAAATCTATAGAGACTTTAGCTCTGATGTTCAAAGCTTAAAGATAATCTTGGGATACGTAAAAGTACTGTAAAACCCTGGGTGTACTGTAATACACTGGGTGTACTGTAATAACGTTAAAGATACTGTAAAGAGTACTATCAAGCCCTTGGATTTACTGTAAAACATTTCTTTAATCTTTAACATCAGAGCTAAATTTTCTATATATTTATTTTACTACAGTATTTCGAAAAGGATCATAATAAAAGTATTGAGCTGCTGATGAGTATTTTAAAGATATTTGACTGAATAGTTTTCCATGAGACTTGTCTGAAAAAAAGAAATTACAGTATAACAAAAAGAAAGTATTCAAGAACAGTCAAAATCAAAAAGATCTGAAAGTTCAGGCAAGCTCCACGAAAGCAAAACTACATATTCAATTGATAATCTTTAGCTAAAGAGATCCTACAATTATACTCATTACATTAAAAACTTTAAAACCAATTCTACTCCTATAATGTTTCAGTTACTGTATTTTTTTAGATTTTTTGTGAAATCTTTGCTTTTCTTACCTTAACGACGAGTCGAGAATCACTTTTGGATCACTTCCATCCATTCCCATTCGTCCAATATGCGCTCGATCGCCCCAGTCTGACCAGAAAAGGACTCTAAAAGGCAACTAATTACATATGCAAATTACTTTTCTAAATGATCTTCATTATTCTCTTAGTTTAGCTACTGTTAAAGTAAAATATGGTTCTGAAGACCCTCTCTTTCTTCTTTTCTTTCTCTTCCTTGCCTTTCCTCTTTCTTCTTGGGCAAATAATCGATTAAAGCTTATTTTATTGAATCTAAACAGGTAGATAGATATAAAAACTAATTTTAAAATACAAAGCCAACTGTTACTACCATACCCTTCAATCGGATCAACGGCTAGACCGCGCGGCTCGTGCAGTGGACGGCCTTTCAGAAGGGTTTTTCTGTAAATTGGTAAATTAAGGTAGCTTTTTTAAAGAGTAACCTTACTAAAATGACTCAAACTACTCTGATTTTTGATCTGAACAAACAAACCTGAACTTTCCCTTCATATTAGCAATATTGATACTATCATCATCTTTATCCGCCCAATACAGATTTCTCGCAATCCAATCGATCGCCAAACCGTCCGGACCTCGGCTACTGATACCGGAAAGTAGCTAAAAGAAGATCAGATAGTTTTAGCCAATTTTTCTGGCTTAAAACTGACCTTGTAACTCCCGTGTACTCCATTCAGATTCATGTATCCGAATTTCTTCCCCGCTGCCACATCGCTCCAGTAAACAAGGCTCGTTCTGTAAAAATGAAATACATTTGCAAGCTCAGATATTGAATTTTGAGCTCATGCATTTTCATGACTTTATAGAATTGCCCTTTACCGATAATCATAATCCACAGCCACTCCATTGGTGATATTTGTGAGGAGCACCGATTTCTCATTTCCATTAATGTCCAACACCATTAAACGATGGCTGGTGATCAGCAAGATGTTTGGAGCCACTGAAAGTTGATGTTTTGCCTGAAGAAGCTGCAACTCCAGCTATTATGTTAAACAATCGTATGCCTAACTAGAGAAGGGTACTAGATTCGAAACGAGAAAGCTCATTCGATAGGAAATCGAATGGGGATTCCGAATCTGTAATCAAAACCTGTCGAATAGCTCCCAAACGCGAGATTTCTGGGATCAAAGTTTTTTTCTATACGTTCTTAAGCTGAGTTTACGCTTTTCTTTCAGCAGAAGTTGTGATCTAGTGAATGGTGTGATGGCTGACGGAACTAATCGAGTTCTTGTGGTGGTGGTTCGAATCTCCACTTTCCTATTTCCTATCGAATGAGCTTGGCCTCGTTTCGAAAACCCACGATCGCCTAGTACCCTTCCTGATAAGTATTCAGCCAATAGCAAAACCGATGAAAATTCTTGCATGAATTAAAGCTATTCGGTCTTTTTGACTGATGTAAGCACTTCTTGATTTCCTTTATTACTTTAAATTCTCACCAGAATCCGTGTGTTTGCAACTTTTTTGATCCGGAGCCAGGGTGTAGCCTTTTGCGCATTGACAAAGTGGAATTTGACCCTTCACCATGCACCCTTGAGTACAATTCGCTGTTACACAAGGATCGTTCGCTAAATTACAGAGATAAACAGAGATTTAAGTTCTGCTGGATTCTCACCAACCTATACAAGAGGATCGATCTTCGAGTGACAGCCTCTTCGGCGCAGAACATGAGCATTGATAGCCAATAGGCAAATCCACGCATTTCTCCTCGCATGGTGACGATCTCTCGCACTCGTTGATCCCGCATTTCTTCTCGTCGGACCTAAATTTAAGATTGAAAGTGTCACTCACCAACCATGCCACTCACCAATCGCCACAATCGTTGTTCTTGTTGCAAAGCAACTCAGCGCCAATGCAAACCCCGTTGTCACAGTGGTGTTGCCCAGTTGGACACGGTGTGTACAAAGCGCCAAAGCAGACGTTCGGCAGTTCATCGCTTTTGTCCGCACAATCAGCCACCCCATTGCATGTCCAATTCCGGGGAATGCATTGTCCGCTCTGACATCGGAATTCCCAACTCGAACATTCGCGATCGTCTTAAGATTTGAAAGTTTCAGCTTTAGTTTGAAAGTTATTTGAAAGTTTTAAGACCAGACTAGAGCCAGTCCAGACAGGTCTGGCTTCTGATTGGCCTTTTTGGGCTAGATTTAGTAAGCTAGTGGCTAGCCTGAACCTGGCTTCTGCTTGACACTGGCCCTTGCCTGGCCTAGCCTGCTATAAGACAGCTAGATCCCAGCTGTAAACTAGATAAGGCTGGGTCAAAGCCAGGATTATCAGGAAATTGTTTTAAGCACCGATTTTGAATTAATTCTTGCTCTAAAAACACTATAATCCTAAAGAAGTGTTTTTCAGAAGATTTCAAAAAAGTAAACTTGGCGGCAAGTGGAATTGAACCCGCGAGCAAGAATGGCATAGTTTTCAGAGTCTAGCCCACTATCCCCTCGGGCTACCGCTGCTTCTGTTGCCTTTCGGTGTGTCGCCCTTTTATAGGTGAGGTTTACCAAGAATTGGCGAAACTTTGAACTTTGAACACGTTTTTCTCGAAAACCAGGGCCCAGATATTCAACTGACTCACCGCAATCTTTCTCATCACTCTTATCGTAGCAATCCGGGTATCCGTCACAGTTATAGCTTTTCGGGATGCACAGTGAGGGAAAAATCGCTCCACTCTTGCTTGCATCACTCCCATTCCCACAACGGAACTCCGACGGTTTACACCACGCGAAGAAACTCGGCGACGACGAGCAATCCTTCTCATCACTGCCTGTGCCCGTTCCTCCATCTCTGCAATCATCATGCCCATCACATCTCCAAATCATTGGGATGCAGCGATGATTTGTGCAATTGAAAGTGCCCGCATGACACTCGTCATCACATCCAGCTTCATCTTCTCCATCATCGCAATCCTTTTTCCCGTCACATTTCTGATCAGCTTCTATGCATTTGTTTCCGGTGTTGCACTTGAAACCAAGACATTTCCGAGTGTTGTCTAAATGATAATGGTTTTTAAATGTCTGCATCTGGCATAGTAAAGATGCAAGGTTCTACTAAGCTAAAGTACTCCCAGTGAAAGCTATCTAGCCTACTATGCATTTCGCACTGTCCAGTCTACTATGCAATAGACTGTACTGTACACTACTACACATTACAATAAGCTGTACTCTAGTAAAAAAAACGCTATTCTACAATCTTTGAGCCATAGTTAACAGGCTTGTTAATATTAAATCCTACTAGAGTAGCTAGATGTAAGCTGAATAGCTACTACAGCTTACTGTTGCTGTACAGTAGAGAATACAGTCGAACCTCTCTATAACGAACCTCGATATAACGTAAACCTCTTTATAACGTAAGGCGTGACCGGTCCCGGCCGACGTTAAGCTATATAAAACGGCATCTATATACGTAAACCTCTATATACGTAAGCTATAGCCGTCCCGTGAGTTACGTTATAGAGAGGTTCGACTGTACTTTCTTTTACTAGAGTACAGATTACGGTAATGTACAGTAGCCTATCGTAATGTACAATACCGTCTATTGACACATGTTAGACTGTAGGCTAGATATCTTCTTACTGGAGTACTGTTGCCTACCCTAGTAAGCTAGGATCTTGCCTCTAGGCTGTTTAAAAAGCCCAAATAACCAACCACAATCCGCCTCATCACTTCCATCACCGCAATCCGGTTGCCCGTCGCAGCGCCACGCGTTGTTGATGCACGAACCGGTGAGGACACACTAAAAACAAAGAATCTACATATTGATGAATCTATATTTTATATTTGCAGTATGTTTATCAGTACTGTTTACACCAAGAGTGTGCAGACCGAGATTTTGGACCAAACTGGGCCGGATAGATTTAAAAAGAACCAGAATGAATTGAATAGCTATATGAAATGAATAGCTCCAAACGATTCGCCGACCCCGAAAATTTCAGGTACAAATTTACAGCTGAACATCTTCTTTGGTGACCTCTACAAAGCAAAAGACGAATACGTAAATGATTAGCGAGGTGTTCTTTGTGCGCGCGCACAGTCGCTCTCCATCTGGCACACCCTTCCGATAGATAGGTGTTCCCTTTTGGAATCCGTAATCCACTTTCTGCTTCATTTTCCATCCCACCTTTTGCCCCACTTTCCGCCCTGGGGCACTAGCACTTATGCGCGCGCACAATCGCTCTCAATCTGGCAAACCCCTCCGGTAGATAGGTATTCCCTTTTTCCCTTTTGGAATCCGTAAACTTACTTTGGGACAACTTTTCTGGTAAACCATTGCTTTTTACTTAAACAGCAGCTAAACTGAAAAAATAACATTGGATTGGGGAGAAATGGCGGTGCCTTTGGACGAACTTTTGAAAAAACTAACCCATACTTTTTCTAATAACAATTGAAGCTTTGTTGATTATACGCCAAAATTTCATCCCGATCTGATGCAGTTTTTGAGAAATGGGGATGGATATGCCAAAGGTCGATTTTTGACTACCACTTAACGTATTTGTAATAAAAATACTCGACTAGCATTCATCCATCAACTACCATCAACCCTTATTTAGGTATCATTTGAAAACCCAAAGTCTCCTCTTCAAAACTATAACAAAAGTTAACAATAATATTAGCACTAAACAAAAATTATGAACCCTTAAAGCGTTCAAATTCATTTAGAGTTCCCTTTAACGGACTCAAAGATTCAAACGGATTCAAAAAAAGTTTACCTTGAACTCCGATGAAAGACAATCTTTTCGACCAACCGGTGTCAACTTCTTCTTCGAGAATGGCAACAATTCACCTAAATTTGTACTGTTTTCAGTGAACGAGAAATGGTGTGTTTCCAAGAGCGCAAAGTCTTTCCACCTGAGCACTGTTCTTCGTCCCATCCATCCCAGCAATCATTATCCCCATCACAAAGCCAATCAGCTTGAATGCACTGCGTCGTTCGCTCACAATTGATCAATTTGGTGAGCCCGAATTCGTGGAGAGAACAATTCGAGCGTGGACATTCCTTTTCATCGCTTGCGTCAATGCAATCCTTCTGGAAATTGCAGCGAGCCTCCTTTGGACGGCACTCTCCGGTGTCACATCTGAAAGTCGATACTTGAGTTGAGATTCAGGGTTTTACTATTATAGTCAGGGTTGTTTCAATCATTTTGATGGTCTTAGTGTTGGCTTTACTGCAGGCTGGTCCAGAAAAGGCCTAGAGGTCCTGTCTGGCCTGAGAGTTGTTCCAAACTCAAAATTGACAGACCAGATCTGAGCCAAATTTAACAAATGAGTTTAATAATAAGTCAAATATCTAGAAGAAACCCAATTTATCACCCAATCCAATCCTGTAAAATTTCAAACTCACTTGAACTGCCCAGGTTTACACTCGCAATCCCTTTCATCCATTTGATTTAAACAATCATTTCGACCATTGCATTTATTGGTGACACTTGTGCACAGACCATCGCCGCAAGAGAAATACCCATCTCTACAAGTCCTCGTCGCACAAAAGTCCACTTGCTCATCTTCTCCATCCGGACATTCCCGTACTCCGTCACACGTTTCTTCATACGGAATGCAACGATCGCTTTTCACGCAGAGGAACTCGTTTTGCGCGCATTTCATAGCGGCTGCGTCTAAAGAGAAATCTGGTTACTGTATGTAAGATTATAAGAGTATTCAAATTCATAAAAATCTATTAACTTAAAGTTAAAAGTTATTCTTTTCCTTTTAGGCTTCAACTCTTCAACTATATTGTTCCAAGTTAGAAGAGTTTTATGCTAACAAGAAGAAGGCATGGAGTCGTTATGGGTTTTTTGAGCTTTGACTGCTTCATCATGCCCAATTTGGGCTGCCGGACCTGGATCTGTAATTAGTTTTTGCCCAATCCTTTGCAATCTTAAGGAAAAAGAATGCAATCTCGGACAAAGCGGAAATTTTCGAGGACCTTCATAAAGCGAAGTTAAGCTGCTGCTGCGGGTTGCCCGGTGGCCGACTGGTAATTTGCGACGCTACAAGGCGCACATGCTAGGTTCGATCCCCGGCATTCGATTTTCTTTTGCTTTTTTAATTTATTTTTTCTGTTTAAGTCCAAATTTGAATTTTAGGTATGGGCTAAAAGTAATTGGAGCATTAGTAGACAGATTCGGTGAAAATTAGAATCAAGAAGCGCAAAAACTGATTTGCGAAGCTTGGAGCACCTTGACATCTGTACACGTTTTGCTCTATTTAGAATTCAATTACCAAAAGAGCAAAAGAAAATCGAGTGCCGACGATCAAACCTAGCATGTTCGCCTTGTAGAGCAGCAACTTACCAATCGACCACAAAGCAGCTGCCAGGGGTGGCTTAACTTCGCCTTATGAAGGCCAATTTCCGCTCTATTTTCCTTGCGATTGCAAAAGATTGGGTAAAAACTAATTACAAATTTAGGTCCGGCAGCTCAAAATGGGTATGATGAAGCAGTCAAAGTTCAAAAAAGTAATAATGTCTCCATGCCTTCTCCTTGTCGGATAGCCAAGAGAGTTAGCTAGGTATATCGAGTGTGGGGGTTAGACTGTTTGTACTATCTTATATAAGTTATCTAGTACGTATAATTATCTCAAACAGTATTTTATACCATACCACTACCTTAGTCCTTCCTTAAAGCTTTCACATTCTCACCTAGAGCCTATCGAAAGCCAAAAACCATTTCAAAGTCTCTCACCTCCCAAGCAAGTCCTATTGTCCGCATTCATCGTCCTCTCTCCATTGCAAGCACAATGTGGTTCCCCACTCGCCGACAATCGACAGAAATCACCGCATTTCAGATTCGCTGTCAAACATGGATCACTGCTGCACAGTGGTTCTTTGTTCGTGTTCCAAACATCGATTCCCATCGGTTGATCGGACATATTCTGATAGATGATTCGACGATTTTCACCGCTCAACTTGTTGACAGCGACCACCGCTCTAAAATGTACAAAATTTGTATTTCTTTACAAACGAACTTTTGTTTAACCTAAGATTCTTTTGGACATACTTTGGACTCAAAAACTCAAAACAAAAACTTTCTGGCAAATCCAGTTATAATATTCTGAGAGAGAATGAAAATTTGAATACACTAGAAAGGTGTTTACGTTTCCGAGAGCAAAGTATATCTAGACAGAGTTGTTCCGAACCAGCTAAAGCCAGGTAAGGCTAAGATCAAGTCAAAATTCTGATCAACAAACCTCTGAACCCAATCCGAATAGTAAATCGTGTTCTCGAAAATCGCCAACGCAAATGGATGAGATGTTTTGTGATTTGTTTTTGTACCAGTAGCGTTTTTCGGTGTTGTCGCATTAATCGTTGAAACAATTGTCTAAAATATTTGAGCTTCGGCTAATTATCTTCTTTTTACTTCTCTAAACGATCCATCCAAATCGGATCGCTGAATCGATCCCGTCTCCGCTTCGGTGAAGTACAACTTCTCAGCGGAAAAGTCGATGGTGATCCCATTCGGGGTGACGAGATCGGTCTCGATGATTCGTTTCTGAAATTTTCTGACCTCAATTCTTAACTATAATTTAATTCTTGATGCTATCCAGTTCTATTCTTAAGCTTAAATACCTTAGCTAGCTTAAATAGCTTAAATACCATTTTTTAGTTAATTTTAGCTTGAAGATAACTTTCTGCAGACAATAAGTTTGAATCTGACGAAAAAGCTCTAACTACTCACCATCTCAGATCGACTTTAAAATCACAAGAGGTAAAAAAGCATAATAAAATAAGAATTTTCCAAAGTTTTTTAGCTGCTAAATGATAGAAATAACTAAAATATAAGGTTTCAAACTTTTTAGCTTGATACATAGCTTAATATATAGCTTAATATAAAGTTTAATATATTCTGCTTTCTTCATTTCGTTGAGTCTTTCTATCTTTCCATCAATGTTGAATTGTTTGTTTTTTATTAGTTTTAAATACAGTTTTGTTAGCTTTACCATATCAGAAAAGTATTGTTATCATAAAAGTATGGCAAAAAAGGCAAGCTAAAAAGTTGGAAACCTTATATTTCAGTTATTTCTAGCATTCAACAGCTAAAAACTTCAGAAAATTGAATATAACCGAATAGCCGTAAAGTCAAATTTTTACCCGATCATATCCACTGTAGTAGACTCGTTCAATGGCCGGTCGTTGGAGTTGCCAATTCGTGAAAAAGATCAACATTCGGCAGGGATGAACAGCGATTCCACGCGGTTTATCCTCGATCGAGAGCATGACGAGAAGCTGAAAGCTGAATGAATCAAAAGATCTGCAGAATAATAGGAAATCTATCAATAAAAAGATCTGTAAAATAATATGAAATCTATTAAATCAATCAATTATTAGCTAGATAAATCAATAAAAAGAATAACACTGCATAAAACAGGGTGTTCAATATCTATGAGGACCAGTCGACTAGGTTTAAAGCTCTATTAAAGATAACTGTCAACAATTTTTTTAATGTAGAAAATCGTCAAAAATGGCAGCGCGCCGGATGGGGATCGACAAGTGCTCATTCAAGGACTTGTAAAATAAGCTGCATAACTCCGATTGTGGAGTTTTTAGTAGATAAACGTAGCCAAGATTAAGGCCTCCAATTCTCTACATAACACTTGACATTTTAAAACAAATTAAGCGTGCAACACGTACTTTTTCAAAAAGTTGTCCGGATAATTTTGCTCAATCCTGTATTTGGCTATCTAATTTCTATCAAATTTGCTACTCTTACACATAAGGAACTTTCTGCTATTCTATAGCAAAAACTGCATGCTATCATTTACTTTTTTACTCAAATTTAGTAAAATGTACCTCTGGTCGCTTTGGATAGGTGGCCGGATCGGCTTCAACGACGGAAACTCGCCAAATCGCGGGCGGGACACCGGTGGTGAAATAAAGATATCGATTGACTGAGTCAAGAGAAACGCCCTCCACACTTCCGATATCTAAAAGTTTTCTATAAAATGCGCTCAAAAAGCTACCATAGTACCAAAAAGCTACCTCTTTAGGGTTCTTATTTGAAATTAACAAAATGTTTGCTTACCTTCAACAATTGGATACGCATTTGAGCCGTCCAATGCACTGGTGAGCACTTTTCGAGTTTGCGCATCGGAGTAGAAGATTTGAGATCTAAAGGATTTTTTAAAGGTCAAGAAAAAGAGTGCTAACCTGTCCTGATCGACGACAACAGCAATAGCGTTTCGAACCAAAGATGGATCAGAGATTGGATCATGAGCCATCTTCGGATATCCACTGTCGACTAAGGAATTCTCGATTTGCAGGAAAAGAATCGATCGAGATCGGGAAAAGACCAAGAAGGCATTTGGGTCTAAAATGGATAGTGTAAAATTGGAAAAACCATTTTTACCTTGACACAGCCCATCTTTTACATTCACCACTCCTTTCCAGCATTGACAAGTGGGCGTCTGTGTGTAGAGGCATAGCTGGGCACAGTTCGATTTGGAGCAGTCGTTAGTTGGCACTAAAAAACTCAGATTTGAAAATAAAAAATCCAACTTACCTGGCACTGTCTTGTCGTAAAGATTCACGTCAATCAGCCGCATTTTCCCCATTGGAATCACTCTTTTCAGTACAAAATTGCCGGCACCACTCCTCTCGTGAACAATCACAGTTCCATTCGCTTTTCCCTTATCGAAAATGACGAACTGATCTCCAGAAATGTCGACAGCGATCCGTGCATTTATGCCTTGTGGTGCAAAGGTGGCAAGGTTTTTCTGGAAATTTCAATAAAGGATTAGAATAAAGGATTTACGGTTCAATCTTCAACAAATACACTGTGGTGCAAAAGTCTTGTCCCACTTAATTTTCTAAAAAGTTTCATCAATTTTCTTTGATAAAGTTCATGACGCTCTTTAAGCCATTAATAGTTTACATCAGAAAAATTTGGAGGACGATTGGACCTGGAATTCTTGATGAATTAATTGCATCGATGCCTACTCGTATTAAAGAAGTACTTTTGGCAAAAGGAGGAGCGACTAAATGTTGATTAAAGCTTAATTTCATTTTGTGTGAAAAGATTTTTGCACCACGATTTTCAGGGGTGTTTTGACAATTATATTTTTTTTCTCAATGAATAAGTGTTGTATAGCGATAACGTTTGTGTAAATAAATTGTACATATATTTGTGTAACTAAAACTATTAATGGCTTAAAGAGCGCCATGAACTTTATCAAAGAAAATTGATGAAACTTTTTAGAAAAGTAAGTGGGACAAGACTTTTGCACCACAGTGTATTTCAACAAAAACAAAACAAACAAACAAACAAATTTCAAATCTAATCAAATCAAACCTCCTCTTTCCGTCCATCATAATCACAGCAATCAAGCGAGCTCTTCTCGGCATCCACATAGCATAAACGTTGTCCTTTCACGTCCAACACAATTCGTACAACAACTTTTCGGACAACCGTCGCCACCTCGGTTCCATCGAGCTTTGACCGTTTCACAGAATCTTTCGAGATCCAGAAAATGTATCTAAAATGTAGATTTTAAACAAATTAAACATTTTCCCTCACCCAGCTCCCTGCGATGCATCAACGTGGACATTCGTTGGCGCTCTTTCCTCGTCTCTCACTAGTACCAATGAGGTGCCGTTCTCGGGATGGATCACTTGAATCAATCCGGTGTTTGAGGAGAGTCTCATGCTTGCGAAAATCAATCCAGAGATTGGCTCAACGGCAATCGCGGTGAAACGAGCCACACCCGCACTGAGAATCATTCGAGCTGACGAGGAGCCGCGCTCAATTCTCCACAGCTCATTGCGCTCACCGGCAAACACGTAGATCTGAAAGTTTACTGTTGATTTGGACATTGTAAAGTTTAGTGCAGTATTCCGATACAAATATTCAGACAAGAGATTGAACAGATTCTAGAACTTATGATAAAAGATATGCAACCTTGTCTGGATACTTTACAGGGTGCCTGAAAATTACGTGCGCGCAGCATTTGACATAGTTTTAAACAATGTATAAGGGGTAGGCTAATTTCCGCCATTTTATTTGCGCAACTGAGTCGTTTGCGCAGCTCGCCATAACTTTCTTCTAAGTGGACCAATCTTTATGATGTTGGTTTCATTTTGTTGCACTTATTGAGATCTACAAAATGAAACCAACATCATAAAGATTGGTCCACTTAGAAGAAAGTTATGGCGAGTTGCGCAAAAGACCTAGTTGCGCAAATGATCCAGTTGCGCAAAAAAGCCTATCCATGTATAAAGCATTACTACTCATTTTTTTGTGTTTTAATATTCTTTTTATCGTTGTCTATTATATTTTAGTGACTTGCTATAAGATGAAAATATAAAGGAAAGTTTCGAAACGATACTTTATGAGTACAGGTGTGCTTTGTGCTTAAATTTTGTAAACACACTCTTTCTGATGCACTGAGTTTTTCATCTTTTCAAGACTGTTGTTGCGAGAAAAATGGGAATTCAATGCACTAGAAAGGGCGCGTTTATGAACACAAAGTACACAAATTCCTTTACTCAAAGATCATTCTCTAAGGTTTGCTGACTAAAGGTACCGTATTTGTTCAAATAGAAGACCGGGTAAAGAGTATCATCGCGTACTCCTGCGTAGCAGCCGTTTTTAAAATTTCTTTTCTGCATAAAAGCTTTCAATGAAGTGCTATAGAGCTGGAAAATGGCTCAAAAATCTGTTAGCTCATGTGGTATTTTTGAGTCATTTTCCAGCCCTATAGCACTTGATTGAAAGCTGCAGAAAAGAAATTTTAAAAAGGGCTGCTACGCAAGAGTACGCGATGATACTCTTTACCCGGTCTCCTATTCGAAGAAATACGGTATTCAGTTAAAAATCGCAAAAATTCACCCGGAATAAAAGTATTCAGTCAAAAAAAAATGCTATCTACTTTGCATATTAGAATGTGTATCAAAATCAAAGTGTCTTCCTCTTGGCACCTAATTTAGAAAACGAATTAGCAAAGGAAAATCACCCACCAAATCCCTCTTCCCGTCAGCCACCACTTGATTGATTTTCCTAGCGATGATCGGCGCCGGCACAGCAATCACTTCCACTTGATCTTCAAGATTTAACGATCTCATTTGATAATTATCTGTCACGAATAGGAGATTTCTCATCGATGGCTCGCATTTGTTTCCCTTTTCTGTGAATCCCTGCGCACAAAGGCATTCAGCTTTCTCGTTTATTTTAACACAAAGATGTTCACATTTCATCGAATCACATAGGTTTCCAATATCCAAATTTTCATGAATCAACAACATCTCAATCCCGATTTTGCTTGCATTGTTGATTGGTGCCAAAATCGTTTCGAAATTCCGATCTTTGGTCAATTTTTGGCTTCCCAACCCTGTGAAAGCTAGTATTGATCGTCCAAAAGCCACCAGTAAACGTGAATTGGATAAATCGTAGGCTAAAGCTGTCGCATTTTGAGTACTATAACTCGTCAACTCGTAAGAGCTTAGCTTTTGCGAATTCACATTAAAACATTGAATCTTCTGAACAGCAATCCAGCAAATGACCGATTTTGCGAAAATTAACGAGCTAGTGATCGGATTTTGGCCAATTTCGTTTCTTTTTAAGTTCTCTCCTTTTAGATTTGAACTGCAGATGGATAGAATAGAATTTGTGGATGTTGACCAATAGAGTAAACTTTTCTCTGAATCGAATAACAAATTCGATGCATTAGATAAGCAGGGCTCTGAAACGAGCAATGTTCTTCGGAAATGACCAGTGGAATTGCTGACGGAGAGTTGATAATTGTTATCTTTCTTTGTGATGAAATAGATTAGCTTCAGAGATTGAATGGATATTAGTGAAGTCGGTTGCTCGATTTCTCCGCCATTCCAAATCGTTCTTTCGCTCTCGTTTGCACGCAGTGGCACACGGAAGATCGCTTTGCGTCGTGTGTCCGCGTAATAAACCGCTTCTTGACCAGAGCTCATCGATTTTATCGCTAAATTAATGTTATAGACTTGGCAAAAAAGCTAAAAGGCAAATCCAAGCAAGTCATTGATTCAAAGTTCTGCTTCTGCTGGATTTAGCTTTGCTTAATGCTTTGATTTTGCTTTGCTCTTGCTTTGACTTTGCTTTTACTGAATAGCTTTGACTTTTCATAAAGATATTGTAACTAGAGAGTGTTTTTCGAGCTTTGCTAAAGCCTTTGCTAAAATGTGGATCACTGGAAGCACTAAAGTAATCAATCTTTCCTTTAATTTTTGTCCATTCTAACTCTGATCGAATTCTATTCACAGTTTGATTTATCGTTGAATGAGATCAGAAAGTAAAACGGATTTGAATAGAGTTGGATCAGCAATTAATTTGGAATTAAAGTAGAATGGAAAAATCTGAAAGAAAGATTACGGTAGCTTTGCCAAATTAGCCACCTTTTAGAAAACGAAAAATGATCGTGAATCTGCAGGGTTTTCAAGAATTACAGGCAGTAATTCTAATGGTTCTCTAGAATTACTTTAATAACTATGGATGGATGAAACATTTGTAAATAAGTAAATTATTTTAGAAAACCTACTTTTTTGAATAATAATTACTGTAAATACTGTAATAGTACCCCAGCCCCATAATGACGACCGGAGCATCGCGTAGTCTAACTTTGAACGAGTTTTTCTCGACACTGGTTTATGCTACAAAGCTCGTATAGGTATCAAAAAATAGCTGAAATTCAGGGCTATTTTTTGATATTAAAAGACGGAGCATCACGTAGCCTAACTTTAAACGCATTTTTCTCGTCATCAGTTTATAATGACGGCCGGAGCATCGCGTAGTCTAACTTTGAACGAGTTTTTCTCGACACTGGTTTATGCTACAATGCTCGCTGAGGTATCAAAAAAATAGCTGAAATCCAGGGCTATTTTTTGATACCAAAGATGCATTTTTTGAAAGTACGGACGCTTTGAAAAACAATGAAATACTAAAAAACTTTTGCGACTACGCGACTGTACGATGGGGGTGGGGTACTATTACAGTATTTACGGTATTTATATTCAAAATTTGGTCACAAGGAGCCGCATCCCAGAGGTTCTCGAGTTTTGAAGATTTAAAGCTTTATAGAATTGCTAATTTTGACTTTCTGAGTAAAGTATTGAAGTAAAATGTTGAAAATAAACAGTAAATTCTACCAAAAAAAGGATGTGGAACGATTAAGCTACGAACTAGAGAAAAAGTGCCCGTAATTCTTGAACATTCTCTATTTTTAGCACACTAAAATAATATGAGATTTTATTTACACATACCATCGTGTCCCCTCATTCCGATTATTGGAAATACTGGGTCGTTCGGTGGATCGAGATCAATCGCCCAAACAGATCCGTTTGATGAAATGAAAAGCGTTTGTTCAATGCCTAAAATTGATTGGTAAACTTATTTTATTTTATCTTCAGTTGCTGACTAACAAGGGAATTTGGGCCGGCTCAGCCAATTGACCAATTGACCAATTGACCAATTGGCTGAGCCGGCTCAAATTCTATACTATTCGACGCAGAATTTTATGCTGATTCCGAATATCTATTCCGTTTTTGCTAAATGACAATCTTCCAAGAGCTAAAGTTTTGTTAGGACTCTGAAAATGTAGTCATTTGCGTCATAGCGGCCTCCTCGTGGATCTAATTTAGTGCTCTCCTTTTTTGCTAAATGACAATCTTTCAGGAGTTGCGTCTAAAATTTTGTTAGGGCTTTGAATTTGAATCTTCATTAAATGTGGTCGTTTGGGTCTTAGCGGTCTCTTTGAGGACCTGTTTTGCTGCAGCCGTGGCCGAGTGGTAGAGCTTTCGTTTTCAGAGCGATACCACACAGGTTCGATCCCCACTTTGGTTTTGTCTTTTGCTTTTTCTCAAGAATTGCTAACTAGCGCATATTATAGCAGCAAAAGATGCCTTGAAAGAGAACGCTAAGACCCAAACGACCACATTTAATAAAGATTCAAAGTCCTAACAAAACTTTAGACACTTATAACTCCTGACAGATTGTCATTTAGCAAAAACGGAATAGATATTCGGAATCAGCATAAAATTCTGCGTCGAATGGTATAGGTCACATAGCATTTGACAGTTTTAACAACCAGTTGACCTTCGCTTTTCAGCCAGATTGTACTCTGTGCTCAAAATTACTAAACGCATCCCTTCTAGTGCACTGGATTCGTTAATTTCTCGTGATGCTGTAGCGCTTTTCTAGAAAATGAATGAATCCAGTGCGCCAGGCAAAGGCATCTTGGAATTTAGCACAAAGTACGCATCAAATTTATGCTCGAACTCACCTTCACACGTCTTATTATCGGCTTTGAGGCGCATCATTTGCGGACAAGCACACCTGTAAATATTTCCACATTTTTGAATATTCACTTATTAGGCTTGAAATCCTATTTGTATTTCTTTATAAACTTATCCCACTTGCTTCCAATTTTCCCATTAATAAGGCAAATGTGTGAACAGTCGCTTTTCGGCCAACAAGGTCCCGTTTTTATGCTTCTGAAAGCAATAACAGATTGACAGCAATAATAGATTGACAAAGAAGGAAATGCTAAAGAAAGAAAAAGGCAACGAAAGGAACCAAACCTTTTGTTTTACAGATAGAAACTCTACCAATGAACTATCGGGAAAAAAATCGAATACCTGGGTTGTTTCAGTCGATGAACGATCTTCAGATCAAATGGTTGCGTGAAAGTCGACTCGACGATTTGCACTTTGGTTCCATTCCATTTGTTGGCCTAAATTTTGAAAGACATTTAAAATCAAAAAGACATAATAAACGGCACACGAGAATTACAAACGTTGTTGATTTAGTTAACAAATCTTTTAGATCGGGTAGATCGTTTTAGATCCGTTTTAGATCATTCTAGATCCGTTCTAGATCATTTTAGATCATTTTAGATCCGTTCTAGATCATTTTAGATCATTTTAGATCATTTTAGATCGTTTTAGATCATTCTAGATCCGTTCTAGATCATTTTAGATCATTTTAGATCCATTTTAGATCGTTTTAGATCATTTTAGATCCGTTCTAGATCATTTTAGATCATTTTAGATCCATTCTAGATCATTTTAGATCATTTTAGATCCGTTCTAGATCATTTTAGATCATTTTAGATCATTTTAGATCGTTTTAGATCATTCTAGATCCGTTCTAGATCATTTTAGATCATTTTAGATCCATTTTAGATCGTTTTAGATCATTTTAGATCCGTTCTAGATCATTTTAGATCATTTTAGATCCATTCTAGATCATTTTAGATCATTTTAGATCCGTTCTAGATCATTTTAGATCATTTTAGATCCGTTCTAGATCATTTTAGATCATTTTAGATCCGTTCTAGATCATTTTAGATCATTTTAGATCCATTCTAGATCATTTTAGATCATTTTAGATCCGTTCTAGATCATTTTAGATCATTTTAGATCCATTCTAGATCATTTTAGATCATTTTAGATCCGTTCTAGATCATTTTAGATCATTTTAGATCCGTTCTAGATCATTTTAGATCATTTTAGATCCGTTCTAGATCATTTTAGATCATTTTAGATCCGTTCTAGATCATTTTATCCATTTTAGATCGTTTTAGATCATTTTAGATCCGTTCTAGATCATTTTAGATCCATTTTAGATCGTTTTAGATCATTTTAGATCCGTTCTAGATCATTTTAGATCATTTTAGATCCGTTCTAGATCATTTTAGATCATTTTAGATCCATTCTAGATCATTTTAGATCATTTTAGATCCGTTCTAGATCATTTTAGATCATTTTAGATCCGTTCTAGATCATTTTAGATCATTTTAGATCATTTTAGATCATGTTAGATCCATTTTAGATCCGTCTTAGATCATTTTAGACAATTTTAGATCGGTTTTCGATCATTTTAGATCCTTTTTAGATAATTTTAGATCCGTTTTAGATCGTTTTAGACATTTTAGATCATTTTAGATCATTTTAAATCCGTTTTAGATCCACCGAGTGAGTCTAGTCGTGCATTTCTCTCCAGTGACCTTTAGAATGCCCATGAACCATGGATTAAGTGTGCTAGAAAGGGTGTGTTTACCCGTAAAGTGCAACAAAGTCCAACAGATCATTTTAAATCGGTTTTAGATCCACCGAGTGAGTCTAGTCGTAAAATGTGATCCAGAATTCTTGTACTGGTTTAGTTATCCAATCGTTTCACTCAAATGTACTTTGTGCGTAAAAAGAACACGCTTTCTGCCCCATTTCAATGCATTTTTCTCCAGTGACCTTTAGAATGCCCATGAACCATGGATTAAGTGTGCCAGAAAGGGTGTGTTTACCCGGAAAGTGCAACAAAGTCCAACAGTAACAGTGATCACGAAATTATGGCGATCACCTTTTTTGGAAAAGTTGCTTGCAAACGCCTAACCGATCACCAAAGTGCCAAGTGTTATATAGAAAAATAAAGCCCTGAATCTTGGCATCATTTCTCCATAAAGAAATTCTCGATTGGAATTGTATAAATGATTTTACAAGCTCTTGAATGAGCTCAAGTTGGCCTCTCTCCGCTATTTTTGACAATTTGTCAGCAACTTTTTCAAAAAAAGTGGCACCGCAGTTAACCAGTTTCGCAGTCAACCTGTAAAATTCTTTTGCATAAAACCTTACCCTGACAATAGCCATAATCCTCCAATCAGTCCAATAGACATGCGATTCGAAAAGAGCCACCGAGAACGGATGAGCTAAATGACTGCTATCTCGCAACACCTCGATGTGATCAGTTCCGTCATAGGTGATCGTGTGAATGCTGTCCGATCTAAAATTGATTACTTCTCGATTCAAAACTCTCTTATTTATTCAAAACTCACTTTGCGTCAAGCCAGTAAACCCTTTGCGCAGTCAAATCGCACGTGATCCCGTTCGGCCATCCTCCAGTCACCACGCCTTTCACCTAAATTTGCCTTTCATGCTCTGCCTTTCACGATATTCTTCATTTTGCTTTCTCTTAAGCAAAGAATTTCTTATTTTATTGATTATTTTAGAACATTAGACCATTATTTTAGATTTTCAAACCTCAAAAATGACTTTTCGATCCTCGCCGGCCATTGTCGCTCTTTCGATTCTCGGTCTTGTTTCTTCCCAATCTGTCCAGAACATTAAACCACTTCTAAAAGAAAAATCTACAGATTAACAGGAACTATTTAAAGCTAGGGAAAGAATATAAAAAACAATCTTATTAAAGATCTAATGTGTCTGATCTCACTTTGGATCCAATGACAGCGATCGGAGATTGGACATGTTTCCGCGGAGCACCGTCGCTCGCATTGAGCCATCGAATTTGGCTACCTAAAAGGGCTTTTTTGATAACAGGTTCTTCTAGCCTGAAGAATTAGTGCTGTGAGAATAATACTAGATAAAATTAGCATTAAATGTTTACTGATCTGACCTCGATCTGATCGAGAAAACTGTCGACCCAGTAAATATTCTTCCCTAACCAATCCACAGCCAGACCCTCAGCCGTCCATAAACCGTGTCGAATCACAGGATGAATGTTGACAAGTACTAAATGTGTTAGTGTTTATGGTTAAAGCTAGATAGTTAATGAGAGAAATTTCACAATCACGCACAATTCAACAAATCGTAGTCAGTTCTGTTCTTGAAAAGATAAAGACAAGCTAATCGATTCCCAGACAATAGACTGTTCTTCCCTTTTTACTATTATCAATCTAACTACCGTACTGTAATAGTACCCCACCGCCCTCGTACAGTTGCGTAGTCGCAAATGTTTTTTAGTATTTCATTGTTTTTCAAAGCGCCCGTACTTTCAAAAAGTGCGTCTTTGGTATCAAAAAATAGCCCTGAATTTCAGCTATTTTTTGATACCTATACGAGCTTTGTAGCATAAACCAGTGTCGAGAAAAACTCGTTCAAAGTTAGACTACGCGATGCTCCGGCCGTCATTATGGGGCTGGGGTACTATTACAGTATTTACGGTAGTTTGTATAAAACCTAGATTTGACTCTTGTAGTTATTACTTTTGTTTCAGTTTCCTCAAAGATTTTGTGTTTCTAAATAGTCTAATAGTAGCGCCCCCCCCACCCCGTCGCGTCGCGTAGTCGCAAATGTTTTTTATTATTTCATTGTTTTTCAAAGCGCCCGTACTTTCAAAGAATGCGTTTTTGGTATCAAAAAATAGCCCTGAATTTCAGCTATTTTTTGATATCTAAGCGAGCATTGTAGCATAAACCAGTGTCGAGAAAAACTCGTTCAAAGCTAGACTACGCGATGCTCCGGTCGTCATTATGAGGCTGGGGTACTATTACAGTATTTACGGTAATATCTTGGCATACAATTGTCGAAATAATCAATCGACAAAAGACAACTAATTTAATACCAAAATTGTGAAGAAATTCAAGATAAAAGTTAGATTTGTAATGGGAAAAAGAAAAGGATAATGGAAAAAAAGAAAGGACGGACCTGGGAATTGATTTATTGTCTGGGAATTGATTGGATTGGCCTGATTGGATTGATTTGGCTTATCTTTTGAAAGAGTAGGTCTGACTAGATGTGGTCTAGATTATGTTTGATTGACGTGAGAGTCCCAGAATCAATCCAATCCCTTAATGTTGCCTTGAAAAAGGTTCAAGAGCAGAATGTCATGGCTAGTAAAGGAAGGAAAGAAAGATTTCTGGAGAGAGGATTGAACCCTCCACTTCCTCTCGATCTTCCTCTTGATCTTCCTCTCGATCTTCCTCTCGATTTTTTCGCTTTCCAAGCAACTCCTCCAACCACTGAGCTATCCGATATCTTCTTACCACAGGAAAAAGAGGAAATACAAGGAGGAAGAGAAAGGAAGAAAGAGAAAGGAAGAAAGAGAAAGGAAGAAAGAGAAAGAATTCCTGGAGCCATCTTCAAACCAAAGCCTGGCCTCTGATTCCTTTGATTCCTGGCCTTGCTAACCTTTTTTGATTAATTCTCCTCGATAGATCATGTCATTAGCGATATCAGTCCAAAAAATTGTGATGTTGTCGTCATCCTAAAATCAAAACGATCATTGTCATTGTTGTCATTGTTGTCATTGTCATTGTTGTCATTGTTGTCATTGTCATTGTTGTCATTGTCATTGTTGTCATTGTCATTGTTGTCATTGTCATTGTTGTCATTGTCATTGTGTCAGTCATTGTTGTCATTGCATTGTGATGTCAGTTCAGCATGTTGTCAGTCATGGTCATGTCATGTTGTCATTGCAGGCATTGTCATTGTTGTCATTGTCATTGTTGTCATTGTCATTGTGTCAGTCATTGTTGCATTGTGTCATTGTCAGTGTCATTGCATTGTTGTCATTGTCATTGTTGTCATTGTCATTGTTGTCATTGTCATTGTTGTCATTGTCATTGTTGTCATTGTCATTGTTGTCATTGTCATTGTTGTCATTGTCATTGTTGTCATTGTCATTGTTGTCATTGTCATTGTTGTCATTGTCATTGTTGTCATTGTCATTGTTGTCATTGTCATTGTTGTCATTGTTGTCATTGTCATTGTTGTCATTGTCATTGTTGTCATTGTCATTGTTGTCATTGTCATTGTTGTCATTGTCATTGTTGTCATTGTCATTGTTGTCATTGTCATTGTTGTCATTGTCATTGTTGTCATTGTCATTGTTGTCATTGTCATTGTTGTCATTGTTGTCATTGTCATTGTTGTCATTGTCATTGTTGTCATTGTCATTGTTGTCATTGTCATTGTTGTCATTGTCATTGTTGTCATTGTCATTGTTGTCATTGTCATTGTTGTCATTGTCATTGTTGTCATTGTCATTGTTGTCATTGTTGTCATTGTCATTGTTGTCATTGTCATTGTTGTCATTGTCATTGTTGTCATTGTCATTGTTGTCATTGTTGTCATTGTTGTCATTGTCATTGTTGTCATTGTCATTGTTGTCATTGTCATTGTTGTCATTGTCATTGTTGTCATTGTCATTATCTATTAGGTTGATGCAAAAGTCTTTTTCATTTTTTTCGTACTTCGTTTGAAAAATAACAAAGTCATCAATTAATCTATGGTTTGCTCTAAATGAAAAGTGTTTATTGTTGAATTTCCCATCTTTTTAAGTCAATTTGGGTTCACTTTCAAGCAAATTCGAGAGTGAAAACGGGTTTTTCATAACAAATCTATAAAAACCTCTATAAAGAAATTGGCTGAATCAATTTCTCTGAAAATCTGAAAAAATATTTAACTTTTTGTGCTCTATCTTTTATTTAGTAACATTAAGATTGGTTTCCTTAGCTAAAGCGTCTAAAATGCATCATCGAGCCGTCGCCTTTTTTGACTACCCGACTTCAGGCTCTCAAAAAAATCTAGACATAAGACATTTTAAACTCGTTTTAATGTTATTTTGCAGAAAAATAATTGGCCTTTCGAATGCAATAAACCGTTGTTCAATTGGTGTATTTGTTACTTTTTAACGGAAGTACGAAAAAAATGAAAAAGACTTTTGCATCAACCTAATATTAGGTACCAACTTCATAATAATAATCTAACGCAATCGCATTTCGCATCGTTGATGTGAGTGGAATCGATTGCGAACTCCCAAACGACAGCATTCGAATCTCGTGCCGATTCGTGTAAATAAAAGAGGGACGGGCTGAGGTTTCGCTGATTTTGCATGAGAAACTAAAAGCAAATTCTTAAGAAAGAATCCATTTTCTTAAGAGATTTGTATTTTTCAAATTTTCTGGGTTTTCGAGAGCAAATTGTTGGATTTCAAGCTTTACAAATGAGTAATTTCTAATTGAAATTTAACCATTTGCCCAAGAAAAGTCTAATCAAATTTCCCAATCCAATCAAATCAAATCAAGAGAATCCAATTGGCCTGGGTTTTGCATATGATAGCTTGAAAAGACCCCGATTTCTTTCAAAAGACCCCGATTTCTTTCAAAAGACCCCGATTTCTTTCAAAAGACCCCGATTTCTTTCAAAAGACCCCGATTTCTTTCAAAAGACCCCGATTTTTTACAAAAGACCCCGATTTTTTACAAAAGACCCCGATTTCTTTCAAAAGACCCCGATTTTTTACAAAAGACCCCGATTTTCTCAAAAGACCCCGATTTTTACAAAAGACCCCGATTTTTTCAAAAGACCCCGATTTCTTTCAAAAGACCCCGATTTCTTTCAAAAGACCCTTTTCTCAAAAGTCTGGATTTTTGGGAAGACCCAGAATTCTATTAAGACATATTATTGAAGCCAATTAAGAAAAAATTACAACAAATACCATAGCTTTGAAGTTATTTACTATAGCTTTTAGCCTAGTTCGTTGTTCATTATTTACGGGTTCATTGTTTAAAAACCCACAGATCACTTTTGATCTCGTATCCAGCCTCGCAATAGCAATACGGTAAAGCTCCATGTGGCTCACAGAGCTGGGAACAGGCGCCGAAAGAACAGGGATCTTTTTCTAAATGTTTCTAAATAATCGAAAGAATTCAATATTAATTTTTAACTGAAATTTCTATTTTCTGTGAGATTCGTTTTTCAGTTTAGGAAATTTAGGAAAAATCCGGGATCTTGAATGAATTGTTATGCTTTAAAGCTTCATAACTTTGTTGAGAGTTTATGTTTTTTAAATTTGTTGTGGGTTAATCACTTTTAAATGTTTAATAAATGTTTAAATCTTTAAATCTTTAATAACTTTTACATTTTTTAATTGTTTTATTGAAGAAAGGTGCCGGTTTTCTTCAAAAAAAGCTTCAGATTTTAGCCAAGAGCGTTTTTCCAAGAGCGCCAAGAGCGTTTTTCCTCACTTTTATCCATCTTCCCATCCCTTTTTTTCTACCTGGCTCTACCTGTCACAAAATCAAAGCCAATTCCAAGTGGCCAAGTAGCCGAATCGACTCACGGTTGCTTTCATTAGAATCCTTATCAAATTTGGAAAAAGTAAAAAAGTAAAATTTGTTTCAGGTTAGAGATTGCCAAATTAAGCTAGAATATTCAGAAATTCGAGAAAATCAAGAGACTCATGAGTTGAATTTGGTCAGTGATTGCCTTTACTCTATAACTGAGTTTTCTTCTTACAAGGGAACCTTTCCAAGTTACCCGCGAGTTACAATATGATGTAGGTGCCAAAAGAAAGGCCAGAAAATGTACGTTCAGAAACTGTTTTCAAAAACCGTTAACCGGCAAAACGCACAAAGTTATAGCCATTTGAATTTCGCAAAAAATGAAGGCTTTTCTCGAATTTCTGGCACACTGTTTTTGCTGACGGAAAGGCTTTCCTTTCGCGAAAAGCCTCGATTCCCTTGTTTTCCCTTGTTTTCACACATTACTATGTTTTCGTGAGCAACTAGCCTCTTCAATGCTTTTTAAATGCTTTTTAAATGCTTTTTATATTAATGGCAAGAGATTTCTATTGCATTTTTGATTCTCCCTTTGAATTTGAAGAGAATATTTTTTTTCCGTTTGTTCATTAAATCACTTGTTGATAAACGCATTGAAACAAATGATAATTAGGCGAATTCGAGGCTGTCTTTGGATCCCATTCATTCTAACGTAAACACAAGTTCCCTAATCTTGTATATCATATTTTTGAACTCAGAAAAAGACTGAGGAATTTGTTAATAAGGATTTTTATGTTAATAAAGATTATATGAAAATTTTTCTCGAAAACTAAAGTGAAAACCAAAGTTTTTCTCGCAAAACAGCTCGAAAACGATAACGCACATTTCGCCGTTTCACTCTAATTCTCCTTAAAGTTTGCAGCAGGTCCAGACAAGCAGCAAGTTCAGACAAGCAGCAAGTCCAAACAAAGCAGGTCCAGACAAGCAGAAAGTTCAGACAAGCAGCAAGTTCAGACAAGCAGCAAGTCCAAACAAAGCAGGTCCAGACAAGAGCAAGTTCAGCAAGACAGCCAAACAAGCGCCAGACAATGAGTTCGATAAAGGCTCATCTTCAAGCTTACCAGGGAACCTTCCCAAGTTACCCGCGAGTTAAAAGGTAGGTGCAAAACCTACCAATATGATGTAGGTGCCAAAAGAAAGGCCAGAAAATGTACGTTCAGAAACTGTTTTCAAAAACCGTTAACCGGCAAAACGCACAAAGTTATAGCCATTTGAATTTCGAAAAAATGAAGGCTTTTCTCGAATTTCTGGCACACTGATTTTTGCTGACGGAAAGGCTTTCCTTTCGCGAAAAGCCTCGATTCGAGAAAAGCCTTCATTTTTTGCGAAATTCAAATGGCTATAACTTTGTGCGTTTTGCCGGTTAACAGTTTTTGAAAACAGTTTCTGAACGTACATTTTCTGGCCTTTCTTTTGGCACCTACATCATATTGTAACTCGCGGGTAACTTGGGAAGGTTCCCTTGTAAGAAGAAAACTCAGTTATAGAGTAAAGGCAATCACTGACCAAATTCAACTCATGAGTCTCTTGATTTTCTCGAATTTCTGAATATTCTAGCTTAATTTGATATCATTTGAAAGTCAGAAATGACAATTTGAACTCTCAACGCTTTTATCTTAATAATATCTTAATAAAATCTTATTAAAATCAATAAAATCATTCCAGATTAAACCCGAATCCTTCCAGAATGCCCGCATTTCATCTAAATGCCATTTTCCTCACTTTTACAAGTCTTCCCATCACTATCCAACGCATATCCATCCTCACACGAGCACACATAACCGGTGGGACGATCGAAACATTTGTGATCACAGAGAGAGCCACGACGACACATTCTATAATATTGTAAACGATAGTTGCTTGGATTGATCGCATTGATTGATCGAAAGCTTTGACTTTTCAAGAATGATCATCAATTGAATCAATTCAATCAATTGAATCAATTGAATCAATTCAATTGTCGTAGCCGATTATGAATTTCAGCCGATTATGTAGCCGTAGCCGTAGTCGTGGCCGAGTATGAGTGGGTCTAGGAGCGTCCAACCATCGTCCAATCAAGTATTTAGTATCATTCAACGCAGAATCATTGATAATTATGTTAAATTTTTGAAATTAGAAAGATTGGATAAAAAGAACACAAATTATGGGGCTTCAAAGTTTTCTCTTGAACAAACAGTTTTTTTTGCTCTAATTTTTTTTCTTTTCATCAAATCTTGCTAATTTTAAAAATTTAACATAATTATCAATGATTCTGCGTTGAATGATACTAAATACTTGATGGTTGGACGCTCCTAGACCCACTCATTCATAGTCGGCTACGGGGGTCGCGCCGATTTTGAATGAAACGTTGTAGCGCCGGCAATTTTTAACCTCAACTCACAAATTTGGTACCAATCGACGCAGAATTCAATTCGCTACAGGATGATACTAAATACTTGATGGCTAGACGCTACAGGATGATATAATATTGTCATCATACATTAAAGGGTTGCTCTACTAGAAAGATTTGCCAAAAAATTTCATTCATAATCGGCTACGACACAATCAATTGAATCAATTCAATCAACTCAATTAATTTCTCTTCAAAACCAACCTCTCCCCACAAAGTAAACCCTCATCATCACCATTCGGGCAATCTTGAATCAAATCGCATACCTGAAATCGATTACCATAAAGCTTTTTTATCTACTACTTAATTAGCTTTAGATTAAACTTAATGAAGACTAGTTTTTCTAAGGTTTTCTAAGGGTTTTCCTAAGATTTTCCTTTTCTAACTCACCTTTTCCGGACTAATGCATCGATTTCGAGTATCATTTCGGCAGAGGAAATTTGGCTCAATGCACCGATGGGGGTTCACCGTTTTTGATGAAGCTGAAAGAATATAAAAGAATGAATATTTTAACTCCAAACATATCTTTTCTGGCGCAGCGATGTTTTCTCAGTTAGATGGGAACTGATTTTTAGAAAAGCTCCTCTCTAAGATACGCTTAAAAGCTCCTCTTCAAGATAGGCTAATAAGTTACCGAGTTTCTCGAAAAGTTTAGACCAATTAAACCCAGGTAGAGCCAATGAAATGAATAGCTCTAATCGATTCACCGATCTCGAAAACCCCCAGGTACAAATTTACAACTGGATCTCTTCATTTTTAGGTCAGCTACAAAGCAAAAGAGAAATCTCTGTAAATGACTGCGAAGTGTTCTTTGTGCGGCTGCGTAATCGCTCTCCATCTGGTACACCTTCCCGATAGATAGATGTTCCTTTGGGATTCCGTAATACACTTTCCCCACTCTCTGCGCTACTTTCTGCGCTACTTTCTGGGCTACTTTCTGGGCTACTTTCTGCGCTACTTTCTACGCTACTTTCTACGCTACTTTCTACGCTACTTTCTACGCTACTTTCTACGCTACTTTCTACGCTACTTTCTACGCTACTTTCTACGCTACTTACCGGCCCACTTTCTGCCCCACCTACCACCCCACGCTCTGCCCCAACTTGTCAGTTGGCCAAGGTTAAATTTCAATTAGTCTGGGCAACAAGCTCTGGGCAACAAGCTCTGGGCACCAAGCTCTGGGCAACAAGCTCTGGGCAACAAGCTCTGGGCAACAAGCTCTGGGCAACAAGCACTGGGCAACAAGCACTGGGCAACAAGCACTGGGCAACAAGATCAATTCCTGCCACTTACCCTGGGGGCCCTACTCTCCACCCCACCGTTTTAGACATGACTATGCCCAATTCATTGGGACCAATTCCTGCCTCAATTTTGGCTATTTTTTTCGTACAAATTCTGGATCCTATTAAATCATTTTGTTATTTAAGCAGTAGCTTTCTTCTCCCTCAATTTTGAGGCTGAACAATGCTAACCGATTTCAAGAACCTCTTGTTTTCTAATTGCCTTCTAAATTTTTCTCACCACAATTCGCCTCATCGCTTTTATCGCCGCAATCGATGAAACCATCGCAAAGAAAAGCGTGTGGAATGCATCGACTCTCGTCCAAACATTTCCATTCGCTTTCCACCGCACAAGTTAGCGGTTTCTTTTCTGAAATAAATCTGGGTACAAGTTTAAAGATAAATTTAAATAGTTTTGAATAAAGAACTCAGTGAGGAGATTGTTTGAGGACTGATTGGTTGCTTGAAAGATTGCTAGATTGCTTATAAATTTCCCTTACCACATTTGAGCTCATCGATCCCATTCGGGCAATCCGCTGACCCATCGCAAACAAAAGCTTCTCGGATGCAAAAACCCGGAAGACATTCGAACATTTTATCACCACAACCGCCTTTTGCAATGGATTGAGTAAAGGAGTCGGCTGAAATGATTGAGCCTTAGTTGCTTGTGAGCGCAAAACTTTGAGAGCTTTAACCTGGCCTTGCTTGCAAGACTACTAAGACCTTGCTAGTGAAGCCTTAGTTGCTAGAATATTAAAGTAATCTCCAGGGGATTGTTCGAAGGCCAATTCTAAGTGTGATTCTAACTTTCTGGCGTAAAGAGCTACCAGAAAGGCCTCTTGAGGTGAGCGCAAAACTTTGAGAGCTTTTAACCTGGCCTTGCTTGCAAGACTAAGACCTTGCTAGTGAAGCTAGTGAAGCGATATTGTGGACAAGATTGCTACAAAGCAAGAGGCAAGCCAATAAAGGACAGATTCGGCTAGAACAGGCTCAGAAATCCCGAAAGTATCTGGTAGCTGGTACTGGATCCAACTCCTGGTGTAATGGGATCCCAGAGAGAAACTCATCGTCACGAGTATGAGCACGAGTATGAGCACGAGTATGAGCACGAGTACGTTATGAGCCTCTTAGAAGGAGGGGTTTCCTGTGCGTCCATAGCTCAGTAGTAGAGCTTTGGCCTGGCCGCTGCTGGCCCCGGGGTTCGATCCCTCGGTGGGCATAGGGGCACTTGAGCATAGAGGCACTTGGGCCTAGGGGCATAGGGGCACTTGGGCCTAGGGGCCTTTGGAGAGTTCGTAGCAGAACTTTACTCTAAGAGTAAAGCTCTAAGTGCAGAGCTTTAACCTGGCCTGGCTTGCAAGACTAACACCTTGCTAGTGAAGCGATATTGTGGATCTTTGACCTGTAAACTTCACTTACGGCATGTTGCATTCGATTCGTCACTCCCATCCGGGCAATCGACCACTTGGTCACACTGGAAACTGACTGGGAGACACGGTTGGCCAGCACCACATTGGAATTGATAGCCACGGACACAGTCATGTTCACAGTTCAGCTCATCGCTTGCATCGCGACAATCGGGCATCCCATCGCAGACGAATTTCATCAAAATGCATTTCCCGTTTAAGCAAGAGAATTCCGAGGGTTTACAGCCATAAGTGGATCGAGTTTTGACTGAAAATTGAATGGATTTTGCATGATTTTGTTGCTGGTTTTGTTACTGGTTTTGTTGCTGGTTTTGTTACTGGTTTTGTTGATGGTTTTGTTACTGTCGTTGTGTGTCAGCTTTCGAGAAATTTCAAGCTCCAAAACACAAACTTTCTGCACAGAGTTCTCCATCATAGTTTTTCACTTCATCCGATCGATCCCCATCTCCACAATCTCTTTGCCCGTCACAAGTCCATGCGGCCGGAATGCAGCGCTTCGTTTTCTCGCATTGGAAATGTTTACTCGGGCAAATGGTTGCTTTTCCTTGAAATTCTTTCATTTTCGACATTTATGACTTTTGTCACCTTCACATCTTTTTGAATCTTCATCCGATTTATCTTTGCAATCGGGTCGACCATCGCAAACCTAAGAATTATATTTGATAAAGCTAGATAAAGCTAGATAAAGCTAGATAAAGCTAGATAAAGCTAGATAAAGCTAGATAAAGCTAGATAAAGCTATTGACGCTGATCACGAATCTGATCATTAGCCTAGGTTTCTGCACGGAAAACTAAAGAAACGTGAAAACAGCCATTTTTTGGCTTTTTTGGCTCTGCCGCCCTTTACTAAAATAGCTGTAAAAACTTTTAGAAAAGAGATATCTCAAAACGGTTTTTACCAATCAATCCGTCTTGAATTCAGCTTTAGGATGAGCTATACGATGAGCTATTTAAGTTGAGCTAAAACACGTCAAAATTCGACAAATTTAAGGTACTCTCCCAAAAAATCGGAAAGGACTTTTCTAGAAAGCTAGAGAAAGCTAGATAAAGCTAGATAAAGCTAGAGAAAGCTAGAGGAAGCTAGAGAAAGCTAGAGAAAGCTAGATAAAGCTAGATAAAGCTAGATAAAGCTAGAGAAAGCTAGATAAAGCTAGAGAAAGCTAGATAAAGCTAGAGAAAGCTAGAGAAAGCTAGAGGAAGCTAGAGAAAGCTAGAGAAAGCTAGATAAAGCTAGAGAAAGCTAGATAAAGCTAGAGAAAGCTAGAGAAAGCTAGATAAAGGTAGATAAAGCTAGATAAAGCTAGATAAAGCTAGAGAAAGCTAGATAAAGCTAGAGAAAGCTAGATAAAGCTAGATAAAGCTAGAGAAAGCTAGAGAAAGCTAGATAAAGCTAAAATCTACAACTAAAATCTACTCTTAAAGATATAAACAGTTGAATACCTTTTTTAAATAATAAATATAATAAAACTCTTTCATTTTAATCAATAAAATAGAAGAATTAGAAGTCAAATTTGAGTTGTTCAAGCAAAAAGAACAAAACAAAAGAACAGAACTTCAAAAGTTTCCTCACCCATTTCTCGTCGATGCAAAGTGTACCATCACATTTGAAATCCTTTACGTTTTGGCATTTGAAATCTTCTGTAAGATGAATGTAAGATGAATAATTGAATGCGTAATTGAATGCGCAAGAAATGCGTCTTCAGAAAAGCACATAGGACAAGTTTTATCTCTTAAAACCTTACTGCAAGCTCCCTTCGGATCCTCGTCACTCTCATCTCCGCAATCGTCTTCTCCATCGCAAAGTCGGGACTTGTCAATGCATCTAAACATTTAAACATTTAAAAACAACTTTTAAATGCTTTGAATAACAAATATAAGAGGTAATTCTTAAGAATATAACAGGTAATTCTTAAGAATTCGGAAATTCATTTAAATTCCCCCACTTTTGATGTCTCAAACATTTGAACATGGCCGTGTCGTTGCACGCCGCTTTCGGCTTGTAATTCGGATCCACTAAATTTCCATTTTAAAGATCTAATATCATCATTTAATCATCACTAGATCATCTAAAATCTATAAATGCAATTAGCAATTAGCAATAGCAAGCTCTTTAGCAATTAGCAATAGCTCTTTACCTATGCATTTCTTTTTATTCAACGGATCCACTTTGTAGCCGTCCACACAAACGCACTTGCCCGGCTCGCAACCGACCGATCCTTTGCAACTGGAATTTTCGAAATCTCTCGTTGATATATATAACAAAAGATTTATATATGTTACGTCCGAATGCGACCAGAATGAGACCGAATGCGACCGGATTCGGACGTCTGAATCCGATCCGGATGTCAGGATCCGATCCGGACGTCAGGATCTGATCCGGATTTCCGAATCCGGTCATTGTTTATCTTGTGGTCGGTTTCGGACGTTCTAATCGGACCACAATCCGATAAATGTCAATTGATCCCGCTTGATTCATCGAATTTTTTATAATTTCTCAACTATGATACCCAACATTCATTCAACACCCACGCAAAATTTAAGCTAAGAAATTTATTGTGGTCGGATTAGGACGTCCGAAACCGACCACAAGATAATCAATGGCCGGATCTGGACGTCCGGATCTGGACGTCCGGATCAGATCCTGACGGATTAGGACGTCCGAAACCGACCACAAGATAATCAATGGCCGGATCTGGACGTCCGGATCAGATCCTGACGGATTGGGACGTCCAAAACCGAGCTCAAGATCATCAATGACCGGATCCTGACGTCCGGATCAGATCCTGACGGATTAGGACGTCCGAAACCGACCACAAGATAATCAATGGCCGGATCTGGACGTCCGGATCAGATCCTGACGTCCGGATCGGATCCTGACGTCCGAATCCACACTCATTCTGGTCGGATTCGGACGTCCGGATCAGATCCTGACTCAACGATATCTTAATTGCAGGCCGGCCCGAATTGCTATAATTTTAAAGCACTCTTTATAGTAGATAAAGTTCTATGTATTAGCATTGTTAGCACAGTCTACTAACCCCATCGGAAAGCACAACTGCTCGCAGCCTCCATTGTCTTTCGAGCAAGCGGTCGTTTCTGAAAGCGGATTTTTGTAGGCAAACTAAACAAAAACTTATTCAATAGTTTCTTTCATCAAATCCTTTACCACATTTACCTTTTTGCAGATGTTGTTCGTAGATTTGAAGCTCAAAAATCGGTGACGTCTCTTCGTAGATCGTCACAACATTCGTCGCATTTGATGTGCTTGAGAGAAGCGCTCGTTTAATCACTCCAGCCTAAGATTTAGTGTTTCTTACTTCTTTGTGTACTTTTGTACTGAAATTGGCTGACTACTCTTGAGAATTTCCATTGTTTTTAATAAGTTATCGTATTTTTCTAATAGTAGTGCACCGCGGCCGAGCCGAGTTGATGACTATTTACGGCTTCCAAAGTTTTCCCAGAAGCTCAACACTCAAATCATCGTCAAGATCTCATCGTTAGCTACATTTTCCGACCCCATATCGATCGGTTCTGATAAGCGGTTCTTGAGATTTCAAGGAATTTAAGTGAAGCGGGAATTAGGGAAAGCAGTCAAGTTGATGCAATGAACCGAAAGTTGTGTTTTGACTAAACAAAATCCAAGTTTTGTTGATTAATCGAGTTCTTAACGTTAGCTAAGCTAAGAATTTGCTACTTAAGCCCCGCCCTTTTTAAAAAATAGACCCAAAAGTCAGATTCTCCATAGCCGAAAACCCCTGAGAGCGCGTGCAAAGCTGAATACTGTATCTTCCCTAATAGTAGTGCATCCCGCTGGGCCGAGTTGATGACTATTTACGGCTTCCAAAGTTTTCCCAGAAGCTCAACACTCTAATCATCGTCAAGATCTCATCGTCAGCTACATTTTCCGACCCTACAACGATAGGTTCTGATAAGCGGTTCTCGAGATTTCGAGGAATTTAAGCGACGCTCATGGTGCACTACTATTAGAGAAAATACGGCATAATGATTTTTCTCAAACCCCACCTTGAAATCCGACCAAAAGAGAAAACCGTTGTAGACGGAGAGTCCGTAAGGGTGATTGACCCATTGAGAAGCGACAACAATCTAAGATTTGATCGATTTATAGATTTATAAAGGAGTTTCTATAGTCTATGTTCAATCGTCTATTTTCTATAGTCTATTTTCTATAGTCTATTTTCTATAGTCTAGTTTCTATAGTCTATGTTCCATCGTCTATTTTCTATAGTCGATTTTCTATAGTCTATTTTCTATAGTTGATTTTCTTCACTTCTCTATCGCTTCCATTCAGTCGAATCCGCTCAATGTGCGCATAAAAAGCGTCGCACCAGTACAGAAAATCGTTCTCGAAATCGATCGATAAACCGTTTGGCCATTGAATTCTCAAAGAAAAAGTTCATTAATTTGATAAATTTCGGATGAAAAACCTTCGATTTATCAAAGTCTTTCGTTCAGATCCATCCAGTTTTGCTCTCTCGATTTTCGCTTTTCCATCCGCGTTCTCTGACCAATCCGAGAAGAAGAGATATCTGAAATGTAGATGTAATCGATTCTCATTACAATTTGTCCGAAAAATGTGTTTTATTGGTTCGGATAATTTTGCGCGACCCTGTCTATTAGGTTAACAACTAGAGAAAGATCAGATTCAGATCAGAACGATCAGATCAGAACGATCAGATCAGAACGATGAGATCAGAACGATGAGATCAGAACGATCAGAACAGAAAGATCAGATCAGAACGATCAGAACAGAACGTCAGATCAGAACGTGAGATCAGAACGATGAGATCAGAACGTCAGAACAGAACAATCAGAACAGAACGATCAGATCAGAACGATCAGATCAGAACGATCAGATCAGAACGATCAGAACAGAACGATCAGAACAGAACGATCAGATCAGAACGATCAGATCAGAACGATCAGATCAGAACAATCAGATCAGAACGATCAGAACAGAACAGAACAGAACGATCAGATCAAAAGCGCTAATCAGAACCAAAGCTATATGGCTTCAAAGAAAGAGTCGAACCCAAGGGCATTCGCTTTGGAACTGAAAGCACTACCACTACATCACCGCGCAGCGAATCCACAGCGCTAACTAGGCCCAATATCGTTGCGGAGAGAGAAACTCCATTGTCGCCTATTAACAAACACTATAACTACCGTAATCTTGGAACGCTTTGCCGGTGAATTTTTAATATGTTATTGATAAACTGTGTACATCAAGAAGTTATTGCTTTCAAATAGCTTTTCATAATAATTTATGGACAACCTTGTAGCTCAACTTGTAGCTAATAGCTTACCTTGAAGCTAATAGCTTACGTTGAAACTGATAGCTTACCTTGAAGCTGATAGCTCAACTTGTAGCTAATAGCTTACCATGTAGCTAATAGCTTACGTTGAAACTGATAGCTTACCTTGAAGCTAATAGCTTACCAACTCTAAACCCAACTCTAAACCAAGACTTGACTACGATAATCTACAAATAAAGATCTGTGAAACACCAACTAACTTTAGGGTTACGGTACTTGAGGCATGTTTTAGTTTAAGAGAAAAACTGACCCCTTAATTGGATGAACAGCAATCGCGCGCGGATTTCGCATCTCAGTGTCGAGGAGAATCTTTCGGTGTTTCGGATTGCGACTCGAGAAAACCCCGACATGACGCAGACCCTAGCCAATTTCTAAAGCTAAAAAATCAAAAACCCTTACTTGATCAGTGTAGTAGATGTTCCCAGATGTCCACTCATATGCTAAACCCTCGCAATTGGAGAGACCTAGAACTCGTTGTGATCTTGGATTATCAATCGATCACCTTACCCGACTCAATCACCACTTCGAGTTCCGTTTTCTGAATCGATCGTCGATAGATTGTGAAATTGCGAGCATCTGAGAAATAAAGATGCATTTTTTGTGAGTCAATCGTTAGAGCTGTTGGCCGAAAGAGGTGCTGGATTGGGGGCATCAATTGCTCGACCTAGAAATGCATCATTTTCTCGAGTTTTATTGGTATTTATTGGTATTTTCTAATTCTGTAAGGATTTTAAAGAAAGAAAGATACGAAAAATAGATTTATTATATAAAAATTAGAGTTAGAATTGCACTCGGGAAAGTTATTGTCCACTCGTATGCTAAACCCTCGCAATTGGCGAGACCTAGAACTTGTTGTGATCTTGAATATCAATCGATCACCTACCCGGGAAGTTAAGACTTTTTAGAAAGTGTTGAATTTGAGGCAATCTCTACTGTACTGCCAATTGGAGTACCAATTTGTGGCAATCTCTACTGCCAATTGGAGAGACCTAGACCTAATTCAATTGACTTTACTTTATTAAGTTATTTTTAGTAATGAGAAAAGATAAACCGCTCTCTGCCTTCGAGAATGGACAGATCGAAGCAAACAAACACAATAGAAAGACTATTGCTAGATATATTGCTATAGTATACACGGGAATTGCTCGACTTCTGGATCGAAGTGATGATCTCATCGACAGTTACCTTACTGATTCAGTTATGCAGCAAGCAGAATAACTTATCTTAAACTTGTTCTTAAACTTGTCCTTAACCTTGTCCTTAACCTGGTCCTTAAACTTGTCCTTAAACTTGTCCTTAAACTTGTCCTTAACCTTGTCCTTAACCTTGTCCTTAACCTTGTTCTTAAACTTGTCCTTAACCTTGTTCTTAACCTTGTTCTTAACCTTGTCCTTAACCTTGTCCTTAACCTTGTCCTTAACCTTGTCCTTAACCTTGTTCTTAAACTTGTCCAATCAGGACGTGCAATACCTCATTTAAAAGCTAATTTTCTAGCGAATTGGATAAAAAAAGCTAGCACAAGAACCTATATTAAACTTATCTTAGACTTATCTTAACCTTATCTTAACCTTATCTTAACCTTATCTTAGACTTATCTTAAATCAAATTTACATTCAAGTTTCAAGATCAAGATCAAGATCAACAAAGTTTCTATTTATAAACATTGTAAATTTGAGCCCTTACTTTTGAAGTATTCAATGGTGTGCTCTCGATTTGTAGCGGAATCCCGGCTATGCTCGCTGGTCGTATTCGAGCAAAGATCAACAACGGATCACCCACTCCACCAATCACGCATTTCCCATCACGATTCGTGTAACCTGATTGATTTCTAATACTTCTTTCTGTTTCTTTTTTCAATACCTTCTTTACATAAACATTTCGCTTTTGGTCCCTCTTTTCCGGGCATTGAAACGCAAATATCCGAACAAGCACCGTTGTTTTTTTGGCATGCGTTCGGAGCTGAACTTTGAGTTTATTGTTTTTTAAAAAAGCTTACTTTAATGTAAAACTAAACTTAAATTTGATCTAAAACATTGAAATTAAAAAGAAATTTTTAAAATAACAACTACAATCGGTTAACGATTCGCTCGGGATCAACAATTTCGATTTAATGATTTTAAAACGTGCCAGGAATTTCTTGCGTAGCTGCTCTAAACGGCTAATGATTACATTTCGCTGGGCAACTATGTAGAAATGAAAAGCGTGTTTTATTAGGTTGATGCATAAGTGTTTTTGTTCCTTTTCGTCTGCCGTTTCAAGCCAACAAATGCACCAATTAAACTACGGTTGATTTCATTAGAAAAAGCAATTATTTTTCTGCAAAATAACATTAAAACGGGTTTAAAAATATTTAATGCCTGGATTTTCTTGAGAGTATGAAGTCGGGTAGTCAAAAAGGGCTAACTCGATGATGCGGTTTAGGCTCAGGCTCAGGCTCAGGCTCAGGCTAAGCCTCAGCCTAAGCCTGAGCCTGAGCCTGAGCGGTTTAGACACCTTAGCTAAAGAAAACCTATCTTCGTGTCAATAGATAAAAGATAGAGAAAAAAAACGTTTGATATTTCGCCAAAATTTCAGAGAAATTCATTCAGCCAATTTTTCCGTAGAGTTTTTTTATAGATTTTTACGAAAAAGGCGTTTTTCACTCTCGAATTTGCTTGAAAGTCAACCGAAATTCATTTAAAAAGATGCAAATTGAACAAAAAAAAAACACTTTTTTTGATAGAGCAAACTATAGATTAATTCGTGAATTTGTTACTTTTTAACAGAAGTACGAAAAAAACGAAAAGACTTATACATCAACCTATTAGAATTTCAAAATCGTTGGTTCCAATATGGTTCCAATATGTTCCTTTCAGGAATATGGTTCCAATATGATTCCAATATGGTTCCAATATGTTCCTTTCAGGAATATGGTTCCAATATGGTTCCAATATGATTCCAATATGATTCCAATATGTTCCTTCCAGGAATATGGTTCCAATACGATTCCAATATGGTTCCAATATGGTTCCAATATGTTCCTTTCAGGAATATGGTTCTAATATGGTTCCAATATGATTCCAATATGATTCCAATATGTTCCTTCCAGGAATATGGTTCCAATATGATTCCAATATGGTTCCAATATGATTCCAATATGATTCCAATATGATTCCAATATGGTTCCAATATGATTCCAATATGGTTCCAATATGATTCCAATATGATTCCAATATGATTCCAATATGGTTCCAATATGTTTAAATCGAGAGTTAACTGTACAGGGTGCGGCGAAAGTTTTGTTCTTTTTTAAAATTCTCTCTCTAAAAGCTTCCTGGACTTTATTTCATAAGTGTTTGTAACCAAAAGATAGCTAATTTTTCACAGAATTTAAATCTTATTCAAGTTTTTAAATAATTCCTTTAGTTTTTGATTTATTGGCTATTCTATGCTCTTCGAAAAAAGTATCTTTTGCGCTTTTTTTATTGCAAAAATTTCTATAAATAGTTACAAACTTCTTGAAAACTATTGTTATATTTCTAGTTTGGAATTGGTAAACAATTTTTTTTGGCTCTTGCATAGTTTCCGGGTCTTTTAAAAGAATCTGGGTCTTTTGAAAGAAAGAAAGAAAGAAGAAATCCTGGTCTTTGAACGGGTCGTCATGCTTTGAACGCCTATAACTTTGTCCAGAGATAATATTATTCTTAACTTTTTAAATCATTGTATAGAGGACATTTCAGGCTTTTAGATGATACCAAATAAAGCTTGATTCGATTTTTCATTTCCATAAAAATGAAGCAACACCGTGCCCTAGTTTGATCTGTCTCATTTGCTAGAGTTGGCTTTGATTTTCCTGGGCTGGATTATCCAATCAAGCTTTATTTGGTATCATTCGAAAGGCTAAAATGTCCTCTATAAAATGATATAAAAAGTTAAGAATAATATTATCTCTGGACAAAGTTATAGGTCTTCAAAGTGGGACCAATCATTAAAACTCGACAAAAGCCTAATTTTTATGTTTAACTTCATTTTTATGGAAATGAAAAATCGAATCAAGCTTTATTTGATATCATCTAAAAGCCTGAAATGTCCTCTATACAATGATATAAAAAGTTAAGAATAATATTATCTCTGGACAAAGTTATAGGCGTTCAAAGCGTGACTACTTTTTCAAAAACGCTATAGGTTGAGTTTTCGATAATTTGATAGATAAAAACGAGACCAAATTATCAATAAAAGAGTTAACGACTACGCGGCTGTACACCTCAAAACGCCGGCTGTAAGCCCTTTTCCCCAACTCACCTCTCATTTGCAAACTTTCATGATAAATCGCGACTCGATCCACCATTTTCTCCACATTGTAATCGTCGTAAAGAACGGCTTTTTGAGTGCTATTCTGAAAGCAAAAATTCATCTTTAACTTTTCTTGGGTAATCCTAGCATTCTAAACTTCATTCTTTTGCACCTTCATCGTGTCATATTCAACGATTTTTTTCCTTCCGACCAGCAGAAGTCTCGTGCCCAGCACAACCATCCCAGACATTGATTTGAGCTGAAAGAATGCGAAAATTGCGATCTTTTTCTCTTGTAACCCACAATTCTCCCACTGGCTACAATTCGTGATTTTCCCGCTTGATCATAGTTGATGGCTCGGATCAACTCCAAATACGTATCCAAATAGTATAACGTCTTCGAATGGATATCGATCGCCAACGCTAAATTGCAGACGTAAATCTGTGTGGTGCGCTTACAAATAGGCAAAAAGTTACTTTAAAAAGTAGACTTTAAAACGTATAATTTAAAAAGTAGCCCTTAAAAAGTAGCCCTTAAAAGTAGCCCTTAAAAGTACACTTAAAGTAGCCCTTAAAGAGTACACTTTAAAAGTAGCCCTTAAAAAGTAGTTAAAGTGCCCTTAAAAAGTAGCTCTTAAAAAGTAGCCCTTAAAAGTAGCCCTTAAACAGTAGCCCTTAAACAGTAGCCCTTAAACAGTAGCCCTTAAAAAGTAGCCCTTAAACAGTATACCTTAAAAAGTACACTTTAAAAGTAGCCCTTAAAGAGTACACTTTAAAAGTAGCCCTTAAAAAGTAGCTCTTAAAAAGTAGCCCTTAAAAGTAGCCCTTAAACAGTAGCCCTTAAACAGTAGCCCTTAAACAGTAGCCCTTAAAAAGTACACTTTAAAAGTAGCCCTTAAAGAGTACACTTTAAAAGTAGCCCTTAAAAAGTAGCCCTTAAAAGGTAGTCCTTAAAAAGTATACCTTAAAAAGTACACTTTAAAAGTAGCCCTTAAAGAGTACACTTTAAAAGTAGCCCTTAAAAAGTAGCTCTTAAAAGTAGCCCTTAAAAGTAGCCCTTAAACAGTAGCCCTTAAAAGTGCCCTTAAAAGTGCCCTTAAACAGTAGCCCTTAAACAGTAGCCCTTAAACAGTAGCCCTAAAAGTGCCCTTAACAGTGCCCTTAAAAAGTACACTTTAAAAGTAGCCCTTAAAGAGTACACTTTAAAAGTAGCCCTTAAAAAGTAGCCCTTAAAAAGTAGCTCTTAAAAAGTAGCCCTTAAAAGTAGCCCTTAAACAGTAGCCCTTAAAAAGTAGCCCTTAAAAAGTAGCCCTTAAACAGTAGCCCTTAAACAGTAGCCCTTAAACAGTAGCCCTTAAAAAGTAGCCCTTAAACAGTAGCCCTTAAAAAGTACACTTTAAAAGTAGCCCTTAAAGAGTACACTTTAAAAGTAGCCCTTAAAAAGTAGCTCTTAAAAAGTAGTCCTTAAAAAGTACACTTTAAAAGCAAGTTGTTAAAGTTTTTAAGAGCAGATTAGCTGAGCCAAAGTTGGCGTAGAGATTCAACCTTGTAGCATCACCGCTCCCTTGTCAATCATATTTTTCCTCTCGGTTCCATCAAGATTAAAACGCCAGACGCCGGTGTGTTTTGTGCCAAAATCCGCATAGAATAAATAACTGAAATATCATTCATTGCATCAATGTTATACTAGTTTGATGCAAAAGAAATTTCGGGCTTTTTTAAATAGTCGCCCCCCCCACCCCGTACAGTCGGGTAGTCGCAAAAAAGTTTTTACTAAATAATTTTTTTCTAAGCGCCCGTAATTTCTAAAAATACATGTTTGGTATCAAAAAATAGCCCTGAATTTCAGCTATTTTTTGATACTTAAGCGCACACTGTAGCAGAAACAGGTGGCGAGAAAGATGTGTTTAAAGTTAGCCTACGCGACCGTTCTATTTTTTAAAATCTCGAAATCTTATTTCATTTTCTTTTTTATATTTGTACTCTTGAATATTTACTTTATTTTTACGCTTGAATTCAGAGTTTCCACTTTTTAATTGATATTTGCTTTAGATTATGGTCAATCGAAAGGATGTTGTGCGCGCGTGTCTTAGTTATGACCGCCAGCTCTGGTATCCTGACAGCTCTGGTATCCTGACAGCTCTGGTATCCTGCCAGCTCTCGTATCCTGCCAGCTCTCGTATCCTGCCAGCTCTGGTTTGACCGATTCCGAGAACGTATTGAATCTCTTGAAGAAGAACCAAATGAGCATCGACAGCGATCGATAATTGAATTGGAACAACTAGTTGAAGCCGATTTAATGTAAACAACATGAGATCAACACGAGATCAAACATCTTCAATGTGATCAATCAACAATTGTCCACCATTTGGAAATAATCGAAAAGACCAATCGTAATGGACGATGGTTTCCACATGAATTGAGCACCGCGAATCTGGGAGCACGTGTTTCGATCATATGCTTTAGATTATGGTAGATCAAAAGTATGTTGTGTGCGCGTGTCTTCTCTAGGATTTCAAGCTAGGCAAAAACGCTGCCGAATCACATCGTGATCTCTGTTCCGCTTTTGGAGAACAAGTTATGACCAAAGGATGCCAGCTCTGGTTTGATCGATTCCGAGAAGGTATTGAACCTCTTGAAGACGAACTACATGAACATCGCTCGACAGCGATCGATAATTGAATTGGAACAATTTATTGAAGCCGATTTAATGCAAAAATCACGATATCTTGCCAAAAATCTCGATCAATCAACGGTTTTCAATGTGATCAATCAACAAGACGATGAAGACGATGAAGACGTGGAAGACTCTTGAAGACGAACTACATGGACATCGCTCGGCAGCGATCGATATCAATCAAAAATTGTCCGCCATTTGGAAATAATCGAAAAGACCAATCGTAATGGATCAAGGATGACCAAAAATCAAAGGATGCCAGCTCTGGTTTGATCGATTCCGAGAAGGTATTGAATCTCTTGAAGAGAAACCGCATGGGCAGATGGATAAGTGTTCGGCGCAATGGACAACGTCGTGTTCCCGAGTTTACTATCTTTCACCGGCGCACACTCAAAAATCGTTTTTACTTGGTTGGGTGATCAACTACTTTCAATCAAAGAATCAAGAGGTCTTCGACAAAGGGATCCGCAATCTGAAGCAACGTTGGAGGGATTTTATAGATAACGATGGTTTAGAATAAATTGTTACCTGTTTGTTACCTACTTATTGTTTAGAATGTTACCTGTTTCTTACCGGCTTATTGTTTAGAATATTACCTATTTCTTACCTGCTTATTGTTTAGAATAAATTGTTACCTAAAGGAATTTTACCTAATATTTTTAAAAAAACCGAAATTTCTTTTGCATCAACGTAGCAAGGATTCAAAAAGTATCTAATATCTCAAATTTTAAAACAACTCACCCGTTGATTGGATCAACAACGAGATCAGCCGGCTTGTCGACTCCATTGTAGACAATCGTTTTACACAAAGTGAACTAAAAAGAAAGCTTTATTTTAGCTTGTACTTTTGAATCGATTAGGGCTTTGAGCTTGAGCTTGAGCTTTGAGCTTTGAGCTTTATTGAGTTACCGACATTTACTGTCAACTTTTTGCTAAACACTCACCCGTTCATCAGCACACAAAATGATCACTCGTCCAGTCGTGTCGACGAGGTACCAATTGCGCGCAATCCAATCGAATTTTAGAAGTTTTACATCTAGAATTTATATGTGATTTATTAGGTTGTCCAGTTATGAATGCACGCCTGCTCTTGAACAACTTGAACAGCATTCCTTAGAGCTTTACAATTTTATCAAACCCAATTTTCTGTGTGCTGTACAGGATTTCTTATTTTATTACAACTTTTCGTGCTTTTGACGTCAATTTTTGTGTTTAGATTTGATTTCTGTAAGCGACACGAAGTTTCTCGACACGAAGAGATAAGGAACCAAATTTGTAGAGGTAAGGAACCAAATTTAGAGAGATAAGGAACCAAATTTAGAGAGATAAGGAACCAAATTTAGAGAGATAAAGAACCAAATTTGTAGAAATCAGGAACCAAATTTGTAGAGATAAGGAACCAAATTTGCAGAGATAACTTTGGTATGACTTCAAATTGGGCAAAAATATCGCTGAATCTCATCGAGGCCTTTGGAAAGTATTTTGGAAGATGCTATTTCGGAAAGCCAGTGTCGGCGATGGTTTCAACGATTTTGAGAAGGAGAGAACGGAGATAAGGGAGATTTTTGGGAGATGAGGACCACCAGTCTCCTACGATCGATAATGCAGTACTTAAACAGGCGATCGAAATTGATCCTCGACAAACTACACGTGAACTTGCAGAAATATTTGGAATAAGCCCTCAAAAACGCGCATTTATAACTGAACAACCTAATATATATGATTTATATATGATTTATAACTTTATAACTGAAGGTACTAAACTCTAAACTTACTTGACAATTGATAAGTGTTCGGCGCAATGGACAACGTCGTACTCCCGAGTTTACCATCTTTCACCGGCGCACACTCAAATACCGATTCATCGTCAATATCCACATTATCGGAAACGATGATTCGCTAAAAATATCACAAATTTTCCAGAGTAATCTTTATTTTCTATTTAATAAATCTCCAAAACTCACTGAGCTCACGAAACACGCTCTTCCTTGGGCAATATCGATATCAAAAGCATTAAGGTCCTAAAAAAAAGGTACTTTTTGAATTTTGAAGTTTCAATTTTGAAAATGATTCTTTAAAAAGCCAAAAATTTACTTTTTCTGTCGTTTCTTGTAGTCGATCACCTTGAATTTTTGCGAGATCTCGAGACGAGATTGATGAGTCGCTGATGAGAAAAAGAGCAGAATTTGAATCTAAAATTTTATCTAAAGCTTTAAAATTTCATAGTTGAGCTCCGTTAGAGAGAAGTCCATTTAACCAAATAGCATAGACAATCAAAAGTTAACTGTACACTTGATGAGACAATCAGAGGTACGGGATTTCTCTCTAGTGCTCTAGAGATCAACTCTAGCTCTAGCTCTAGAGATCAACTCTAGCTCTAGCTCTAGAGATCAACTCTAGCTCTAGCTCTAGAGATCAACTCTAGAGCTTCTAACTTCTTCATACAATCGAAAAACTTGCCGTCTGCTGGCAAAAGTGAATTGATTGTAATGGATGTGATTTTGATGTTTTAGAGAAAATGTTAATATTCTAAAGAAAAATTTTTTTTTCAAACGTCCAGTTGGCCGACTGGTTAGGAGTCTTGTCTCCTAACCAGTCGACCTTCCGATTAGGAGTCTTGTCTCCTAATCGGAAGGCCGAGGTTTCGATCTCGCTGGCAAAATCAAGTGTGTTCTTTTTCCCATTAAGTTGGGTTTTTTCTTGACTACATTGTAGGGGTAAAAATTGTGTCCACCGTTTTGTTGTATCTACTTATTCATGTTGAATAAAGTATCTTTAATCATCAAAAAATTTTTGATGATTGAAATTGAGTAGAAAAAACGCAAATAATTTTCCTTAGTATCTAATAATTCAGCTATTCAAATAGCAATTTTTACAGCAATTCAAATAGCATTTACAGTTTGGATGAGATTTTGTGAAAGTTCAGTCATTTGGCTCTACTTGGTTCGCCATTTGTTTCAGTTTGCATTTTAATTGCCTTCTTTAAGGCTCTTCAAAGATTTTGAACAGACTTTAAGACTTTTCCAGTATCTGTTATCGTAGATTTGAGTTTTGCATGGATTTACCCGTTTTCGGCACGCATTTCCTCCCATCGATCAGCTCGAATCCCTCCTCACAACTACACGAAAACCCTGCACTTGTCGCGTTCTTGTACTCGAGATTTTCGCATTTTTGAGAGCAAACTGGTGGAAGACCTGGATGTAAAGCAAATTAATATATTAACAAATTAAGAAACATATTTTTTTCTATAGATCTTAGCATTAGATTAAAATCGACCTTTCAATCGTTGTTCACACTCGTTCACGTCGATACAATCATTGCCTTTTGGTTCCTAAATGTGCCCAAAATAACCATAAATAATTTGTACATACCGTAAATACTATAATAGTACTATAATAGTACTGTAATAGTACTATAATAGTACAGTTGCGTAGTCACAAAAGTTTTTTAGTATTTCATTTTTTTCAAAGCGCTCGTACTTTCAAAAAATGCGTCTTTGGTATCAAAAAATAGCCCTGAATTTCAGCTTTTATTTGATACTTAAGCGCACACTGTAGCAAAAACAGGTGGCGAGAAAGATGTGTTTAAAGTTAGACTACGCGACCGACCATCATTTTAGGGGGAGGGGGTGCGCTACTATTACGTAGCGTTGCGTAGCCTGGCTTTGAACGAGTTTTTCTCGACACTGGTTTTGCTACAATGCGTCTTTGGTATCAAAAAATAGCTGAAATTCAGGGCTATTTTTTGATACCTTAGCGAGCATTGTAGCATAAACCAGTGTCGAGAAAAACTCGTTCAAAGCTAGACTACGCAACACTCCGCACCGTCATTATGGGTCTGGGGTACTATTACAGTATTTACGGTAATAATAATAATAATAACATTTTTATATATTGCTATTTTTATTACAAACCTGCCCCCTCGGACAATAGCATCGATAGCCAGCGTTGATTGTCGGCGAGCCGCCAAATTTGCATCCACTAGGGCGTACTGAAATTTGCATTTAACTGAATTCCGAAAAGGCTAACTTTTGTCGCAAAATTGCCCCTCATCTGTGCCGTCTTTACAATCCAGAATCCCATTACAAAAACGATCCAACGGAATGCAGATTTGAGTGGTCAAACAGGCGTGAAAATTTGGCTCACATGTGATTGGGCTTCCGCCTGAAAAAATGGGATTTGAAAGAGAAATCTCAGTTTATTATAAAGTGCTTAAAGTATTGTGATCTGTTAACGAGATTTAGATGGTTACGGTAATTAGGACATTGTATAAAAGGTACAGGGGACTGTACAATTGGTGAGACGGTAACTCTAAGGTACCGTAACTCTGACAGACACTCACAATTTGAATGCCCTAATTTGAGAAATATTATAGAGGCAAAGTCTAGACAATGATGGGCAAATATAGACAATGAAATATAGACAATGAGACAATGATGGATGGACAGGGGCCTTAAGGGCCAATTGGCTAAAGAGGGCCCTAAAGAAAACCGATTGGGTTGGGGCTTAAGTTTTGATTAATTAATTAAGCTTTTGGTCAATTAAGCACTTCGGCAATGTTGTTCAGTTGACAGTGTTGTTGACAATGACATTAATAGAGAAAATACGGTATACATAATTTTCAAAAATAGTTTTTGAAAAGAATGGTTTACCGGTTGTTTTTAACGATGAAAATTTTTGCTTATTAAAAAATAAAAAACCCGGATCCTCTAGAAGAAGAAATGCGGAATTTAAAAGAAATAATTTCTTATAAAATTTGTACAATTGATTCTTATTCAGGTATTCAAATATTCAGGTATCAGTCATTGATCATTTCAATGAGTTTTCGATGCTCACTTACACATTTCCGTATCCTCATCCGAATCGTCGATCACTCCGTGCACATCCTCTCCACAATCCACTTCACGATCACATCTAGATCAAAATAAATTTAAATTAAGCTTTCTTTCATCAACCTGTACACTCCCGGCAGGCACAGACCTGACTTTTGACATCGAAACTCTTCCGGTCGACATTCTTGGATCTCTGGAAAATATTGAGATAACTGATGGGTCGATAACTGATATTGAGATAAGTTTATTATCTTTCCCTAATTGTTAGCTTAACTTATGTCAGCTTTAACTATTAGCTAAACTATTTTAGCTATTTTAAACCAACCACAATTCTGTGCTTCATCACTTCTATCAACACAGTCGATCTCGCCGTCGCAGAGCCATTTCTGCGGAATGCAGCGAGTATTTCGATACGATGTGTCGCATGAGAATAAACCGACAGCACAGTAACCTGCAAGCTTTTTTATCTAAACCTGAAGCAACTTTGCTTCATTTCTGGTAAGTACCGTAATTTTGTAAACAACAAGCTAGCGATAAGTTTTGTTGTTCCAAAGCAGCACTACAGGTCAAGCCAAGTACATCAGGCCCTGGTTTGCTGCAGGCCTGGCTCAGAAGTCACCCTGGACCTGGCCTCTAGCCTGACTTGGTACCTGACCTTGTCTAATCTGGCTTTTAGGCCATATCCCTGAAACATTCTTGCTCTAGGACCTGTGCCAGGCCAGAAATTGAAGCCTTGAGCCTAAGTCTAAGCCTAAGTCTAAGCCTAAGCCTAAGCCTAAGCCACAAACCCAGACCACAGCCAGCCAGGTTTATCAACAAATTGAAAACTCACCTATCGACGCGTTTTTCGTGGCACCCAACGAAGTGGCAAAAAATAATTGTGGGAAAAGAGTGAATATCAGAAATAAATCGCCTATTCTAGGCATTGTTGTTGGACAGATTGATGCTAAATGGAGTGCTGCAACCGCATTGGATTCTGAAAAGATACGAATTTTAATTTAATTAAGTTCAACTCCAAATTTAAGCGTAAAAAGCTCTGCTCTGATTTAAAAATATAAAATTGTCGTAAAAGTTCTCTTGAAATTGAACGTGTTTATAGCAAAAATGTCAAGTTGTTGAAAGGGGATTGAAGGGAAAAGAAAGAAAACCTTCTTTTTGCCCAGCTGACCATGTAAGAGAGACAAATTTTTGAGGATTGGAGAAGGGGAAATGTGAAGAAAGGAGACCAAAGAGCGGGGAAGAAGGGGGAAAGGGTATGGAAAAGAAGGAAAAAGAAGGAAAAGAAGGGGAAAGGAGGGGCAAGGACCCAAGCACGAGAACGAGTACAAACTACGAGAACCTCAACCTCAATGTTGGATCTCGGGAGTAAGATTTGGTACTTCGTTTTGATACTAAGTTCAAGGCATTGCCAGATGCCAGAGACAAATCTCATCTAAATTATCGAAGCAAAAGCCATGGCTTACAAATAAACAAGCACATGCCTGTTTCCTAAGAAAAGAAAACAGTAAGATTTACAGTTTAAGGTAATTCTAGGCTTAGTTCTGCGTGATTTTACTTTTAACAAGAAAATGTGATCTTTTGGCGATCTAATGCATAGAAAAACTCATCAATTATTTAAGCAGAAGCCGATTGAGAAGTTTTATAAAGGTTTTTATAAAGTGCAGAAGACTTTTGTAACGGTCGCGGAAATGAACTTTGCTTCAGTGGTTTCCATTCAATTCCCCAAACTATCTTATAATTAGTTTTGGCCTTCATTGTAGTCCGGCTAGGGAAAGTTTCAGATTCTCCACTCGGCTTCTAAAGATTTCTTTCTCATTTCAAAGAAAAACACAAAATTTATCGCATAAAACAATAATTTCAATCATTCTGACAAAAAAATGGGGTTAAGAAAACATTCCGCCCCCAGCTAATTTTTTTCTGAGATTTCCGCCCAGATAACAAGTTTTGTAACGGTGCAGAAGATGAGCCTTGCTTTCTTTGTTTCCATTCAACTCCGCAAACCATCTAACAGTTAGTTTCATTGTGATCGGGCTACGAAAAGTTCTGGATTTTCGACTCGGCTCCCAAATGGAAATAGATTGCTTTCTCATTTCAACACAAAATCTATCGCTTAAAACAAAACTTTCAATTAATCTGACAAAAACAAAAACCAACAAACAAAAAAAAAACAAACAAACCAACAAAAAAACAAACAAACAAAAAAAGAAACAAACCAAAGCAAACCAAAAACAAACAAACAAACAAACAAAAAAAAACAAACAAACAAAAAAAAAAACAAACAAAAAAAAAAACAAACCAAACCAAAAACAAAAACAAATGATTTGAAAATGAAAAAGAAACGACGACGCGACGCTCCCATCGACTACCTCCAAATGGCGACGATGTCAATTGGAATGCGACGTCGCGCGAAAAACATTTAAAATTTGCAACGGAAATTCAAATTTCAGATAAAAGCGTTTCGAAATCATTCTTTACTGAATTTTTATAAAAGTAAACTTTTTTGAAAGCGTAAACGTCTCAATAAGTTGCAGGAGATAAGGGCAATCGATTCTTTTTCTTTTTTAAATTAAATTTAAGCGATAAACAAATTTCTCTAGAAACCACCCCAACTCTTGTAAATGTTTTCCGTCTAATTTGTGTCCCTGTTTTTTTGCGACTCATCTTTTTTCTCACTCTTCTTTTTACCGCCCTGTAATTTCACATCTCTTTCACTTAAAAGCGTTTTTCCACAAATAACCTTGAACAAGGCAAATTTTGCTACCCTTGAAAGAGCATGGGAAAAATGGAAACCTCGCAAAACCTCGCAAAACACTATTTAATAATGTTTTCTGTCCAGAAACAAATGTTTTTTTTTGATTTGTACTTTGATTGAAATTGTAAACATACTCTCTTTATCGTGCACTCTTCCAGGATTACGGGGACTAGAGATATCTTTAATATTGCATATTTTTGCTTACAATTTATATATTGTTTTTGTCTTTCTTTTGGTTTATTTTATTTATTTAACTATTTACTTACTATTTTCCGCAAAAATCTTTCTTTTTAGAATGGCCAAGAAGTGAGTGTACCGAGATTCGATCATCGACCTACATCGACGTGGCGCTCTGGCGATGGATATCTCTAAGCGATTGATGGATATCTCTAAGCGATTGATGGATATCTCTAAGCGATACGCAAACAACTTGTTTACAACGCAATCAAACGATTTTAAGAGTTAGGAATAAATTCTGATCGCCCGTGATGATGAAGCGACCGTTGTCACCAAGGCTAATATCAAGAAAGTTCGAAATCAGCTACGCTTGAAAGCCACTCGTTCGCAGGTCAGGATGGCAAAGAATATGGGAATTTCTCGAACTCCTATGGGCCGTATTATCAAAAATCGTCTTGAAATAAAAGCTCATAAGTTTTCCAAAAGCCAATTTCTTACGTCAGCCAGCAAAAATCGTTCAAACCAACTTTCGCTCGAGGATCGTTCAAACCAACTTTTGCTTCGCTTCTATGGTATCGACCATCGGGACCATTCTCTTCACCAATGAAAAAAATTTTCTCTCTTCTCTGTCGTTTTCTCTGCCGAACAGTTTGTGAACCATCAAAACAATCGGATTTATGCTAGGATTCAACCTAGCCAAGCTGTGGCACGAGCAGGTTACCTCAAATCGTTGATCATCTGGGCTGGTATCACTCTAACGGAGAGACTCCTCTGTTTTTTGTTTCATAAGGAATCAAAGTCAATGCGAACAATTATTTGGATATGCTTAAGCAAGAAATACATCCATGGGCTAAAAAGCATTTTGAAAACAGGATTTTGTGCTTTCAACAAAATGGCGCACACAAAGCTAGCATCGTTCAAGATTGGTGCAAGCAGAATTTCCCCGATTTTAACCAGTGGCCACCATCAAGCCCGGACCTCAACCCTCTCGATTATTCTGTATTGAGTGTATTGGAAGCAAAAACATACGCGAAACCCCATCCAACAGTCGATTCTTTGAAGAAAGCTCTTCAGAAAGCTTGGGACGAGCTGGACATGCTCTAACTTTTCGCCACCCTGGACGCGTTCCCAAAAAGAAATGTTCGCGTTCTTCCAGGCCTGTATTACTGCCAAGGGAGATCTTTTTTAAAAAAAGTAAACTTTATATTAAATTATTGTATTAAAATAAATTTTTGCTGTCATTTTAATGCTTTTAAATCCTCAAATTCTTTAGTCCCCATAATCCTGGACAACCCCGTAAAGCAGCAACTACTTTTCGAGCATATAGAACGCAATCAGACTTAAAGAGTTCAGTGTTCAACTCTGAAAATGCACTCGAAAAATTTCCATTAGCTTCACTATGCCTGTAATTGTAAATTCTTCATTTTTCTTGGGATTCGAAATCGCTGCTGTAAGAAAAATGAAAAAATTGAGTGCATTAGATAGAGATCTTCGCAAATACAAGTCATTTGACACAGTGAAACTAGTAGAAATCTTTGTGGTCAAGGTTCAAGAACCCTATGAAAGTTTGCTTGTACGTTCTTTGTGCTCAAGAAATGAAACACCGCCTCTTGCACACTCTCAAGTATAAAAAAAAACGAAATTGTGTACACCAGAAAGGTTGCGCTTTTAATTGTAAGCACGTTGATCACAAAAGATTTCTATTAGTTCATTCTGCTTCTGCTTCTTTTGCGCAGAAATTCTGCTAAGAATTTTTGCGCAAAAGACATTGTTGACAAAAACATTTTGTTATTCTATCATTTCTTTTCTTCTTTCGGATTTAGGATTTAGGATTTATTTACTCAAAGCAAACAAAAACAAAGCCAGAGCCATTTATAGAGATTAAGGAAAAAAGGAAAAGAGAAATGCGTGATGAGTACACATAAATCTTCACCGTTTTTGGGTAGGTTGATGATAGTGAAACAATAAATCAAAAAACAAATGGAGAAAAGGAGAGCAACAGGCAAATAACTATCGTTATAAGCTAAGCTTTTCCTTTTTAAGATTATCATTTTTGCCCTTGTAGTAACAAGTAGACTTTTGTAAAGATAAGAAAATCTCTAGGTTGTAGAAAAGGCTTGGTTGCAGTTTGTTACGATTATCTACCTATAATCTTGTCAAATAAAGTTGTAAAAGCAAAACTACATTTATAAACACAAATTTAAAGATTAAATTGGTCAGCGATAGAGGTTTTGTCTGAAATTTCAATTTTTCATCTTCGCAATCGAATCTTCTTTGTTTTATAAGTCCTATAGGCTCAGTCTCAGTTTTATAAGTTCTCTAGTTCTTCGAATATTCTTTGTTTTATAAGTTCTGTAGCTGTTTTAGCTGTTTTAACTGTTTTAACTGTTTTATAAGCTATCCACGGTTAATTTTCTAGAAAATTGATGCCTTTTGTGACCTTGTGACCAGTACGCATCAAGTAAAAAGTCAATTTTCTTAAAAACTCTGAAAAAAAGATAGTTGTTTGACATTTTTTTTGTAAAATCGAAGAACCTGGTTAATTCTGGTTAATCAGAGAACAGCTGGCTTTAAGATTTAATCAAAGATCAATCAAAAATCAAATCAAAGCTTTAATCAAAGCTGACTAAAAGCTGATCTCAAGCTTTTAAACGAAAAAACTCATTGACAGAAAAGAAGAAAAGAATTTGATGAATAAAACCCAGAAAAATTCAACAACAAAATGGTTACAGTTGCTAAAAGACAAAAACAAAGCAGGTGAGTGAACGGTGATTGTTCGACATTGTTCGACATTGTTCACTCAATACATAGGCACATGGCTAGTGTTAGTGAATTGAGGGTCAGTTAGGGAAAAGGGTGGGTGGGGGTGGCCAATGAAATGGGTCAATCGATTACCCCCAACCTCTATGAGAACTGGGAACTGAGAAATGAGAACCCAAACGTATGGCAATTCATTCGCTTTGCATCTCCTTAAAAAATATCTAATTCTAGTCTTTC